CAGACGGTACAGCTTTGGCCTGTGACTTTCATTGATATCTTCTTATTTTATTTATGTCGTCCCTCTCCCCCGGTTATCCTCTGATTTTTTTTTCCCACTCAGAGGGCAAGGCTTTCAAAGTGAGCCAGTCAAATGCACAGACTAGCAGAGCTTGGCCTTGGGCGTGTTTGCAGACGATATCGCTATTTACAAGCGACACCAGTCTGGTAGTGTGCCCATCTATAAGTAAGGACAGATGCGAAATACACTTCCACAGAAGTTTCTACTTCAGTTGGAACATTTAACAGCAACCTATTTTGAGCTGGAATTTTATATAAATGCCATTGAAAGGCTTAATATTTTTCGCATCTGCTGTGTTCGATCATTTGCAAGTGATGAGGATCGAACACACGACTGTGATGTCCTCAGTCTAGCTCTCTACCGACTGCACCACGGCCGCCTTGATACCAACATTAATAATTAGGCGGCCGTGATGCAGCCGGTAGAGTATTATCACGGTCGTGTGTTCGATCCCCATCCCTTGCAAATTATCGAACACAACAGATGTAAAAAAATATTAGCCTTTCAATGGCAAATATATAAATTCCAGCCCAAAATTAGGTTGCTGTTAAATGTTCTAACTGAAGTAGAAACTTCTATGGAAGTGTATTTCGTATCTGTCTTTACTTATAGATGGGAACAATACCCAACTGGTATTGCTTGTAAATAGGCGATATCACTTGCAAAAATATGCTCAAGGCCAAACTCTGCTAGTCTGAGTGGGAAAAATCAGAGGATAATGGGAAGACGGACGATATTTAATAACAATGAAAAATACACAATACCAAAGCTGTACCGTCTGAAAGTAACCAAGAATCTGGATGACTGGTTAGCTTTGTGTCTTGGCCCTTAAGTGGGAATTGCCGTCAGTAGTTGGCCTGGATGCCGTGGTATATAAGAGTTATCTTACGCCACCCCCTCTTCTAATCTAATCTATTCTAATCTAATCTAACATTAATAATTTGTCGTACTAATAAATAGTAATATCTTACCTGTATCTTAATTATATTTTGTTTGAGATGATAGTCTCCTGTCAGAGTGGCTCAGTGATCAATGCGTTTGACTCTCGACGCTGCAGTCGTGTGTTCAAATCCCATCAATTGCAAAAATGTTTGCAAAAGAGCAACCCAAGCGGATGCTGCTGTTGAATGTTCCAGATGAAACATACGCTTCACTGAAATTGTCTTGCGCTCTGTCTCTGTATATAAGAGATGGTGTTAGAAACCAAAAGTGGGTTGGTAGGCAACTGACATTTGCCGCCATGAAACAAAACACGTCAACAAAGGTGACATCGTCACTGAAAGATCTCCGGGACTAAATATACAAATACCGGGGATGGAAGAGACGAAGCTTCGGAGCATTCTGCTTACCGCGAGAGTCAGTAATGCACCGGTAGACCGTAAAACTCTAGCCACAACATCTCATTGCGGGCTGCAAGCAGCCTTAATGTGATCGGCTGATCTCTTAAGGGGGCCACAATAGACCAAAAAATATAGTAGCAGTGGCAGGGAAAGGGGACGAATTGACGCCCAACCCGCAAAACTAAATCTAATCTAATCTAGTCTGCTGTCACTTACATATGTTCCCTTTCACCTTCCACATACACTTTACAGTGTCCTAAAGAAAATAGTTATCTTAAAGCATTAAGCTGAGTAAAGAAAAAAAATCCCTAATGCCCCTCCAATTCTAATGCACCAAAAACGGAAAAGTTTGATTTCCAATTATATTTACAAACTTACCTCCAATATTCTCTACTATTGTCCAATCTTACTGAAAAAGTCAAGAACGGTACACATTTTTAGTGACAATAGTTTAAGAGGGGTCAATAAAATATATGAAAGGCAAAAATTCTGTGAGCAAGGATCTCAATACATGAGATATCTAAAACACCAAATTCTCGTATACGAAGATGAACAAGAACTAAATTGCTGAAATACCAAAGTGCCGCCTCATGGAATTTTTCTGATACAAAAATACGAACATAAATGAGCAAACCAGAAATCACATCGAACTCAATAAATGCCCTATTCTATTAACCGCGTGTGTAAAATAACCATATTAACTGCATGCTACGACATGAGCAAAAATATGTCTTATATTGTTGGACTGAACGCCAGCCGACAGATATATCGTACTACACGTTAAAATTAAATTAATTGTTATATACATTGGCTAATCAGAGAAGAAATTTAGTCAGTTCATAGCCACATTCAGTTCCGTACACATAGTGATCTGGTTTAGCTCACAGTTTCACGCACAAAATATCACTTTAATATAATTTCATGTTATGATTTCTATGGTAAGGATTGTGCACTCTCCTTGTTGCGGATAGATATGTATCTGTGAATATGTGCACTTGAAACTTGACTTGAAATCAGAAGAAATTAAGATTGTAATTATACGTGGCTATAGCCGCAAATTAAATCACCAAATTTTGCAACGCCGAAATTTAGTTTTATTCTCCCGAAAAAAATTAGGTCCGAATGGAACACTACATTCGAGCCTCATTCGTAGTGTGAACGTAATTGGATGTGGGTATAAACTGACTAAGTTCATAGCCACTGGCTAGATTATACCGTTGAAGGGGAATATCTGAGTAGCGATTGTTGTGCTTATCAGTCGGATATTGAGACTCTTCAGTGCAGAAAATGAGGGCAAGAGGGTTGGAGTGCACCAAGTAGTGAAATCCAACACGATCAGATTCACCCAAAAAATTTCTAAATTCTTGAAAAAGGAGGGAAAATACCTCCAAAACGTCGATAGAAGAATATAAGTGAATAAAGAAAAGAAAGCCGTCTCGTGTTTTATTTTTTAAAGTAGCCAAATTTTTAATTTTAAAACCGCTGTAATTTGGTTTCTATTTGTCCAATTTTAATAATTTAGCCACATTTAAAATGTATTGCGGAACCCAAAAACTGTTTAGACTATCAAAAGTTCATCTAGAATTTGAGAATTTAAAATTTTGTTTGAAAGACAAGCTGTATTTATGAAATTTCCTAAATATTTTAATGATCCAGTGTCAGTAGTTTCCAAAATGTGGTTATTTTTTTTACTGTCGAAGCGACTGAAAACCGAAATATAATAATTTAATGTTTTCAATTGAAAGTTCGAACACATTTTCACTTTTCCTGTTGCTCGAAATTGCTGTATTTGAAGTCATGAAAAAAGGTTGCTAGCCATAAGCAGACATGAAGCGTGTGCTATTGTGTGTGGCTAGGTTATTCGTGGGGAGAGAAACAAGTTGTATGTTCAACTGAATATCAACTGTAGTTTGGAGATTTCATTTTTAAATACTTTGGCGCAATCACTCCAAACATGGATGAAGATTATCGATCTATAGATCTTCTGCACTGTTTCAATGTTCATGTCTTCCCCTGACTCAGATGTTTTCAAAGTTACGACATAATTCATTGCTGAATCTTTGTTTCTTGCAAGGGGGAGATAATACAGTCAGAAGTGGTGTACAGCTCAATAGAAGTACTTAAGGAGTGGAAGTGTTGAAAAACCTACAGTATTCCTTCCCTACGCGCTTCTTTTCCTGACTAATTATCCAGATTTTTAAAATTTCCTTTGATTTTCGCACAGAAACAAACGTAAAATAACTTTTTTGTAGGTTATGTAACAAACCAAGAATAGATTTAGTGAATAATTAGCATTCTGACACATAATTCGCCCGTTTTTGGCAAAAAATAAGCATTTGCAAGCAATAGACAGTGCTTTTTTTTATCTTTCAATGCCAAGAAACTATGCCAATTATTTTATAATTTTACATAACCTCAAAAATAGTCTTTTGAACTTGAAAAATGTTCATTTAGAAAACTTCATGGGCAATTTTTGACTGAGAATCAGTAATTTAAGATCATTGGCAAATTTTGAAGATCTTTTTATGATATTTTCAAGTTATGGTTGAAAAAGACACCCAATAAAGCGATTTTAGGTAAATTCTTATACAAATATCAGATGCAAACTTAATACGACATAATCTTCCACTTGAATTGGACTCATGTGATGCCAATAAATATCCTAAATTGTGCTAAGATCGTACATAACCTCAAAATTTGTGATCTTTAGTACATTGGATACTAAAAACTTCCAAACAGAGATTTTAGAGATCTTTTAATGATATTTTGTGGTTACAGTTGGAAAAAGGCCCATAACAGTGGTTGAAAGTCGATTCTTATAGAATTATCGTATGTGGAAACAGACTACAAATTTCATGTTCTAGAAGTGTCAAACAAATTTGGAAGTTGTGTACAGATTTAAGGCATAATATCTCCCCCTTGGTTTCTTGTGTTTATCAGCCGGATATTGAGATTTGAATATAAAACACGGGACTGCCTTCTTTTCTTTACTCGCTTATATTCTTCTTGTATTCTAAGATAAAAGGCCGTCCCGTGTTTTATTTTCAAATCTTTCTTTCTAATGTTGTGTTGATTTGTGTGGTAAGTCCTTACACTCGTTTGATGAACTCAATTAACCGTGCCGAAGGTTAACAAGAAATTTTTCTGAACTACACATATTGCCTTATCTCTCTCACCACTAGGCAAGACAGTGGCGAAAAAAAATTATCCAGCCACTTGTTTCACCCGGTCTCGAACCGAAGCCTCTGAATTGGTACTTTAGCGTACTCCTACTACGCTACAATACTGGATGACAGATTTCAGGCAAAGGCTGTACTTGCTTCGAACATATTCACTATTTACACTTCACAATGATTTGCCATGGATACGGCAAGAAATTTTTCCATCTATGGATGTTAGGAAAACAATTTCTTATGGAAATTGTATTAAAGCGAAATAAAATTGTCACAGATTATTGCTTTTATAACAAATAAAATTGATCAGCATGAACAGTAAATGAGTTAATAGAAATTATCGAAACAAGAACGTTAACCTTCCGATTAAATGATAATTTCTGTGGATTTATAACAGATTAAATTCAATATTTTCTTATCTCACATTTTATTTCCAGCTTTTCGGTTTCACTAGAACATATTGACATTTCTTCTTTCCATCTGACGAATTTGGCTGAACGTTGTAATATTTGTATTAACCCCAAGGGCCGTGCTTGTGTTAGCGCTTCAGATGGCGATTGATATGCACAGCCTAGATATGAAATTACTATAAAAGTAATCATGGTGTCATTTCCATCTATGAATAAAAATGTAATGTATATGGATTTGGGTTTTCCGGATGCCCCACTGTGGTCCATTTCTTACCTTTGGAAGTAGAAAATCTTACACTATAATATTGCCATCGAAAAAGATCATTGGGTGCATTTTAACGCATTTTGGAATTTTCGATAACAAGTCTAATGAGAATATCGAACACTGCAGTGAATATATAAAGTAGCGGCCTAGTAAAACTGATTTAAACCGTTTTTTTCACAATGAAATTATTTAATTTTTTGTTTATTAAGTTTTCATGCAGGTGTTGTGGATGGGGGTGATGGGGGTGAGTGTGGTCGACAAAGACTGGTAAGTCTCGGCCAGTCGTGGAGAAGGCCATGCCATGGCGGCGTTGGCTCATCTTCGGCTACAACATCGATATCCTCATCATCTCGCGGCGGTGGGTCGTCAGGCGCCAACAAGCTGGCCACATCAAATTGACGCTTGCGCGGATGACGGCTTAGCAATGCGGGCGTAAATGGCGGCGGTGCGGAACGTAGAGATGTTTGCCATGGAATCAGCGGTGTGTCGGGTGGAGGCGACGGGGAATCCGCCCCCTCGTCATCTACAGCCAACCCCATGTGCTTTCGAACCTTGCGTTGTGCCTTGCGTCGCCTAGGCACAAAAAAAATAGTTATTGGTGCTAAAATAGTTCTACAACATTAAAAAATAAGAATTTCCAAATAATCCCTGTAATTTTTTACAATACTTTTAATAAAGTGAAAAAGTGTAACAAAAGAATTAATACAAAGTAAAGTATCATTAATATCTAAAAAAATTGCTATGAGTCGCTGCCAAAATAAACTCATTTTTCTTATTCAGATAGGTAACGATATTAACAGAACAACTGTCTTTTAAAGAAAATCATGTAATGATTCTATAGTGAGTCAATTCTTAATGTGAAAAAAATGTACTTATGCTGTAAAAATAAATAGGGGAGAACCGGGGAATTTGGTTCACAAATTTCCGTATGAATTTTCGATCTATTTTACAAAAAGATTAAACATTGAAAATGAATTCCATTCGGTCTTTGGAAATCACTTTGCTCTAAGGTTTGGAATTTCGTTGTATTTCAAGCTCGGAAACTTTTTTTTTACAGAATGGGTATTTTATTTTACGGTATTTTGCACAAAATTAATCCACCCTAGAGAATTTTTGTATAATTTTGGAACACATGAGAACTTCAGTTTTACAGTTATCGCGCACATGAGTACCGCGCGCATCTTTCTAACTTATTTCGAGAAACATTTTTATTCATTGTTTCCACGGAAAATAGACTAAAAGAAAGGCAATATTTTAATTGATTGGTTGCAAACACCGTTTGGGCCACTAAAATAGCCCTAAGATTTACAAAACAGCACTAATAAAGTCGTCAATTTAACGACTTGGAGATAAAATTTGATGAAAAAATTTCATTGGGTATTCTAAATATAGCATTTTTCTAACAGCTGTTTTGATAGCAGTGTCAATGAAAATTCCGCCAGACCGTTTTTGCATTCCTTTTCGATAGTTTCATAATCTATTGTGAAAAACGGACACAAAAGAAGAAAGTGTCAAGTGAAGAACTGTTGAAACTACAGAGAAAGGGGATAGAAAAGTTGACGCCACTTTTGGCAACCAGAATTTGACAATTCGATTGAGTTCTGTCGGAAAAAATTCAATTCGAATAAGAAGGAAAACCAATTGATTTTCATTGTGCTCTGTATCTTGGCACAGATACATTAGCAGAGACAGACATTTAAAACACATTTGACGGAATATTCTCTATATTTCTCTATATTTTCTGAAAATATAGAATTTATGTTCAATTACTGTTCTGAAAAGGCACTGTCTGCATTTGCTCCACTAAATGAAAGAGCTTATCGCATCAACCACAAATACCAGACATCTTTTCCATAATACTCATTGCGTTTACTTAAACTTAAAATATGTGATAAATGCAGGGGATTGTATGAAGTTCATATGTGGTGCCAAAAACTCGATTCCTAGATATATAAATCGATTTGAGGATGCCATCGGCGTGCACACAATCGATTATTTTTTGAGGATTTTTTTTCCAATTTTTCATGGTTTTCAATGTCATAGAAGACAAAAAACACCCGAAAATATTTATTTATTACTACTGAACGCTTTAAAACAAAAGAAAGTTTAATTTTTCTGCGCAAAATGTGTCATGCAAAACGCCCGATTAGATGCTTAACTACGTCACTGTTCGCGATTCCAATAAGGATAATTGCTAATGAAGAGCGACCTTATGCTGCAAAGGTTTGGTTTCTAGCGCTGCCAGTTTTACCCGGAACAGACATCAAGTTCTGCAGCAGTGATTTTCATATCGAAATTTTGTTATCAATTGCAACTCTTTAAAGAAATAGCAAATAGACAAGCATAAGCTGAGACTTTCGGATCACAAAAACCCACTGACAAGGGACTTATTAATTGACTGCCCCACATCACGGCTCAAGAGACGTAGAGTAGTACATTTTAATGTTGTTTAAGTTCTGTTCATGTTCAAAACTTACATGTCAATGTAATTTGTAAATATAGGGTCTTGTCACTGGACATTTCCCTACACGATAATGCAACCAGCCATTAAACTCCACCTATTGTTAACCTCTTGAGGATAAAACAGATTGTGGAAATATAGGGGATGTTAAAAAAAAATATTACAACTCTTGCTGATTGATTGATCTTGCCATTGATCGTATTTAAAAGTAAGCCAATATGCTCTAGTTGTTTTTTTTAGCGTATAGGATTTGAGAGTCTAATTGTACAAAAATATTGCAAATAAATTACACTGCAAAGGCGAATTTTCCCAATTTTCGGCACAAATAGCCGTTAAAAACATAACCTCTACGGTTCATCGATTCCCAGACCAAATCAACTTCTTGAAATCCCCTGAATAAATTATTGAGATATTAAGCACTTATCCCACAAAGTTAAAATTCAATTAATATTTTCTAATTTTTTGATATGAAATACGTGCAATTTGTTTTACAACGATTTTAAGAGAAAAAATTTAATTGACAGCCTGAAGACGAACTTGCCAAAATCAGTCATTTTTCCCTAAATGGTTTAAAACAAGGGAAATTACACGTTATTCATAACGATAAGTATGTGTATTGAGAAGAATCTAACGGCAGTTCAAATTAGTTTGATAACTTCCTTGGAATGGCTTTATGGACAATGCCATGGTAATGCTGAATATGTATGTACCCAAGGCACTTCATAATATCAGTGCTAATGTAGACTTTAGAGATCTTTGATCGCACAGTAGTTGATTTCCTCGGCTTTTCATGACCCGAATAAGGCACAAGATGTCTGACCTTACTCCTGTCCAATTCCCGCAGCTTTCCCGTATTATAAATTTTTATTATTTTGTTGAACATCTTATTTATTTATGAATGTTTTATTTGAAATCTTTTAGAATATGTTTTTAATTTCAACTTATCACATTTTATATTATTTTTTTAAGACAACAAGAATATCTATTCTCATTAATTAAATGTCTATGGAATTTTTTGGCTCCAGAGGCTGGAAGTAAAAACCTTTCCACAGAACTTGTATTGTAAGCTCTACATACTTCCGGATTTCATATATTGAAGACCATACTTGGAACTTTAAAATTAACATAACTTGGTATTCTGACAGCCCGATCAAGATTATTTTTGGTGCATTGGAAAGGCCTTGCAAAATTTCATTTAACTAAACAAAGATCATAAATTAATATGAACGCCGCTAGGGATCCCAAATCACAAAAATGATTAACAAAAAACAAAATTCATTTTCTGTGGAAGTTTAGCCGTGTTGCAGTCGGCAGAGTGTCGCACTGAGAGTATCACGGTCGTGTGAATGATCCTTATCACAGCAATATGATCGAACACAAGGGTTGCGAAAAAATATTGAGGCTTTCAATGGAATATGTGAAATTGCAAGAAGCCGAAGATCGAGTTGCTGGTAAATATTCGAATTGAAGTAAATATTTCATAGAAATAGTATTTTGCATTTCTACGAATATACATATATATATATATATATATATATAGATGGGAATAATAGCAGTCTGATATCGCTTGCAAATAGGCAATATCGTCTGCAAAAAATATACTCAGTGCCAAGCTTTGTCAGTCTGTGAATTTGACTGGCTGACTTTCAGGTTGAAAGTCACTGGCTGAAAATCAGAGGATGTGACAAACAAGGAAACAAGGAAAACACGCGAGGCCAAATCTGTATTGTCTGAGAGAAACCAAAATCTAAATGTCTTGGTTAGCTTTTAAGCCTTGGCTCTTAAGTGGACTATTGGGGATGCATATTGGCCCCGTTTGAGGGCTTGGACGCCGTTAGCGCAATATCTTTACACCATACCTACTTTTTTTTATTATGATGACTGTTATGTAAGTCAATTGAAAGAAGAAAAATATTCCATAAATTACAAAAACCTGTCAAACCCCCTTTGACTTAATCAATTTGGCAGAAGACAAATATTCTCAGTAAATATAGGGAGTTAAAGTTAATTTGTGATAAAATACATATAGAATACCGTGAATGAAATGTAATTCATGTTAATGCTCTACCACATAAATTAAAATGTATAGCTATTTTTATAAAAGGCATACTCCTTTTTCGCACCATTTCCAAGTTTTTACTACAGTCGCGTTTAAAAAAAAAAACTTTTTTACCAACTAGTTTACCCAACCTTATTATTTTATATTACTACAATTTTTAAAGGAGTAAGAATTATAATGAATTGAGTTTTGACTTGTTGACCTAATTAAAATTCAGAAAAGATCCCAAGTCTTGAGTCAAAAGCCAAACATTCAGAATTTTTCGTGACTGGAAATGGTTTCGTAATGCAAGCACAAATGTAACTTTTTTATTAATGCTAAGTGCAGATTTTGGGCGCCTAATTAATAAAAATTGCCTACAGTTTATGTTCACCGCCCTCACACTCTAAAGAATCGTCATAGTGTCGCCCCGCGTCTTAAAGGAACCAAAAGCTATCCTCAGCAAATATATGTATGAATTATTTGCAATTTATCGCAATAATATTCTCTTACTACCGGAAGAGAAATCCCAGGGTCAAAATACAATAGCCAGTGCAATCTCAAGATACGGATGAGATTTTATAGAAGCTAGAAGTTACAAAACAGCTATATACTATTTGCGCTCGCGGAAAGAGCATAACTTCAATTTAGGGAACACTCTCCGAACGATCCCATTTTTTTTACACACGATAGCTCATGACGTCACAGACATTTTAGTAAAAATAGATTGGGTTGGAGTCTGACAGTTCTCCTGGTAGATAACTGTAAAGTTGCTATAAAAATGTTAGTAAATTCCGATTTTTAGCAGGGCCGAAGGCCCCGCCTTTGCCCCTCCCCCACATTTTCCACTCCAGCTCCATCCCTCCCCCACCACCTCTTCCTTGTATATTTTATTTATCTCTTCGTGAAGAGACGTTCAAAAATTTTGTCATTGGCATTAACGCTTCTAGCGGTGGTCTGATGAACTTCTGTTAGTCTATATAGTTATAGTTTTACTAAAAATTTCCAACGAGCCTAAAATTATTAAGATCGGTCACATAGAACCGAAGTTATAGCGTATTTAAAATCAAGACTTGAAAACCATCATAACTCCGGTTTTATTGCATTCACAAAAACTAAAACATATTTATAGAAACATCCTGACCTGGACTACAACATACTAAAATTTAAAGAAAATTAATGATTTAGTTGCCGAGGTTCAGACATTCAAATGTTTTTTTTTTCTTTTCAATATGGTGGCATTAGTTATGACGTCACAGACTAATGGTGAATATGGGCTGCAAAAGGACGTCAAAATACGACGTTTTGTGAAGAGATTGTCGAAATCGGTTGGTAAACAACGGAGATATGGGCCGGTAAAGGTGTGAACTTTGACCTTCCATATCTCTGTTCCTAATACCCAGGCCCCAGAATTAACGTTTGTTGGATGGGTTATCAAGGGGATGGACCTAGGTCCTTCGATAGCGGTTCGTTAGAAAGGTCTTGAGATAAGACCTTTTATAATATAGGTACTAGCTATAACATACCAGAATTTGGGCTCAATCCCTGCCATAGGGACTGAACAAATGAAGAAAGTGCATTTCGCAGGTGTTTAAAATGGCGGACGGAGGAGGGTGGAGGGTTGGATGTGACAAAAAATATATTCATTAGCACTGCATACTTTAAACCTTTGCCGCAAACCGCGTGTCGATATTTCTTACCGTTTAGACCCCAAAAGCCCGTTTGTTATGACAGACGGACGGAACGACAAACAGACACGAAAAAAGTCAGCGCAATTTTTGTAATTTTAAGATACCCAAAGTCGATTTTAGTTCCTTTGTGAGGTTCGATTCTTTACGTGATTAGAGATATTGTGATGTAAATCCCAGCTGCACAAAACACATTAAATGAAATATTTTGAGGCATTCAATTTACGTTGTAAAAAAAAACAGGCCGAATATTGGTTTTTACGAGTTTTACAGTATTATATGATTATACACAGGTGAATATTGTTACTCTAGATAATAGGTGACTCTTGGTGTTGAACACATCAAATGTATTCCTATAAAATTCATCTCAATCTTTAATATTCAATTCCATTAAATTTTACGAGATACATTTTCCAGTCACATTGTAAATTATTTACAACGCGTATTTTGACTAAAAATTTCAAATGTGATGGAAATTGTTTCCCTTTGGGAATGTCGTGCAAACCCGTGAAAACTTTAAGACAATTCAAATGAATGTATTTGCCACAACTAAAAAAACTATATCTGTTTAATAGATGAGTTCATCTTCGTGTTATAATCCATATTATGGCGTCTAATAAGTTAAATTTTGCGATATTTCCAATGGTACTGTACTTACCATAAAATAGAAAGATTTTAGTGTGAGTCTGTCGTTGAACAGAACATGTGATAGAATATTATCTCAAATGTATTGTATATAATTTTAAGATACATAATTTGCCATTGCAATTGATTTTCCACTCAACGTCAGAATCTTCCAATTATCATATCCGAAGAATAATAAATATATTAGAAGTTGTTGAACAGAATTGTAAAAAATTAAGTGTGTACTTAAGAACTATTCAATTTGACCAATTACATAATGAAAGAATACTAAAGCTTACTTTATATAAATGAGGTCTTATATTTCTTATACATATATATTTTTATGTATACCTAAAGAAACCCTAAAGACTACTGAACGTTATCCAATCTCTGATCCGTTTCAAGAACGTAAATAGTGCAAAATGCGACAATCAGAATGAACGAAGCCTCTGAATAGAAGCATCACGTTCTATTTAATTAATTCCTCCACGTTAAGCCTAATAAATATTATTGATCATTGGCTACATCGGCTTAATATGATTGTTTCAGTGGGAATACTCGTGATTTATAACCGGCAAAGCTTTAACGTAAATATTTAAACCTCTTTTATTTGGTTTTCTTGGAGATCCTGTAAGGAATACCTCAATATCTCTGACCCTACGCTAAAAAGATTGTCGTGTGATTATTTATGTATGACCCTTAACTCAAATTTAGCACAATGCTACACAAAGACAGTTTGCAAGATTTCGAAAATTCTAACCTCACTAGAGCACGAAGGTGAACGAAGAAAAAAAATGCAAAACGCATGACAAAGAGGGGGATAATCAAAAATTTTTTATCGGACTCGAAACTCTTTGGTAAACCCCCTAACCAAATGGTTGTTTTTTACCAATATGTACAATTCAAATTCATATTAAATTTGTGTAAAAAAACCAGGGGATTGCAAGAAGTCGATTTTGTATGGGAATCGATGAAACCGCTAGGTTATGTTTTCAACGGCCATTCTTGTCATATTTTGGACAATTTGCCTTTGAAGTGCAAATTTCTTTGCAACATTTTTGTACAATTAGGCCCTTAAATCCTATCCGGGTCACTAAAAAAAACAACTAGAGAATATTGGCTTTCTTTTAAATACGATCAATGGCCTCAAAGAGTTGCAAATGATACAAAATTTTGACATGAAAATCTCTGCTGCAGAACTTGATGGTTGGTACTGGTTTAACAGGAAGCTCAAGAATCAAAATCTCTGCAGCAGAAGGTTGCTATTCAATAGCACTTATCGTGTAGTCAATATCATATAAGGACCAACATTTCTACTAGAGAAAAATTGGGGAAAGTAGATTTTCTTTCCGGAATCGCGAACAGTGGCATAGTCAAGCATATACTTGAGCGTTTTTCTTGACATATTTTGTGCAGAGAAATTTAAAATTCTTGTGCTTGAAAGCTTTTAGTGCTAATAAATAAATATTTTCCGGTGTTTTTGTCTTCTATTACACTGAAAACCATGAAAATTTGGAAAAAAAATTCCCCAAAAAATAATCGATTGTGTGCACGCCGATGGCATCCTCAAATCGATTTATAAATCTAGGAATCGAGTTTTTGGCACCACATTTGAACTTCTTGCAATCCCCTGAAAAAACCATGGAAATGTTCGTAGTACAAAAACTGCACATCGAAAAAAAGATAACACTTGCTCCATTTAAATCATATAATTGGTTGATTATTTTAAAAATCACGACAATTAAACTTCTTCAAAATCTAACGACGCCTTCTGAGATATTTAGAGTAATGTTGTGCAAAAATTTTGGCGGAAATACACTGTCACTGTTAAGGATATACCAATGTGTTGGTATAGTTGGTTTCAAATAGAATGAAGTTAATAATGAAATTTTTTGCTCATGAATAATGTTTCCTTATTTCACATACATAGAGGCTTTTCAATGGCCAGAAATATTTGATCTGCAATTATTGTTTTGGCATTTGAAATTCCAAAGTACTCACTGCAAGGCTAGAATAATTTGAGCCCAATTTCCTCAGGATTTTTTATTAACGTAGATTATAAATGAAAGAAGTAATATATTTCGGCGATCTTGCCACTAATTTTTCTACTCAAGCCATGTAGCGTAACGGATTGTCATTTTAAGAAACTTTAAATTTTTCATTCAGGAACATAGTAATTGTATATTATTTTATGCTTCAGTCCACAAACTAAACTATTGTTTTTCCATTTCAATCATTGATTGGTTCGTTGATTGGTGTTCTCAGACTATTTCCATATAATTTTGGAATCAAACTTAAAAACCTGTTGTTTAGGCGTAATATTTGGCTGAATTGCATTAAATCAATAGACAATAATTGATTATAAAACTTTTTTAATGAAAACAAATCCTATAGGGTTGGGATAAATCTTGCAATTTCGAAAATCAGTCCTCATTATGTCAATTTAGGTCTGAATTTCTTATTTACGGGTTCTAGGGAAAAAAAATTCCATATAATTATAATGTATAAGTATTTATATATCAAATTTATATCAGTAAAAAATGTATGTTGAGCAATATTACCAACCTAATGATATAGCGTTTTCTTCAAATATGTATGTACAAATGAACAATTTTTTCATTGGAGGAAAAAACTTTTAAAAATGTAGTTTCACATTTCTTTAATTTCTTAACAGTCACACACACACACACACATATGTATATGTATATATATATATATATATATGAGTATGAATACTTGAGTTTCAATTGTATTTCGTGAGTTGTCCAAAACGTTTGGTACTTGCCTGAAGTCTCCTTTACGGAAATCGTCCACATTAGCTGGATGGATAGCCCAGTAGTGTCCCTTGCCATTAGCGCTGCGACCTGCCTTTACAAAGCAATCGTTGAGGCTAAGATTATGGCGAATACTATTACGCCAGCCCGGACCGCGACTTCGAAAGTAAGGATAGTTGTCAAGTATATGTTGATAAATATCGCTAAGTACTAATTTAGCCTCTGGTGAACTGAGAATAGCCATTGCAATGAGGCCAATGTAGCTATGTTGGGGCTTAGGTTCATCTGGCGGAAAACGACCATGCAACAGACTCAAAGCGAGACGCGGCGGAGAATAAGGATTTGGGTAGACTGGTGGTGGATAAGAGCATCTCAAGCGCTCCACCATGGCGTAATTATAAAGTTGCAAGCGATAAGGATCCAAGGGCAGTAACCCTAGCACTGTACTGAGAGCTGATGGAGGCACCTCAGGCGCTTCGGCGTCGGGAGAACTACTCTGCTCGTGACTACACATCACGCACGCTTCACTTTGTCATGTGAACAGCACACTGGCAACTGAAAGTTACTATCAGAAATTAATAGCGCGCGCCCAGCAGGCAGGGGCGCGTCTAACAAACATGCTCAGACCCGCACTCAGGTATTAATACTGATTTAATTCATCAAAGTTATTAGTTTATTAACCAACAATATTATGTTGGTGAAAAAAATAAATAAAAAATAAGAATTCTTTTAATAACCTATACAATAAGGTCTTAGTATTTATTGGATCGTAGTATTATGTCTTAGCGTTGCAATACTATCAGTCAATTTATGCATCATTAAAATTTTTGCAAGGAACAAAGAACACAGGACCTGTTGCAAAATGTAAATGCCAGAGATCAATACGCAGATAATCGAAATATTTTCAGATTAGTTTCAGAATAACAAAAACTTACACTTTTCGTGAATTGCAAAATATCTTTATTATGTATAATGGAACATTTATAGGAAAAATTTACTTTTCCATCTAATTACATTATGATCAATTTTTCAAGATATGTTTCATTTAAATATTGCTGGTACAGTAAAGCTAGATAGTTCAAAACAAATTGCAAGTTTTTCCTAATGCAAAAAAATATGTTTTTACGTTTTTTTTTATCATAAATTACTTAATCATATATTATATGGAACCAAAAATAACCTCCAAAGTATTGTTACAGAAACCCTTCAGCGTAATATGATTTATTTACTCTGAGTGCAGCCCTGGCGGGCACTTCTAGTCTGCTTTTTGGTAATAGCTCAAATAAAACAAGATATTGCAGCGGTAGCAAACAAATAGAAGGCGTTTCGCACGAGAAGATATCCAATGAAAATGTAGCTACGCCTTCGAGGCGGGGTTCAAGCTAGCACGCCTCGAAACTGCTTGCAATACAATGCAATGGCAAATATTGACTACGAGGGTGGTTAAAGGAATGCAATACGTATCGATTGATGATCACGTCACAAGTGGTTGAACAATATTTGAAAGTCATCAATGACCAGGAATTCCCACTACATCTTGTCTGCCTCTCCCTTGTTTGCTCACATTTTTGTCCCGTCCGTGACCCGATGACAAGCTTCTGCAAAGTGCCTTTGCCGCCGGATTATCCACGTTCTTTTAGAGGAAAAAAAATTGATTGCGTAAGTTAAAGCAACTTACAATATTATAACCCTCTTTGTAACCAACAATGGGTTGCTTATATTGAAGATATAGTATCACTTGTATCGAGACATACATAAGGAGATGCACAGAGATGCCGAAATACTAAGACGCAAATTAAAATTGAAAAAACTCGTATCCTTATTCTCCATTATTCTTCGATGCATATCCAGTGCATCGTTATGCAATTATTTCGTGTAATACCATTTTATTAATTTAATAGTACAGCAATATTGCATTTGTCCTCGAAAAGAAACAAATATAATATCTGCTATGACTTTAAAATTTAATATCAAATTAAAAGCCATTGTCCAATCTTGCTGCATATTGACATTGAAGTACCAATTCAGAGCACCTGGTTCGAAACCTGGGTAAGATAAGAGGTTGAATTGATTTTTGCTGTCAGTGCCTTGAAAAGAATTAAGAAAACACGACTAGGGGAGAGGTTCCTAAACAATTTTTTTTAGGGGAGAGAGGAAGAGTTTGGTACGAAGGTTTTGTATAGTGTTTCCATACATTTTCTATGAAGATGAAACGTTGAATATAAATTCAATTCGATCTTATGAATCCTCTTGAATATCTGTATTAATGTTGCCTATAAATATCATTTTTGCGCGATGGTTTATTCCTCGGCCTTTTATGACGTACAAGAAACATGATGTCCGAATTTACCCCTGTCTAATTCCACCCATTCTACCCCACACAATTTAAAAAGGGCGGCGGGTCAATTACTCACTTCACGAACTCGCCAACACTCCATTGTTTTATTATTAAAACGTGCGTAAAACTAAAAGAATCACTTTTTTTACGTACGGAAATCTGTAATAGTGCTGCCGTAAATATATTAATAATTACCACATCTATAGCCGAAAATAGAGATAAAGCCTAAAGTCTTCTTTAATCTGCAAGTATCTCATATTTTGTATAAACCTTTACCTGAAATAAATTTACTCTTAAAAAATTATAATTATACCTGTAATTAACAAAGATTTATATTTTTCTCTTCAAATAATAATAATAATAAATTTATTCATCCTTTTCTTTTCTGTGTGCGGCTGCCGCCGGCTTTGTTGCCGACCGCCCTGAGCAAACGGCAGAAAGCTCGGCTCTTCGGTCGTACATGCCATTCGGGGAAAAAAAGCTAGTTACATGTTCTGGTTCGTAGCCTTACAATTTGAGTAGCTTGAAAACTAACATTTCTGCTTTTGAAGCCATCATGACACGGTCTTGTTGTTAATGTTACCTGTAGATAAGAGATCAAAGAGCATGAAAATCTTACTCTCTATTCTCAGGGTTTTATTGAATTACCTGCAGTCGCGAAAGTATGAAAAGCATGAGATTTTCTTATTGCTTGTCCAAGTAATCCTTGATTTTCCTACAATGAATATGAGTAGCGTATATTAGCACGTCTAATACGTCGAACCGTCTTACCAAATGTGCTTCCTTTGGTCTCTAAACTTGTGAAATCCGTCGTTCGACATCATGAAAGTAATCACAACCCCCCAGCTTTAGCTGTATTCCCGTGGTACAACATTGCGATTTCTTCTCGTTACTCCTGCCAAGAAGCGCTCCTGACTAAGGAAAACAGTCAAAATATGTTTAAAATCGCGTTGCGATTTTGATTACGCATATTCATTCATTATCTATTTTAGACATAATTCTAATAATTCGAGTTTTTCAACATGACTAACCTTTGTTTCTGGTGTTTCAATTAAAAATTGCTCAAACACACTGTTTTAATCACCGTTTAAGCAGAAAATGAGCAAGTTTTCATAAAAATACATATTTTACGGATTTCGACAATATATTATGTCGAAGAAAAATTACAAGTAATTATATTGCGACTTGTCTTCTGGCGCGTTCGCTATTTCCACAAAATGTCACTCGCGATCACCGCAATATTTTCTTTCCATGCTGATATATTTTCAACTCATTACTCTAATTCTAACTCTATCACTCAAATTGTCAATTAAACAAGCTATCGAATGATGTGTAGCTAGGATAAACATCACAGCTAATATCTGTAATCGCGCAAAAAATCGAACCTCGCAAAAACAACTCCAATCGACTCAGATAACGATAAAACGTGAAAATATTGGAGGATATATGTGGAGGATATTGTGGAGATTTGATAATGTATCTCCTTATGAGAGCACAATACTGGGTACGCCAGTCTTGAACTACATTGAAAAAAGAGCCGTCGATTTTATTTCGCGGCTACTTTTTATGGGCCGGCCTGGATATCTTGTGGAGCTCTTGGCTGCCGGATCGTCTGTCAGGTCTTCCTCTCTCCATATGGCGAGATCGAGGAGTCGCATTATCCACGATTCCCTCTTTGTTGAGGGAATTGTCTTATGGAATATGTTGCCACCCACCAGCAACGCACCACACCAGGCAATGTGGAGAGGCATTGTGGAGAAGGCCATGGCCCTTAAAGGGACGTAGGGCCATTTTAGTAAGTAATATGTTGCCGCGTGAGTGGAAGAGGGAGCTGATACTCCGAAGTACCGTCAAAGCTTCTCGCATATAAGTTTGTTCTTTAAACTTCTTTTTTTTTATATAACTTCTTTTTTGTAACCGAGAGGACACCTTGTCCTACTGTCGAAATAAATATCAATATCAAATATGACGGAAATGGAGGGAGGGAGCATTTTTTTTTATTTTCGTGTCTGTTTGTCGTTCCGCCCGTCTGTCATAACAAACGGGCTTTTGGGGTCTAAACGGTAAGAAATATCGACACGCGGTTTGCGGCAAAGGTCAAAAGTATGCAGTGCTAATGAACATTTTGATGTAAAATACAAACCCTCCATTTTGATCACCAGATAAATACACTTAAGTCATTTGTTCAGCCCCTATGGCAAGGATCGGGACCAAATTCTGGTATGTTATAGCTAACCTCAAGACATTTCTAACAAACTGCCACTTAAGGACATAGAACCTTCCGGATCCTTGATGAAAGGGTTCAAATTTCAAAAATTAAAATGTCCATAGCTCTGTTTCTAATAAATCTATCCGAATGATTTTGAGTTCAATAAAACGGTCTCGTAAAATGCCATCTCCCATCTAAACATAATAACTTGGTAAGATCATCGCTAGAAGCGCTAAAGTAAAAAAAGCATTTTCGAAAATGCATAGCTCGAGAACGAAATCATGCATTTTTTTTTTAATTTCAATGTGTTATGAGGTCGAGACCTTTCTAACGAACCCTTACTTGCGGGACCTGGTGCATTAAGAGCGGAGATATGGAAGCTCAAAGTTTACACCTTTATCAACCTATGACCTCGATGCAACTTAAAAATCATACCATTTTTAATTGGCTGCCATAAAAATGATTTTATTAATTGTTGGAGATTGCTCCAACTTTTAACGAATTTCAACATGAAATTTTCACTCATTGCTAAGTTCAGGCATTTCAGCCTTCTGGAAAATTTGTGCGTCCCTCTGACGTCACTTCGAAAGCATTCTCCCACTAAGACGCCACGCCATCAGCGCGTTTACACCTTTACCGGCCCGTATCTCCACTGTTTACCAACCGATGCCTATCAACTCTTCACCAAAAGACGTGTCTCGCCGCTCTTTTGTAGGCTATATTCACCATTAGTCTGTAACGTCATAAAAAAGTACCACAATATTGGAAAAAAAAACTTTTGAACGTCTGAACCTCGGCAACTTGATCCTTAATTTTCTTTAAATTTTAGTATGTTGTAGTCCAGGTCAGAACGTTTCTATAAATATGTTTTAGTTTTTGTGAATGCAATAGAACCGGAGTTATGATGGTTTTCAAGTCTTGATTTTATATACGCTATAACTTCATTTCATTTCTCATTTCATTTCATTTATTCCATGGCTTTTACAGTGGTGCTTCGGTTAATAACTTCGATTCTATTTATTCGATCTTAATAAATTAGGGCTCATTTGCGGAAGTAAATGAGTACTGTTTTAGGGCTCATTATCATCTCATTGTCAGTCAGTCAGCGCCCCACTATCGCGAGGTCGCTCTCCATAGGATCACGGGGATTGGTCCCCGGCGGAACGCAGTAGAGCAGGGCGACGTCGGCCGCGTAGGCAGTCACATGATCCTCGAAGTTGGACGTCAGCAGGTCATTGATGTACACCAAGAACAGCAGCGGGCCAAGCACAGAGCCTTGCGGCACTCCGAATGCGCAGGGAACGGGGTCGCTGATGCAATCCCGCCGAATCCTGACACGCTGCGCGCGGCCGATAAGGAACAAACCAATCCACTCAAGCGGGACACCCCGGAATCCCGCCGCCTCCAGTTTCTTCAACAGTAGTTCATGATGCAAAGAATCAAATGCCTTCGTGATGTCAATGAAAACGGCCGCCACGTTCTTGCCTGACCGGGAGTTGACGCCCTCATTCAGTTTGCAGGCAAACCTTGCCAGGACATCCTCGCAACCAAGCCCCGCGCGGAATCCAAACTACGCCTCCGAGAAGAAGCCGGCATGTGATAGGAATGAGTACATCCTTGGGTAGACAAGGCGTTCAAATAATTTTGATAGCGTGGATACCAGCGTAATGGGGCGGTAATTGTTCAGTGGCCGTCAATCTCTCTTCTTGAAGATGGGGACGACGAGTTGCGTCTTCAGGCAATTCGGGATGACACCAGAGCTCAGAGAGTTGTTGATGGCATACGCCAGCACATCTACGACATTCAAGGTTATCCTCTTCAACAGTATGTCGGACAACCAATCCATTCCTGGAGCATAGCGATTACGCGAGCGCATGATCATCCGGTACATCTCATGCGAGGATACCGGAGCCACAAAGAAGGAGGAGCGCACTGCAGGCGCAGCCGTGGCCGGGGGGTGGGGATTCATGGGTCACCGACAACCAAACCAAAATAGCAGTTTATCTCATTGCAGATGTCCTCGCCAACAGTTCTCATGGAGCCATCTCTCGCATACATTCACCCGTTGTCAGCCGACTTATCAATGCCTCGATTTGTCATTTCGTTGACAAATTTCCAGGACTTGGCGGGGTTATTACTAGCACCACTGAGCCGCCTGGAATACAGCAGGCGGCTAATTCTAGAGATCCAGCTAAAAAGGCTATATTCCGGATGAGAATATCGTCCGGAGAGAGACAGTTCATAGAGAAGCTACTAACAGGCGGGCTCTTTTCCAGGTATACTTTTATAAAGTTACTAAGCCTGTATCTGAGAGAACACGGTTTCATATTATCTAAATAATTTAAACTTAAATTTTTTGACTAAAGAATTTCAAAAAAAAAATGTTATTGAGCCTCTTTATGCCGGGCCAAGTTAAATGCTGGATTTATCAATTATGTAGCATTTCACAATATTCGGTTTTATTTTAGTCCATGGCGTTAATACCGGAACACAAGCGCTTCGGTTCACTTCGGCCGGATTACACTGAAAGCGAATCATGTTGCAACCCGACGCGCAGTTGCGAATGACGTTCAATGAGGATGTGTGTGAGAATTCGACAGCACACACGCATGCGCAACCGCGCAGTTTAAGCCGACTTTTTAGTCCATGTCGGACTAGCTTTAAGATAAATGCTACATTCTTTTAAATCCGGCGCGGCGTAAAGAGGCTTATTGTTTCGTATAGATAGCGTATGAATAAATATAATATAATATGATTTATTATTATTACTATTATAGAATAAAATTAAATAACAAAATTTAATCATTTTGTGAAAAAGGAATTTAATAAAAAATGTTTCTTTTTTATTTCGCCATGACAAAAAAGCGTGTGTGGAGCGCATTTTTGGGGAATTTGACTGTCCTTTTAAAGTCTCATGGAACCGCGTGTCGTACGATGTCTCATGTTTTTGTATTGTGTTTGTTTCACCATGAGACACAATAAACACATAGGAGAAACAATGTAATTCCCACGAGCATATGATTCAGCATAAGAAATTTGTCATTCGACACAGAGCAAATGTTAGTACCAATGATTACGAGTTTTGTACGAGAACATTGGACTGTCTATTAGGTAGCTTTGTGCGACGCATCGTTTGATTTTTTCATGACGAAATAAAACTCGCAAAACTACCACTAAAATTTTTATTCAAAAAATTTCCAGTTGAAAATATATTTTTCCTTTCTGCTGGTCGAGATGATCCTCCAGTGACCGCATTCTGAGTTCCTCCGATATTGACACGCGGTTTGCGGCAAAGGTCAAAAGTATGCAGTGCTAATGAACATTTTGATGTAAAATACAAACCCTCCATTTTGATCACCAGATAAATACACTTAAGTCATTTGTTCAGCCCCTATGGCAAGGATCGGGACCAAATTCTGGTATGTTATAGCTAACCTCAAGACATTTCTAACAAACTGCCACTTAAGGACATAGAACCTTCCGGATCCTTGATGAAAGGGTTCAAATTTCAAAAATTAAAATGTCCATAGCTCTGTTTCTAATAAATCTATCCGAATGATTTTGAGTTCAATAAAACGGTCTCGTAAAATGCCATCTCCCATCTAAACATAATAACTTGGTAAGATCATCGCTAGAAGCGCTAAAGTAAAAAAAGCATTTTCGAAAATGCATAGCTCGAGAACGAAATCATGCATTTTTTTTTTAATTTCAATGTGTTATGAGGTCGAGACCTTTCTAACGAACCCTTACTTACGTGTATTAGGAGCGGAGATATGAAGCATGTGATGAAATATACGATAAAAATTCTCTGTTCGAGAAAACTAAAGCTGAAATATTTGAGCAAATAAGAGAATATTTTTGTGCTTTTTTAAGCCTTTGCAGCCTGAAGTAGAGAGTCAAACCCTGCTCATTATTACAATTTAGATCATAACCTTTCAATTTGAACAACTGAATCCCTACGAATACATAATTTCCTAATGTTGTGAACCACACAAGGAAGAGCTTCAAAGATCTATCTTGAAAAATATCGAAATAAGAACATTTCAAAATCAAACAAAGTTTTACTGGCATTCTTTTTCGGGTTTTAAATCATTTTTAAAGAACAAAGGAAAAACATGTATATTTCTTTGTCGACTTTGTATCTATTTTTTTCCAAATTCGTTGTCTAAATCAGTATTTGTAGTTGAGTTCGGGTTGGTTGATTCAAATAATAGGCGAATCAAACGAAATAGCAGAAATCCCAGCACTATCTCCTTGTGCTGGGACAGGCTGACCAAACTCTAACTCTTTTTCTCAAGTCACGTGCTGTTGAGTTCATTTCTCGCATACTTTACTTGCGTCAGACCCATTATTTGGCTGAAATTCTCGCACCTGGCTAGTCTGTCAGATCTTGGAGTCTCGTTTTGCCGGCATCGTGGAGTTGTTTACTCCGAAACTCTCTTTTTGTTGACGAGGTGAATCTCTGGAATGACTTTTTGAGATATCAAGCGGCGAATAATCCGAATCTGTTTGGCGTCTTAACTGCGTTGCTTTTTTTAATTTTTTTCTCTCTAGTAAAAGCTAAAGAAGATAACTTATACAACCCAACCCGTGAAAGAGCTTTTCCACCGTTTTGCTCTAGAGGTTGGTCATTAATACTTTGACGTCGGTGGACTCAAATTACGCTCACAAAAGCTTGTACTTATGAGAGAGAAATAAATATACTATACTATACTATATTAAATCTGGAAAACTGCTTATTTGGAATATTTCCTGGAATATTCCATTACAGATTTCAAAGTTGGTACGGAAATGTTCCATTTCTCTTCAAATGTAAATCTCCGGCTTAACAATAACTGTTGTATTTCATGCATAGACTTAAGTTGTGTGAAACCAGAGCAAGAAACTTTTTGCGGGAAGAAGTCAAGACGAAATTCCTCAATAAGAAAATTTAAGTCAATCTTTCGTTCCAAAGCCATCGATGCTCAGCGCACCTTCTTCAGTATCTACAAGCTAGACATAGGTATTTTCTCCATAAATAGTCCGAATATTAGTACTCTCAGTTTTTGAGTGTCCTAAAATTTTTGCGTGTAGGTAAGTTACTTTGAAAATTTATTTAAGAAACGAAATTATCAGTGTAAAAATCTTAACTGTCTTTCACTTAGACAATGTTTCTAAGATGAATTGCAGTTTAATCAGGCGCATGTACTGTCGGTGTAAGAAATTGGTCACTCTAGTTGACTTCTGACCATATATTTTTGCATGCTCCGACCATTTTGCATCCCTTCAAAGACTAGAAGATGTAAAAATGCAAAGTGATGCGGAGAAGGTAAAACTAGGTGACGAAAATGCAACCAAAGTGATCAATCTTTTCCACCGACACTACACAGACCCAACCGCGCACCTGATGATAAAGGAATTTACCTCGGAAAAATCATCTAAGTGAAACTAAATTAGGAGTTTTGCACTGGCTATTTAATTTCTGACATAAATAATCCATTCGAGTTGAAAAATACCAGTTACTTTGACAATTCTGAAGAAAATTATTACAACCTGGTGCAATTTTTAGAAATCGAAACGCATTTGCATTTCAAAGAGATACCTATATGTATGTATGAAGCTTCGTCAATTTTCGAGTGGAAATATAACTTTGCAGACATACCATTCAATAACGTGATTATACTATTACATTAACTTTAATAAGTAGTGACGTATGTATATAAATATTGCGTTCAAACCACTATAATTTAGAAATGATTTCGGGGCTATGGGCATTGGTAGACTGGTCGTGAAGGGGCTCCATTGTTACGGGGCGCTGTGCGTTTTATAGTACGATCTTCGTAGCGTGTTCCACTTTGTGATGCCATGGGTCTATTTAAAGTACTATTTGCGTTATTGGGACTGTTGGGTGTCGCGTTCCGCGCTGCTACCGCTTTTGTAACAAAATCCTGCTCTCGCCAGCCGTGTTTCTTATAAACGTCACGTAGCTCTTGATGTTGCCACATAGTGAAGAGTACCTGCCCTGTAAACTTTGTTACACGTGGAGTGTACTTTTGACGTTGTCGCGTAATGCTCATCAACCGTTCCACCCCACCTGCATCCAGCAAAGACCGGCTGAACTCGGCATTCTTTTTGATTACCTGTAAAAAACAAACACTATATAAGCATATCAAAATTAAATTTTAAGCAACGTCATTCTATTAGAGTCTAACCGCGAGGATTGCCAGCCCGTTGCACTATTTTCCAAATAAAGTCAATAGTCTACGAATTATTCACTTCTATTTTTTCTCAGAAAAGTTGATAAAAAAAAAGAAAATTGCACGACATTCATAGCGATAGTGCGATAAACCCATAATACTTAGATTCACCTCGTTAAGTGTGGCCAAGACTGCAGCGATGGTGTCGTCAGATGTACCTTGATCGTGTTGCGGATTGCCGGACGGCAACTTCTGTACCAGATCACGCATAGCATACTTGCCGATTAATTCTTTATTGCGCTGGTCTATGGCCAGATTGCGTAGCGCTGTGGCCACAGCGCATACTACACGGTCCACCTCCATTCTAAGCAGCTCTACCAAGATAGGTAGACCTTTCTCTTTACGTACGGCCGCTCTGATCTCGATGCTTGGTTGCCAGTAACACGCGGCGAGATTTTGTAGTGCTCCAGCAGCCGCTTCCAAGGTTTCTGGATTGGAGCAACTCTGTAACAGCGTGAGGTAGGATTGCACTACGTCAGGCTGCCAAAGCAATTCATAGCCTTTCGTATCACCACGCAACTGACGTGTTGGAACTGTTACGAGTCCTTTTTCAAGGGTAGTGTCTTTCTTTTTGCGTGATGCACCAAAACACCCCAAATTAGCGTCTGTATTACGAGTACCGCTACGAACGCCTCCAATCGGTGGCAGTGGATGATGATCATAATTGGGGTCTTCCACTTCCTATACATATAAGCCAGAAAATATATATCTAATTAGCACTTTCTTTATATTCATTGAATTCTGATTGTTTTGATCCTTAACCTATAGTATCGAAGGAAAAACGCTCTAATTATTGCAGTCGTTTGTTCAATAATAATATAAGATACAATTAAATAATATCAAATGAACATTAGAATTCAGGAAATATAAATAGCAGAATACTAATGGAGGCATCATGACGACTTCAGAATCTATTGCAGATTACTGATAGGTACACTTTACCGGGTACAGTCTAACATATTTTCATATTTCTTTACATCTCATTGGAAAAATGCATTGGGAGAATGTGAAATACGGCGCCGCCATAGATTCGCGGCGGAAGAAATGAGAATCATTAAAACTGCTGTTATATTACCGGAAATTCATAATAATTATACATTGAATGCCAAAATGTGTGTGTAAAGTTGCATGAATCCCTAAATTTCTTTTAAGTTAAATATCATTAATATATATGTAGACCTAACAAATCTTCAGATTGAAAATGAAAATTGTGGGAAGATTTATAAATTTTATTTCTTTATGCTTTTCCATATATGATTTAAATATTTTTTATTATGTGTATGAAGCATATAAAAATATATCTCTCAGTTGTGATATTGAAGTTGCAACGCTTAATATAATTTTAGACTTACCTGACAACGATAAGAGAGATTCCGTAAAATACACACGCAATTCTCCACAATTTTGTTACCAATGTTTGATTTATCAATGGCTGTGCGAATAACGTACAGTAGAGAATCTACTAGACCTTCACATTCACGCAGGCGTGTTCGTGCATATTCTCCGGCACTGCTCACATTACGTAAAACACCAGAAGCGTTACGAAATACTGTACTCCAGCAGGTCTCTCCAGGGCTCACGGTGTCCCAACCGCTATGGGGAATGATAACGAAGGATACAATTACGTATACACCATCATCAATGATAGCCCGCTTCAAATCCTCACAGGACGACATGTTCCAGATTACGCCTGTAACCAATTCTTTCACTTCGCTCTCCGTTGTACGCCGAAGCAGAGATATGAGCGCTGTAATACCACCCGCTGCTTTTATTGAGCGCTTATTTTCATCATTTTGTCTTCCATACGACAAGTTACGTAACGCACCGCAAGCATTCCTGTCAAAAAAATCATTAAAATTATCAATAATATATTTGTTCTTTTACGTATACACAATGGAAATGGAAGTCAGAAATATCAGTCAAATATCAGATAATTTCATTTCACATCGGCGATGGTTCAGCAAATTCGACGCCATTCTTTAACAATACGTGTGTACAATATAATTCAGTCTTCTTACCAAAGAAAAACAGTGCTTTAAAGGAAGGTCACAAGAAAAGACGAGGGAAGTTTGACACGTATGGAAAATAGGAGAGCACATATGAAACACTATAGGTCTAGCGACGTCCGTAAAAAATCTGAAGGGATTTCGCAAAAATACAAAGCAAAATTACATGTTTTCAGCATTAATAATTTTGTTTCTAGTTTCTATGACGAAATCGTCTGTGAAATCTCATAAAGCTTCCAATAGTAGTTTTTTCATAATTGATGGTGTGGTGGCGGAAAGGGGGCGCGGGGAAAGGGCGATCGGGTTGACGTTGACGCAGAGGGACAAGATGGCGGACGGAGGAGTAACAAAAGAGTCAAGAGTACGTAAGGACGTGAGAAAGATAACAGGAGGAGAATTTCCAGGCCATTACAGATGGAAATTTGTATTGAAAATTAATACTAGTTGTAATGGATAATTTGTTTTCTTATGAGAGGATTCTAAATATAAATATTATGACTCGCCTGTACACGTCTCCATTTTCATGCTCTAATAGTGTCACGAGGGGCGGAATTCCGCCTAACGTTCGAGTGCGCTGCTTATTAGGGTCGTCCATATAACAAAGGTGTTGAAGGTAAGCAGCTGCATTAGCCTTCACCACGGCTGATTGGTTGCCAAGAAAACCTATAACTTCCGTAAGGTTTGGATCTCGCCACCGCACATGATGCTCTTCATCAGCTGGAGGTGCTACTTGAAGGGCTTGCAGGTGTTGTTGAAGTTGCTCTTCACCACCATAGGGTGCAGCAGCAATATAACCATATGCCAACTGGGTCGCATCTTCACTGTAGCGTTCCAGAACTCGTGGTGACGGCGTAAGATGATATTCTGTCAAAGATAACGATATTCACTATTGGGTAAATGCCGCAATTAACCTTGAACAAAAGCATAACAATATATCATGAAGCTAGTTATTAAAATTTTTAGAATAACAGTGATTTTTTCCAACATTGCGCAATATTAATAAAATATGAAATAATAATAATAAAAATAATAATAAGTATAATAATAATAATAATAATCATTATGGGTGAACTGACAATTTGCCACCGAAAAGCAAATCTGTCTCGAATATAAGCTGTGACGGAGAAGGCTTTGTTGCTTAATGGGTGGTGGCATTGCCAAAATAACAAACATTAAATAGGCCCGATAGATACAACACTTGATAAATATTGTTAATGACCGCATTCACACTAATTTTCGGATAAAATTAAAATCACAAAACATAACTAGACAATCACATCAACTAGATCACTATAAGCCGAACACCACTAAGTATGGAACTCGCGGCCTCAGTTTCACTACCACAATGCTCTACAATAATTATAGCTGGGCGTAGCCCGCTGCACCTGTAATCGCGCTAAACATAAAAACCCGCAATATATAGCAAAAAGGCATCGGGGAGGCTTAACATCACGAAACATGACAAAAAAGAGTGGGGTAGCATTTTTTTGGGTGCCGTCCGTCGGTCCGTCGGTTCCACCGAAATGGACTTGTGAAGCCTAAACTGTAAGACATATCGACATGCGGTTTACACCAAAGGTCAAAAGTCGAACTGCCGCTAGAGAATGATGATATCAAATCCAACCCCCCACCCCTCCGTCTGCCATTCTAAACACCCCCAAAATACACTTTCCTCATTTGTTCAGCCCCTATGGCAGGGATCGGATCCAAATTCTGGTATGTTATAGCTGACCTCAAGACATTTCTAACGAATCGCCACTTCAGGACATAGATCCTTCCAGACCCTACATTTTCGGGTCGAAATTTTGAAAATTAAAACGGCCATAGCTCCGCTTTTCATTAACCGATATAAATGATTTTGTATTCATTGGAAAGGTCTCGTAAAATGCCATCTCCCACTCTATCATCATAACTTGGTAAAACCATCGCTAGGGGCGATAACTAAAAAAAAACTATTTTCGAAATTTCAAAATCGAATAACACGGAAAAAATGCTATAAATTTTCTTTAAATTGTAATATGTTATAGCTGAGACCGAGACCTTTCCAATGATACCCTACTTGTAGGGCCTAATGTTTTGGGAGCGGAGATATGGAAGGTTAAAGTTCAGACCTTTCCCGGCCCATATCTCCGCTGTTTACCAACCGATGCCTATCAAAAGACATGTCTCGACACCTTTTAGTGGGATGCATTTACCGTTACGCTATGACGTCATAACTAATTCCGCCATATTGAAAAAATTTGAATCCCTGTATCTTGACAAATCTGTTATGCATTTTGATGAGATTTTAGTATGTTGTAGTCCAGATCAGTACGTCTCTAAAAATAGGTTATAGTTTTTGTGGATGTAATAGAACCGGAGTTATGACGGTTTGACTTTTCAATTTCAAATGCGTTATAACTTCGGTTCTATTTCTCCGATCTAAATAATTTTGGGCTCGTTAGAAAGCTCTTGCAAAACTCTGCGACTATTTCGAATAACAGAAGTTCATCAAACCACCGCCAAAGACGCTAATCTTGATAACAAAATTTTGAAAATTTTTAAGTGAAAAATTTTGTTCCAAGGTCACACTACTTTGAGAGAATTTCCTAAGTATTTCGATAGTTTAGATCGAGTCGTTTCCAAAATGGAGTTATACTTTTCTGTCAGTGCCATAGAACTTGAGTTAGGGTGGTTTGACATTTTTCGTTAAAAACAGGGTTGGTCGAGTTAGCCACATTACGTGTTGGCGGCGCCCAGCTGACCATAAGCGTTCGCTTATCACATGTTTTTATTTCCAATAATTCTACCTTAAGATCACTTTTAATGAGCGACCGCCGAAAAGAATTGGCACAAAATGAAGAATTCGACTAATCAAACAATTTCACATAATGTAGTAAGTATAGAGCCAGTATCTAGTTTTTTCCCAATTGTCACCGTGTACACCCCCGTCTGTTCTTTCTTTCTCCGTGACATACACCTGCAACTTTTGTACTTAACTTTAAGTGTAAAATGAAACTATTGCGTGCATGTAGCCTCAAATATTGTTTAATCTGTAAACAGGAACATTAATTAAAAATAAAATTATAATAATTATTGCCAAAATAAGTAAGTAATTGTACAGTCCGAAAAAGTTAATTAGTCTATTTGTAATTCACTATTAATGATAAGAACAGCGCCAAAAGCGTGTTATAGAAGTCATATAAATTCGCGAAAATTACTACATCTATAGAATCGTTATGAATTGGACAGATTGGCTAGTTTGTTTCAATGAAATTCACGTCCAATGCTTTCTGAGGTGTTGTAATTAGTTGAAATCACACTCTACTCAACAATTGATTTTCCAGGTAGTAAATAAATCTTTATTTATGTATTATTTGTTCAGGAGAACGATGAGGAGAATGTACCCTGCCCATGGTGCGCTCGTCCTCCCTATCGGGGTCGCGCGTGACTTATCGGATGTTCATCAGTGATCAGGGAGAGCATTGATGAGCACACCAATACATGCAAATCTCGCTGGTTTAATTCAGCGAGAGAAAAGCGATCGTTTATCCCGGTCAATCAATAAACCGGGATACGAAAAACTGGGTCAAGTGTACTCTGAGCCTCTTCGGTGCACTTGCATTTGTGTCGGAGTCTTTGGGCAGTGCAGAGGCTACTTTTTATTTGACAATTTTGAGTGTTGTTCGTTCTTGTAAAAGATCCGTATAAGTTGAGTAGATTTAGATTTAGATTATAAGCGTAGGAGTAGTGCAAGACGACCGAGGCTGTGTAGGCGTATATTGCGAAGGTAGTGAAAAATACATTTGAAATCATTAAGGGGACTTCCGAGTGGTTTTGAGTGATTATGGGGAGTCTGAGGACGCCGTGTTTTCGCGCCAACGGTGCGAGAGGTCAACTAGTGGAATTTTCCCAGCAATCTTTGACCCATGAGAAGGATTTTTTAATGTTTCTCCCCAGATCTACTAATACGGTGATTTTCCATCTCTTTCACAGGTAGAAGAATCTTCCGAGGCCCAGAAGGTGTGCCGAAGGGGCAATTATATCTCGCAGAGATTATTTCCTCTCTCATAATAATGTGCGTAGATTATTGGCTGGCTGTTTCGGGGATATTCGCGGGATTACTTGCTTTGTCGCTGAACTAATAGGGATTATTCTCACTAGTAAAAGTTGGTAACTACATTATTCCTTTCATTCATGTGTGCATAGACACGTTTTCATTTAATTCTCATCCAGAGCGAGGCAAAGCTGGGTCCCGTTTTTACGATGAGATTAGACCACCCAATTATTTAACATTATTATTTTCATGCAACTTTTCAGGCTCCTAGATTTACAATATCAATACAGAATTCTAATTTGTGTGGCTCTCTTGTGTTCTTGGCATGTCTTGTTTGTTTTCGGTATCCCTCCACTCTGGCCTCTTGCTTCCTGTGGTCACTTGCTGGCCTTTGTTTTGTCTCGCTGCCAATTTTCTTATTTCTGTCTGTTTATGTCTTCTGTCTATCTGCCTGTCTGACTATGTCTCCTTCTTCAGGGATGCGATAAATTGGGGCGAAAACTAGTCAAATATGGGATGCACTACAACTCTCACTGCAAAACTCCACCGATCCAACACTATGGCTCCCATCCTCTGCACTCAAATTTCATCAATCAGCCGTTAAACACAACAACAACGACAAACTCTTAAAGTGAATGCTATTATCTCCTCTCTAAAGTCATTAAAATATGCTTCCCTGCATTCACGGCCAAATGTATGATGTAGTATTACATACTCTAATGTAGACTGTATTATGACATGTTATTGTAAAATCCGTTATTCAGTATTCAGTGGTTATTCAGTATTCGAGTTGCAGACGAATTTTTTTTAGATTGTTCGCAAAGAAATGCCAAATTATCCCTAACTCCTCATCAGATCGCCAAAAGTAACACAGATTTGATAAGCTGGTTTCATTGACTACAACTCCCTGAACATGTCAAGATTGCCAAAATTACTCCAAAGGGTCAAAATGACCACAACTCCCAGAGAAGCACAAAAAGTGTCTTTTTTCAGGTGTTTGAAAAATCACATAAAACGCCCCGCGAGTGGCAAAAATTCGCGATATGATTGAAGTTGTAGAGAATTTCACGGCGAATATTTTCACCACATATTACTTTTCTCTCTGAGAACCTCAATTTGAGATATTGCCTTTTTTCCCCTTTTCAATTCGCCTCATCATACACTAAGAAAAATTACAGCCGCGCGCTTTCTGCGATTTTCTCGCGAATTCTGCCCAGTCTGGCTAAACAAAAGAACAAAAGTTCGCTCGGTGGAAAAAAGCGTCTCAGATGTTTCTTTAATAAGCGTCTGGGTTATAAATCCACTACTTCATTTTACCTTGCTGGTATTCAGTCATATCATCATAGGGTGGTTGTAAATATCCACCAGTGGCTCCGTCGATAACTGGCTGCGCTACCGTTGGTGATGCCGATTGATCACTAGGGCTTGGTGGTGTGCGTGATGATGCGTCCGTGCCATCTGCAAATCCAGTATTGGCATATTGAGGTGCAAAAGTATCGTAATCTCCATAATGGGCGTGGTAAGTCTCCGTCGGCGGACATCCATGTACGTAGATATGGTGTGGCTGTTCCATGTGATTATACTTAACGTATTGTGTACGCGGAAATAATCCTAACGGCATCGTTACATAATCCACAGAAGGTTCATCTGTGTCACCGAGAGATTGCACGTCTAATGGCATGGAGACGTAATCAAGACTGGTAGCATTCGGAAGATGCTTTACCTCGCGCACCACTTTTGTTACTGTTGTAACCTATAGGTAAAGAGTATAAAGTTGCAGTGGAGATAGAAAAGTTTTTAAAATACTTTCACCTGCTGTGTAGTGGTACTCTTATGATGTATCTTTTCGTCTTCGAGCAACGGCATGTGGGAATTATTAGGCGAGTTCTCACCGTGTCCGTTACTCTGATTCTGAAATAAGGGGCCAGTAGCGTCTTGCCGAGTCCTAGAGAATAAAAAAAGTAAGCGTCTACTTAAAGACGCTATCAAACTAATGCTTACTTATACTGCTGCATATTGACAGAACGGAATGTGATAGTCCAAGATTGGCGCTACATTGACTAATATTAGTCAATCTTACTGTTGGCGTAGTTCATATTTGATACTCTTATCTTATTTGTTTTCTCCCAGTAGGGACACGTTCAGAAAATGGAGTTCACACTTACTCACTTTCAGAAGCCAAACAATGCAACGCGCGACAATTTTGTACACACCCAAACGCGACAAATAATCGAAAAATAATATAGCAATCGGATATACTCGGCTTTTTTGACTGTTGACCGAAATACCCAATAACTACACTTGATTTTAATTTTGACATAATACCCTATTTCGGTTGTCCTACTAGAATCCATCAGAATATCCAATAACATGCTTTTATTATTAACACTGGAAAATGTTGAATATAAATTTCATTCGAATGAGCTAACCAGTCTGTTCAATTTAGTACATTTTTATCAGAAAATATTTTACGAGATTTTTCTCGTTTATCTCAAACAAGTTTCAGGGCAGGTTGTTGGAGGAGACTATCTGACAGTTGTATGAGATCATGGATTCTAATCTCTTTATGTCGTCCTAAAAACATGAGACAAATCGTATGAGAAATATTCAGATTGTTGTTAGAGGGACTCATGTCAACACGACGTTAAGAGTTTAGAAAAGTTTATTGTCTCCACGGCAATGGCATGCTTAGACTTTGTTATTTTAAAGGTACGTCGTCATGCTCAGGATTAATCGATGAATAAGTTTCTATTTGCATCTTGGTTGTAGGTAAATGGGGTGGATGTGAGCGGATGTAGTCACGAAGAAGCAATCAAAGTTTTCCTTACGGCCCACGAACCTATTACTGTAGAGGTTCGAAAGCGGGTGGCGGATCAAGCGAAAACTGTTACCTCCAAAAGCATATCCGTGGCAGTACAGACAGACTTGTTAGAAGAGGTGGATGTAGACATCGAAGAGATGACCCTACGTAAGGCACAAATAAGTGAAAAGATAGGATTCACAGTGGCTTACATTGCCCCTAGCACTAAATGCACGGCAATACCACATAATCAATCGACAGAAGCTTATATCAGCAACATTATACCCGACAGCATAGCGGCACGAGATGGACGTCTGAGGCAGGGTGATCAGATCCTTCAGGTTCATACGATAAGTCAAAGTATAACTCCATTTCGGAAACGTTTGTGTCTGACTATAAAAATACTTAGAAAATGTAATTGGACTAGGTTGACTTTAAACCAAATTGTTGATTTTAAAATATTAAAAAAAAAAACATTTGTGCCCCAATCAGTAGTAAAATGTATTTCGTTGTTTCAAGTAGTTGTATTACTGCACAAATGTTAAATTCCGTTAAATGAGAAATCCCGTGAGCAGAATGAGAGTCTCGCGAGTGCTCTTGAGGTGTCCCACGACATGGCGATGAGTCTAGGCGTACCCACCCCCTCTTCGCAAAAAAAATTCTCCATCGATTTCGTTTCACCAATTGCCTAAACAGTAATTATGAGCTTTGTTAAGTAAAATTCTTGATAAAAGGGGTGAAAGCAAAAGATTCTCTGTTAAAGTTTCAATTTATTGTAGTAGTTTAAGTATTGTCAGATATTAATATACGTGTTATCCGAGTAGATGAAATGTAACAGAGTATTTATCTCGATAGCTCTCTGTTCTTAGTAAATTAAAATGACGGGCGAATTCGGACAACAGGATACAACTACTCGACGCGTGCTAAAAGTCGTAAGGGAGTCGAAATTGAGTTTTAACAGAGCCGCAACGAAAGGTGCAAAGACTATACATTCTGGAGTCTTTCGACTTTTATTCTAGAGATATAAGTCACACAAAAATTTCTCCACTATTTGTTAATGACATAAATTTCATTATGCAAAAAGCATTAAAAACAAGTATGGAACACTTCTTTTGGGAAAACCGAGTAAAAGAATAATAAAAAGGGAACGAAAAATGTGAGTGTATTAAAGACACAGTTTAGTTTCATATTTTTGAAACCTAAGCTTTTTATGACATCTTTCAAAGCAACCGTACTTGGGCTCATTTCTAAATTGAAATCAATGAGTTAGATGCATATGCATATTTGAGAAATTAACCAATACAGTAAGAACATGACAAAAGAGATAATATTTCTTTTGTTTCCCTTCAGGTAAATGGGTGTGATGTAAGTAGCAAAGAAGAAACAGAATTACTGTTTGCTGAGAATCCAAACGCTGTGACACTACTCGTAAGTCGCTGTTCTGAAACATCTATAGACACTCTGACAGATAATATGAATACTCTGAATATACACCCGGAACACATTTACGAAACAATCCCAGAGGATGAGTCGGAACCTATCTACTGCAGTCCTCATGACTCAGGGAGCGATCGCCAGTTAGCATTCGAGGTGAATAAAGATAAGCTATGGTTAGACTGGCGCCCATCTCACCATCACTACGTTGATGTTACACCTCTACATACATCGATTAGTTCCAATGAAATGGTGCGTATGTCACGCGTTCGCCCGAGCACCTCAGCTGTAACTCTGCCAGCTGCAACTATTTATACCAGTCGTGAAAATCTTAACAATGCCATAGCCCTTCAAGAACGTCTCTACAGACGTGCTCTTGAACGTAGACTGCCGCCTACGACTGAGACTCCCATGATGGAATGGAAGGTTAAACGGCGCCACGACGGCACCCGCTACATTGTACGCCGACCTATAGAAACGCGGCGAGGTAAAAAGCGTGTGAAGTGGCGTCTTAAGCCTAATAAGCAACAAACTAATGGTGCAGGATTGCTGTCAGTCACAATTGTATAGTAATAAAAAAAATGATTTGCTTTCCTAAAGTTTTTAGAATTTGAGGTTACCGTTGAACAGCAATATTCTATCCAGATATTTAATATGGATTACATTATATACAATATACTTTACAATAATCTGGAGCGATTTCCACTGAAAAGAAGGAATGTCAGTTTTCAAACACCAAATTTTTACACTTCAAATTAATAAGTAAAATCACTCCTTTCTAATCTCTTTAGAACCACTGTTTTGCATAACACTTTGCTGAGTTTTCAGCGATTCAACATTGTGTAACAGAAGGAAAATGCTGAAATATACTAAGATTTTAAAATGCATATGCAAGTACAACCTCTGGAGGTCGTTTTAAACTTATATATTCGGACGGTATAAAATTGGTAAAACATATGTGAACCAGAATTGAAAATAACAGAAATAGTGAAATTTATAATACAAGTATTGAATTATTGGTTAAAACCACTGTCTGTTTTGCCTTGCATTCCGCATTCCGCGGAACTCAGAATAGCAAAAACTGTTTTAAACTAATATAACACATTTTTAACATTCCTTGTCTGAGTAGGAATTGCTGCAATCATTCATATTTAGTCTTCAGATCAGTGGCTTAATTTTAAATTTATTGAAGATAATGGTTTTGAATATAAAATTTATCGTGTAGATTTTTCGACGTTGAACATTCTACAGCTTCCTCTTTGTGTTTAGCAGAATAAATCCAAGTCAAATAATGAAGGTAACACAAAGGATACCTCGTAAAAAACATTTATCTTTATAAGTCTTGAAAATAGGTAACAAGAATAAGGTATGATGCATACTCTGTCTGAAGCTAAACTCTTAGGTTGTGTCAAAGTCAGAATCAATGGAAGACAACTGAGGGCCAAGCCTTGAAATGGTTTAAATCAAAATCAACAGAAACACATAGACTTTTAATTTTTTAATTATGTACAGAATTTGGCATGTTTTGCGAGTATTGCATTAAAATTAGTGTTCTGAATTTTTCAGGAGGGAAAATGCTTTCGAAATTCAGGCACAAATTTTATTTCGTTGTTATTGTTTGTGCCCCGTTGAGGTGGTGAGGGACCCGGATAAAGTTAATACGTTTTTCTGATACTCATTACTATTTGTTTATTTTGTGATTACTTTTGGACTTTGCTTATAAGTCCACATCTTAAGTGCATTGCATCATGAGACTTAGGCCTTGTTGCAATTTTAAATTCATATCATTTTTTAAAAGTTACCATAAAAATGATTTTACTAAAAGGTGTTGCAAGATTTCGATTAGTATATTATACGAATGTGGTGCATTTTTCTGCCTGAAACATTTCAAAAGTTGCTGCTTGACACCGACACATATTTTTTGTCGCCTGAAGGCAAGAAAAGCCGAAAAATTCACGAGAAAATCAGGAAAATAGACTAATTATGTTATTATGTAAATAATCACATAATTTTTTAAGAAACCTCACCCCCAACCTTTCTTTCTCATCCTGGACAAGACAGTGTCTGAGAAAAATCTTATCCAACCACTTGTCTTGCCCGGTCTCGAACCGGGACCCCTGAGAATTAGTAATTCAGTGCGTTCCCAATTACCCTACAAGACTGGATGAGAGTTCACAGGCTGAAGGCTTTTACTCAGTCAAGCAAATTCACATTTACACCTTCACAAAGAAAGACTATACGGGTTGAATCACATAATTGTTGGATATTTCTGGCCATTTGTGCACATTTCAAAGAAACTAATTGGTTTTCTAACACATTTTCGAGTACATGAAAAGCTAAGTTTTCATTTAATTTATCGTTGACGCGTACATGTCGTGACACGCACGAAAATGCGGATGTACTAAAATGTCAAAACAAAGGCATCTTCCCGGACAATCTGACCAGCAGACTCCTTCGAGAATCCCATCGGAAATACGCCCTATGTTAGGAACTGTCACGGATGAAGATGTCTTGTCCTGACTGGTATTCACTATTTCGTCCTGTTGAACACATTCTTCGCGCTGAAAACATCCCTTGGTAATCGCCGAAAAGTCCTAGAAGTTCCTTGAGATTAGTTTCGGAGAAACACGGAAAATTGCGTTTCACTTCCACTAAAGAACATTCCCTAACTTCCACGTGGCGGAAAATCGCCAAAAACTGAGCAGAAATCGGAATATTTTGCCCTAAAAACACCATCAAAGAGAAAATCTAGCACTTTACGGCTGCTCAAAGGTAGCCGCAATGAAATGATTTTCTGACAGCTGAAATTCGTATAAAATAAAGCCCCCACTGCATCTTGCAACGCCTTCTTGTTCGTATTTCATTCGCACTAGCAGCCGCCAGGTGGCCGCCAATATGATATATGAAAACGGAAAGTTGGAACACCAGATTAGTATTTTATACGGACTGAAATACGAAATTAGTAAAGTTGTAACCAACCCTTCCTACTTATCTTTTATTCCAATTCGTACACCTAAGTAAATAATGGACTACATAAACCACTATTTTCAAAGATTTTAAATTTTCTGAGCTTGGAAACGAAAAAACGAAAGAATTTAAAATCCTTTAAAATTTCTTGTGAGTAGTTAGATATAATTAAGCAATGTTTAACCACAATATTGACTTAATGAAAGTTGATATTCCAGCAAAAGGTCGTTCATCGGTGTATCGTATAGCAAAACAATTTCTCGTTATGCTATAGTGGCTTTTATTGGAAATTTCCAGCATCCAATAAGGCAAGATATGTTTCTTGGAGTCTATTAAAAGGGCATAAGCAGGATCATCAACAAAATTTTGTCCATTCTAGAATTTTGCTTGCAGCTTGGTGCTTCGCGTTTGCTGATATAGAAACGGTAATACAACATTATGAACTTACGAATAAATATCAAATTAGGAAAGAGACAAGGAAAGAAAAGGAATATAGGAAGGAATGTGTCAAGTAGTAAGCGGACCTATCAGACCTGAATTTAGATTACACTTCAATATGATGGATAGTACTTAATTTTGCTCGATCGGGTTGCCAGATTTAGTCCTTTAGTCTCCTCTTTCTCTGTCGTTTTATTCCTTCTTCACTACCTTCCTGCTGTCAAAATAGATGCTAGAAATGTGTCATATTTCAGAGGTTCATTAGAAATTAGTTTCTATAATTGCATTCGCAAGCCGCCAGTTTTTGCCTGAATTTGTGATGTTTTGTGGTAATTGAACCTTTTTTAATGGGCCAACCTCATCATCATCATTATCATCTTCTCCGCTTTTCCCTTGGTGGCGTCGCGGACTGCAGGGCCTTCAGGACTTCCTTCCACTCTTCACGGTCCTCCGCCTTTCCTGCTAGTTCATTGGGTGATAGCCCCAGGCGTTCCCCGAGATTTAGGATCTGATCCCTCCATCTCATCCTGGGCCTACCCAGGGGTCTTTTCCCAACCGGCTTTGCATAAAATGCCTTTTTCGGGAGACGATCATCTTCCATGCGCTCAACATGCCTCAAACCAGCGCAACATGGACTCCTGAACTGTGAGAACTAGCGGCTCGACTTGAAACTCCTCTCGTACAGTGACATTTCTCACTCGATCTCTCCGAGTGGTCCCTTTCAGTGCACGTAGGTATCTCATTTCGGCTGCTTGAACTCGCGACTTTATTCTTTCGATTATTAATGTGCCAACCTGTATTTGTAAACCCTAATTAAAACATTGCCTTTCAGCTGTGACCATTTTCAGCTGAAAATAATGCTTATAAAAATGTTACGCGACAAAAGTTGGAATGATAACCGTCTATACTAATGCGAAAATATTGGGATAGATAATAAAATCGTTCTGAAGAATGTTCTTCCTGGAAATAAGTTTTCCCGGTCTTCGGCCGCGATATCTGTGAAGGGATGGAGAAGTTACGCGCTCGAGTGAAGGTGCGTCAAATATTGTTTTCAAAGAGTTCTTTAAAAATGTTACCCATGTAAAGAACGTGGACTTCAAGAGGCGACTCTGGTGTACATACAGAGTCTCAAGCGATACCTCAGCCAAAGGTTACTTAAATCACTAGAAGTTTCACTTTCGGATACTCAAATGCTGGATCAATCCTCAGAAGATCTTCATGACACTTGAGCTCTGCTGGATCATCCATCTTTAGTGGAGGACACATCGAATACACGCCCATAGCTAGCATCTTGTTTTTTTTTCTGGCAGATTTAAAGATTATATCTTAAAGAGAGAGAGAGATGTGGTAACCATCGATGTGCTGCGGAGCTTGTAGTTTGATGAGAAGAATGAATAATACGTGTGAAGTAAAAATGCAACCAAAATCTTTTCTTTAGTATCTTCTAACAGATCTAAAGTGGCCAGAAGGATACCACAAATGTCAATTTCTCAAAGGTGAAATAAAGTTCATATCGTCACCTTAGACACAAGGTACACCCTATAGACGAGGTGTTTTATTAACTATTATCAACTTTATCACACAATGCGGCCTCACAGCAAAGTCGATAGCGCTATTGTTTGTTGACACCGAGGTCCCGGGTTTCCCCCCGTCGAATATAGTAAGAGATTAAATCAGCAAGAGGAAAAATATATTATAGCGCTAATTATGCCATTTTTCCTATGGAGCAGAGCTTCTCTTTCTGGCGGATAGTGACACAATCCGTCGACTGACTGTAGCATTTAACAATCGTGTCAGGTACGTCTGCGAACTGGGTTCCCACGATCACATCTCTGCCCACAGGGATGTGCTGGTGGGCTGCAGCCTGTCCTCCTTCCTGCAAATGCGAGCCCTAATTTTCTTAGATCGTCTTTCCATCAGCGGCTGCCCTGGATATCTGGCTTCTCTTTTGACAAGGGGTGGTTCGGCCAGACTCCGGGGACTTCTTGTTCCTCGAGCTGAGCAACACACCTTTTTCCGTACCCTCTTCGTTAGAGGTATGTCACTTTATAAAGCCCTCCCGCACGAGACGCGTGAGACTGTGGGTGGCATCAAAAGGTTCTTTCAGGCTGCTGATCTCATCAGTGACTCTTTCTAAATCATAGCTAATCGTCTTAAAGTGTCGTTTCTTTTTCTTTTTTTTCTCTTGTACTGTTATTCTTGCACTTTGTGTCGACACAAAACTAAGAGTCGTTTTGGTTTTCTTTTTATTGTCTTTTTAACTGTATCTTTGATTAGCAAGGGGTAAGAGGGTTAGACCCTAAATTTTGCTCTAACAATAAATTATGAAATTATATTTTTAATGCCAACAGACGAATCTGCCTGTTCATTTCCAACTGAGGTTACAACAAAACTCCACTGGAAATGTTCCCATAGGCCACAAAAATTGAATATATATGAAAAAAGCATTCATCCATTTGTTGGGAGTTATTTGGTCAATTACCACCAGCAAAAATCACAATAAAGCGGATGATAATGGACAAAAATTATTATATAATAAATTAATTAAATAAGACAGAAAAATAACATGAAAAGATCTGGTTTGTTATGGGGCGCGAATCATTTTGTGGCTCAAATAATGACTAAATCGGATACAGAGCTTAATGAAAAAGTCTCACTAGCAGACAATGCCAACAGCAAAAATCATCAACCCACAGACGCATTTGCGCAGCTGGAATGAACGCCCAAAATAAGAACCAAAACATTCATGGCGATCATGGCGAGCACAGAAATGTTTCAGAACAATCGGAGCACACAAGAAATTTTTAAGTCTGCAGAGTTTGGGGAGATAAAGGTCACCAACCATAGATCTCCTTGCTCCAGCACTTAAAATTTTAAGAATTACAATAAATCTATCTAACTTATCACACACTTTTGATCTAAATTTCTGCGCAAAAAGATAGTAAGTCGTGGTACAAAGCATGTTTGCTTGTTTTCTAATATTCTCCGAAGAAGACTGATAAATTGCTATTTTTTTGAACATTTTGCACAGTGATGGCACAGGACATGTCATAAAGGTTTTTACGACGTGACACATTGTGTCGCTACGACGCGTCGCCACGACGTCAGTATATATCGAGGGCATTTGTACGTTAACACCCCGAACAGACTGGGCTTTTTACATTGATTACACAGACCCGGGACTTTTTTACGCCCTTACTGGACCTTTTTTCCCAAAATGCCTATTTCGGCCAATTTTTGCTCGGGAAGATCGCGGAAAACGATCAGATCACCTTCGCTCTGCACTTATTTAACGTTTCATAGGAATTTCCACCGTGAAAATTCTCATTTTCGTGAAAAACATGTTAATATACTCAGCTGTGTGGCAGAGTGAAAAAGAGAATCGACACTGTAGGGTGCCTTTTTCAAGTGTCGTCACAGCTCGGGTGATTAGCACAGCCGCTCGGCACTCGTCGGACTGTTATACTCTTGTGCCAATTCGCTTGAACGTCACTCCGAGGCCAATATTTTGGAAATTGGCAAGAAATATTTAGTTTTTCGTGAAATGTGTGAACAAGATGTGAAGAATATTGCAGAGAAGTGAGAGTGGAAGATGGCCTGGGTCAAGAAGTTGCATTTTCTGCGAAGGATTAGTGATAAAAGTCGGTCAACTGCAAGGCGAGTTGCAGCAGATGAGCTCAGAGAGAAATTGCCGAAGAACATCTTCCGTGCGCATATTCTTCAGCATCACGCCAATGAATTGCTGACAAACTGAAATAGGACGATTTCTGGAGGAAAAGAATCACTGTGAACTGATTTAGAAACAACACGAGAACACGCGGTAGACGCTGAGCGAGCCATCAGATATTGAGAGCGAGCCTAATCATCAGTTTTTATCAGGAAATCCTTCGTCCCGAATTAAAATTTACGGTGAGTAATTAAAATCAAATTAAATCATGATTAGAAGTTAATGATTATGATATTTTCAGGGGAATTCTTCCAAGATCTATCCAGAATATTGCAGTACCAGTTCACCTTCTGTACTTTCCTGGACCAAAAGACGCCGCGAATAAAGATCAACGCTTTTTGATGGGGTGTGATTCAACCTGATTCCCGGCTCTAGATCTCGCTGACGCTCTCGCTAGCGTTTACTCGGAATATTCACCATTCGTGGTATTAAATACGGAACTAACAATGCAATGAGTCGCGACCTTTATATTTTTTTAGCGAAATTATCTCAAAAATTCGGTAAGGATTGACACCAAACACTTCCATATAAAATAATGCTTATGATTTTGAATAATTTTAATTTTTTGGGAAAAGAGAGAAATAAAAACCTTGCATAAAATGCACTTTAAATTTGTGTTTTTTTTGGCTATGACGGAGAATTAAATAGTTAATTTGAGATATTTTATGTCGATTTCCGCGATACTTTGCTGTCTGCAAAGTATAACTGAGTAATTGCCGATAGCGCCGCGTTTAGCATTAAAATCGGCGCTGTCTGCTTAACTGTAGCACAGAAGCACGAAAGCTCCAAAGCGCTAGAGCAAAAAAGGGTCTTAGAGCGAGTGCCCTAGAGAGAAGTCCCCGCTCGAAAAAAGTCCCTCAACTGTTATAAAGGTTGAGTCTGTTCGGCGTGTAAACGGCAAACTTTTCATGTGTTACTGCTTTTACACGCCCAACAGACATTGATTACACGAGCCCGGGACTTTTTTACGCCCTTATGGGGACTTTTTACGCCCTTACGGGGCCTTTTCTCCCAAAATGCTTATTTTGGCCAATTTTTTCTCGGGAAGATCGCGGTAAACGATCATCAGATCACCTTCGCTCTGCACTTATCTACCGCTGCATAGGAATTTCCATCGTAAAAATTCTCATTTTCGTAAAAAAACATGTTAATATATTCAACGGTGTGACAAAGTGAAAAAGAGAATCGACACTGTAGGCTTCCCTTTTCAAGTATCGTCACAGCTCGGGTTATTAGCACAGCCGCTCGGCACTCGTCGGACTGTTCTACTATTGTGCCAATGTGTTTGAATGTCACTCCGAGGCCAATATTTTGGAAATTGGCAAGAAATATTTAGTTTTTCGTGAAATGTGTGAGCAAGACGTGAAGAATATTGCAAAGAACTGAGAGTGGAAGATGTTTCCGGATAAAAAGCTGCATCTTCTGCGAAGGATTAGTGATAAAGGCCGGTCAACTGCAAGGCGAGTTGCAGAAGATGAGCTTAGAGAGAAATTGCCGAAGAACGTCTTCCGTGCGCATATTCTTCAGCATCACGCCAATGAATTGCTGACAAACTGAAATAGGACGATTTCTGGAGGAAAAGAATCACTGTGAACTGATTTAGAAACAACACGAGAACACGCGGTAGACACTGAGCGAGCCATCAGATATTGAGAGCGAGCCTAATCATCAGTTTTTATCAGGAAATCCTTCGTCCCGAATTAAAATTTACGGTGAATAATTAAAATCAAATTAAATCATGATTAGAAGTTAATGATTATGATATTTTCAGGGGAATTCTTCCAAGATCTATCCAGAATATTGCAGTACCAGTTCACCTTCTGTACTTTCCTGGACCAAAAGACGCCACGGATAAAGATCAACGCTTTTCTAAGGAAGGTAATTCAACCTGATTCCCTGTTCTAGATCTCGGTGACACTCTCACTAGCGTTTACTCGGAAAATTCGCCATCTGCGATATTAAATGCAGGATTTGCAATGTAATGAAGCACGATCTTTATATTTTTTGGCCAAATTATCTTTTAAAAATCATGTAAAAATTGGCACCAAGTTCATGAACATCCAAAAAAAATTTGCTTAGTAGTTTTGTATAATTTACATTTTGTGAAGAAATAAAAAAAAAACACTGCATAGAATGCACTTCAAATTCGTGTTTTTGAGCTATGACGGAGCACATGATTATGAATTTGATAGATGTTATATCGATTCGCGGAATTATTTGCTGTCTGAAAAGTATAACTGAGTGTTTTCGCAGAAAGCGCAGAAGCGTTAGAGCAAAAAAGGGTCTTAGAGCGAGTGCCCTAAAGAGAAGTCCCGGCTCGAAAAAAGTCCATCAACTGTTATAAAGGTTGAGTCTGTTCGGCGTGTTAGACTATCCTTTCTTTGGGTTATTCATTTTTTTATACGCATTACAATTTAATATATGCTTATACAATGTCAATGTTCTTTGACATCATGTGAATTTGTGTTTAATAAGTTTTAATTTTAGGGGGCCGTGATGCAGCCAGTAGAGTATTATCACGGTCGTGTGTTCGATCCCCATCACTTGCAAATTATCGAACACAACAGATGCAAAAAAATATTAGCCTTTCAATGGCAAATATATAAATTCCAGCCCAAAATTAGGTTGCTGTTAAATGTTCTAACTGAAGTAGAAACTTCTATGGAAGTGTATTTCGTATCTGTCTTTACTTATAGATGGGAACAATACCCAACTGGTATTGCTTGTAAATAGGCGATATCACTTGCAAAAATATGCTCAAGGCCAAACTCTGCTAGTCTGAGTGGGAAAAATCAGAGGATAATGGGAAGACGGACGATATTTAATAACAATGAAAAATACACAATACCAAAGCTGTACCGTCTGAAAGTAACCAAGAATCTGGATGACTGGTTAGCTTTGTGTCTTGGCCCTTAAGTGGGAATTGCCGTCAGTAGTTGGCCTGGATGCCGTGGTATATAAGACTTATTTTACCCCCCCCCCCCCCTTCCAACCCCGTCTCATCTAATCTAAGTTTTAATTTCATGTCAAAACAATATAAACTGCAGGCAAAAATTGTGGGAGAAAAAGCCATGTTCAATCACAATGCAAAGAAATTTCTTCTTGATATTTTCCAAAACACAAAGACGATTGCAAAGTTTCGCCAAGTTCGGAAATTTTCACATCAGAATTTTCTGCAAAGTAACGGATATAGACTCTTTGAGCTCAAAGAATAAGTCTAACATCTTAAAGTCTGAAGAATAAGGATGGATTTGTCAATTTTCAATTTACAAAACAATTTTTTTATTGGTGTTTTTAATACATACTAGGCCTTGCCTACTGGTGTGAGAGCTAGTGATTTGAGGTGTATTTGAAATGGCCTTTGCACGCAATTTTGATGTTTATATCATTCCAATGAAGTATTCCATAAATGAACGACTGGCGATCTACTGCAAGAGAATTTCTTTGGATGCTAGTGCTCCAATGAGGATAGCAAAAAAGGATTATTTCACAAAGCGACTAAGAATCGCCGGAAATAACCCTGTGAAGTCATGGGAAATTATTATTGAGATCGAAAATTCATGTTCATACCGATTGACCACAATTAAGTGTTTCAATGCAAGGGTTGGGTCCATCCTGACCGCCGGCAATAAGATTGACATCATGAAGGCTTACGATTCAATGCACCATGGCATCTTATTGAGAAATTAGAATTTATGAACTTCTACGGAGTCCCCTTCAACTGGCTTGACACGCACTTTATAGACCGCTCTTAGCGTATCAGGCTTCGTCCGGACTGCATCAGCGACTCAGTACCTTGTATGTAGGGTATCCCCCGCGTAATTTTGGTGGGAAGTTGCTCAGGTATATATGTTTTGCACTGTTTGAGCTCAGACTTACCTATAAAATCTTTACTGTGGGCTACGCTGTGGGGGAGTTATGTGTCTCTCACCTGCTATCGCTTACAAGAATTCAGATGTCTTTAATGAGAGTCATGTATTTCGCACGCGGTAGAGACCATTCCAGTTCTTTATTAAAGTAATGGGGGATCCTCTCGCTCCGTCATTAGTATGATGATGATTAGTATGATGTGGGTGACCCACAAGCTGCTTGTCGTTTATACTGGCCGTGGAAAACCCATGGCTTTTCTTCAAAGGAGGCTACTGAATTACTTTACTCTAACAATGTACTGCGGGAATTTAACTCGCTGAAGACGGCCGCCGCGTAAGTCTGGATCTGAGCCTTTGTCTGTGGTGATTGACTGGATCTGTGGATCACGCTGTGAATATCGACTATAGCGGGTGCTGTTCCCACGACCGTCCGGCCCCTGTGTATAATGTCAGAGTCCAGAGGTTCCGAAAGGTAGATTTGACATTCTGGAGCCCTCGATGCCTGGCACTATATCTCATCTGGAGCCAAACAGCCCCCATGGCTATCTTCCATCTTCCTCCAGCATGGCGTCACGACTCCTCAGCACAGCGTCTCCTCCTCTACATCTGCGGGATATGCACATATACAACGGGCCGCAAGAGAGACTGTGACAATTACACGTGCTGTGAATTAAAAAAATCTAATCTAATCTAATCTGATACTTTGAACAAAATTTTTGGCTTTAAAATCTTAACAATATTTTATTACTGACATTAGTTCCTCATGCGGTGGTCGGACAAAGTTCTGTTGTTTTAAATATACGTCGAGTTTTTCAAGACCTTGCAATCGAGACCAAGATCATTCAGATCGGATAAATAGAATCAAAATTATAGGGTATTCAAAAACGAAACTGTGAACTACCATAACTCGGTCCTATTTCATCAGTCTAAAGTCATGACGTATTTTTGATACGTCATAACCTGAAATATAACACAGAAAACTTATCAAAATGCAAAACGGTTCTGCTGAGATACAGGCAATAATATTTAAACCAAAATATGACGCCGTTTGTGATACCGTCATAGACTTTAATGTGGTCAAGTAAAGGGCGTCGAGCCACGTCTTTTGGTCAAAGGATGCTTAAAATAGGTTCATAATGTTGAAAACACAGCATTTGTCTGCCGAACATTTTTCGACTTCGTCATCTCTTTCTTCGCCACACGTATCGTGTATTTTCCCTCCTACTCTAAGCGATACTCTCTTCGTGCGATTTTACACACGAAGATAGTATCTTGTTAGAAAAAAAAAACAGATGAAAGAGATGACGAAGTCGAACAATGTTCGGCAGACAAATGCAGTGTTTTCATTATAAACAACGGATATATGGGTTGATCAAGTTATGAAATTTTACACTTTATATCCTTGCTTCTAAAACATCAGACCCCATAACGTGGTTTCGTTAGGTTTTGATATCAGTTACAACATATAAGAATTTAAAGATTTACTTTAAGACTACCAGAGTCAATTGGAGCTGATTTTGCGAGTTTCAATTTTTTTGCGCGATTGCAGATGTTAGCTTTGATGTAAATGTCAAATATATAAAATATAAATATTTAAATATTCACCGATTTATGGGGAAAAATTTTAATTTTTCTCCGAATCATTTTATTGTGTTGGGCATTGATTGCTCATCACAGGAACATGTTTATTTTCATTGCCCGACATATAATTGTGCCAATGCTGCAATCATATGGCGTTTTTCAAAGATATTGTAATTAATAAAATGAGATTACAATTGAAAGTTAATGAAATATTTGATCTTCAAAAATGAATTTCCATAATTATTCACAGCATGTTTTACCAGATTTGCAACTTATATTTTCCAGAAAAAAACCGTTTGAGAGTATCATGAAAATATTAAAAAAGATTTTATTGCATTCATAGCATGCTTAAATATTCTCTCTTGAACTCATAAATTGATTTCTCAGAAAATTTATAAAAAATGTCAATGAAAATTCAATTTTTTGTGCATTTGAGGTTGGTTGTATTGAGAATCTGAGCTCTTAGATAAGGATATAGTTTATACTTGAATGTATTTCAATGTAAATCTTTATTTAAGCGCACCTTAAAGAGAAGGCAGCTCTTCGCTGTCAAAACATGTTGGCCGCTTGTTCAACGATTTTAAAACGTTTAGTAATTGCTGAATTTTCTTTTGATTTGTACTCGACAATAGCACAACAATGTTTGCTCGTGCATTTTAATGTTTCAGAAGCTTGTTCAGAAGTCATAGCAATACCACGCTGATGCGTGAAAAAGAGAGACACTGAGAAAAATGTGCACATGTGATTTCGATAAACTCCGAAAAGTATGCAATTTTTAGGAATCGTTCAATGACTAGACAAATTTCAAAGTCTTGAACAAGCCTTCAAGCGGACGTCTTAAAGGTGCAGTATAGAAAGTTCGTAACGTCGAAGCCAAAAGTGACCAAAAGTGGGATTGCGCTGAAGTACCAATTCAAAAGCCCCAGTTCAAGACCGGGCAAGACAATTGGTTGGATATTATTTTTCAGTCACTGTTCAGTCATTGTGGCTTGTGGCGAGATAAATGAGGCAAAAGGTATAGTACATAATTTACTAATAAGCACTATGAGCACTTATAAACGAGCCAAGATACTGCATAGGGCTCAATTAGGGCATGAACAGGTAAAAATTGACAAAATTCACAGAGCAATCCAAACAGCAAACTTTTAAATTAATACTTACTCTCTCTTTTTTTGAGCGGCTGTGGCTCAGTTGTCAATGCGTTTGACTCTCGACGCTACAGTCATGTGCTCAAATCCCACCGATTGCAAAAATGTTTGAACACAGCAGAGTGCAATAAAAAAGCCTTTTAATGGGCAAAAGAGCAACCCAAGCGGATGCCGCTGTTGAATGTTCCAGATGAAACATACGCTTCACTGAAATTGTCTTGCGCTCTGTCTCTGTATATAAGAGATGGTGTTAGAAACCAAAAGTGGGTTGGTAGGCAACTGACATTTGCCGCCATGAAACAAAACACGTCAACAAAGGTGACATCGTCACTGAAAGATCTCCGGGACTAAATATACAAATACCGGGGATGGAAGAGACGAAGCTTCGGAGCATTCTGCTTACCGCGAGAGTCAGTAATGCACCGGTAGACCGTAAAACTCTAGCCACAACATCTCATTGCGGGCTACAAGCAGCCTTAATGTGATCGGCTGATCTCTTAAGGGGGCCACAATAGACCAAAAAATATAGTAGCAGTGGCAGGGAAAGGGGACGAATTGACGCCCAACCCGCAAAACTAAATCTAATCTAATCTACTCTCTCCTTTGATATATATCAAAACATCCGTGTACGTGTACGTGTGTATATAATTCAATTCAGTTTATAGAGGAATAATTCGAGACCTTGTACTCAAAGATTCAGGATAATATACGCGTTACATAAGCAGCATATACGGTATAGTATAATATGCATGTGAAAAAAACAGGAGTAGTGATAACATTGTGGAGTGTGAGCATCTATTTCCACTTACTCTGGAGTCGTACACCAGTGCTGAAGACTCGCGTAAAACTCCTGCAATCCCTTCTTTTGCATGAGTATTTATGTATGGTATGTGAAGCAAGATTCAACATGGTACTGGAAGAGATTCAGGATGTATAATCTCGAAGAATGCATAAAAAGCATATTATATGTCTGAAAATTTCTTTACAGCTTCCTTATATGATTGATAGAGCAATTATGCATCTATTTATATAAGCCAATGAATATCTCGTGGCGAGAAAATACCTGAAAAGCTCAAGAATCAATACAAATATCCTTGATTTCATACAAAACAGCTTCCATAATTCTTCTAATAACATCTTTTTTCGAAGATCTTAAAAATAAGGTTTTCTCTGTATGTTCCTTACACCATGTGTGTGTGTGTGTGTGATGTAATTCAGTCTTCATATCACTGAAAATTTTTTATTATAAACAAAGTTCGGAAGAAAGGCGAGAAGAGAAACGAACACGCTTTCGTTGAGTAACGAAAGCATAATTTAACGCTGAAAGTAAAGCAGAGCCCAATAAGAATCTGACGGAACTCCGAAAAATGTTCAAAGTAAAAAGCTGTGTTTTTACTTTTGTAACTAGACTAAAAATCTGCCATCTTAAAAACAAAACTGGTCGAAAATATCTCTTCTAATAATGAAGGAATTGTATAGTTAGATTTTTTCTACAAATTGCACGAAATTAAGAAACTGGTCGTGTTTGTTTTTATTTTAACCTATTTCATTAGCCAATTTTTGCTAACTCATTTAAATTGCTAGCTGGATTATTCCCATTCAATCAAATAAATCAAATTAATTTTTAATTATGTTTGTTTTAAGGTTATTGAACAAAATTCTTATCGATATTTATTTAAAAAAAAAATGGCGATGACTTCCATGTGAAACACTACTGTTGGGATAACTTGCAAGGCTTTACACACATGGGCTAATGCAACAAGAAACTTAGCTAGTTGATAGCCTCATTCAGTTCCGGTCACTCTATAAACGCACTTTAGCGCGTTTTCTTTTGATATTGAAACGTTTGAAATGATTAAATGGATTTCTGAATCCTTGCAAAGATAAATGATGCTGTGACACATATGATTTTGTGTTATTTACGCCTTTGAGTGAGGTGAAGAGAAATTAACACTCACAATGTCTAGAGAAGTTAAGTAAATTGAAAAAGTATTCATTCACAGAAATGAAAATGGCAGAAAGTGCCAAAGGAAGAGAAGTGTTTCTTACAATTATGTTTATGGTTTGGTGCATAGAAACGGCGATAAAACTAAATTGAACTATCTGAACACGGGTTAGTGGATTATAAATCGGCTAAGACAGTAAAATTTTCCGTATTTTTGTCGCCACAATAAGGTGTATTATAGGAAACATTTGAAACGTTTAAAATTTTGAGGAAAGCTTTTGAGTACCCGTTTAGATTTTATACTTCCTAGTTAGAAGGCTGAGCGAATAAGATGTAGATGCTTTTTATTCCTCTTAGTTTTCCTATGAAAAAAGAATTTTTTAGCTACAAGTTTGGGCAAGAAGAGTCTGTAAAGTTTTTACTGATTTTTTTTTTTTGAAAAATTCTGCAATACACAGAAAGATTGTTTTTTGGACTGGTGCTCTCGCTCAACAAGAAGAACTCCCATAAAAAGAAGGTGGAGACGTATTATCAGCGAACGACGCCGACCTGGACCTCTGGAATGAAGTCATGTAACTTAAAGGTGACGCAGCTGTTGGTCATTCTTACGCATATAGAATATAACACATCTTTAGTATAGATTTAACATAAAATATTTAGCACGTGTGGGGTTGTACAGAGGGCGGGTTGTGTATCACGCTCCACTGCAACCCACCTTTTGAAAAGAGAAGACGTACAGCACATCAAGCGAGGAGGAGGTGGAGTAGCTACAGAACTTCTTCTTTATCTTCATAACGACAGATAAATCAAAAGCAAAACACTCTTCGATTCTGGCGTGGCCAGAAACGGCTTTAAGTTACTATGTGTGTGGCGGGACGAATGCCAAGAAAGCTCAACTCCTTTCCACTCTGTCACAACGTTTCGGAGCTATTTACTTCTCCTTCTTCAGGTGTGCGGGTGTTTGGGGTGTAAGCTGGTCAATTATCTTCAGATCACCACATTTTAATCTCACTGCCACAAATTGCACGATCAGCATTCTCTCCTCAACATTCTGTCACACACATAGTTACAAAAATACCTGAGCGAAACAAAATCACGACTTTAAGTTCATCATCGGACAGGGGAGAAGGTCAGCGGCTAGGAATTCAGAGTGACGGATATGAAGATGAGCGACAAGAGAAGGATCACGTTGCCCTCTGAAGATGGCGTACGGCTTCGAAGGATCTTCATCACTAATTTTGGCTAACTCAAAGCTGCTCGGGCAACTCAAAACCTTTGTATGACAGTTTTCCGATCGTTTTCACTTGTAAACAAAGTGTCATATAACCGTTGGTAAAGTTACCGAAACTTGGTTGTAAAGGCTTATGTGGAGCATAGAAAAAACGGTTAAATAACTGTACGGTAATGACCCTTTTACAACCCTTTAATTTTTCTTTATTTCTCCGCTTTACAGCGCTTCAACGCGCTGAGGAGATGAATTATATTCTTTTCCACTCTAGCGTCGCACCAAACGAAATGTGTCTTTGATGACCCAATTAGACAACACATTTTCTATGAACACGTTATATATGGCAAATTGCATAAAAACGGAAACCAACATGCGCGTTTGTCTGCATTTCACGCGTGAGATATTTGTGCAAATACACTCGTCTTGTAGAGAATGTTTTTTCTAAACCCGAATATTCTATATCAAAAAATTAAAATATTTCCCCAGGATTTTCCCGGAGTTACAGAGGAATTTGAAATTTCACAAATATTTTTAAAATTTAAATGATTTATTTATGAAATATATTTAAAAATATATTTGACTAAAACAATAAGTCTTCAATAAAATATCTTTGAGAATAAGTTCTGATGAATCCCTTTATATTCCCGCGCGCAATCGCTTCCTCGGAATTAAGAGGGAGAAGCTTAGCGGAGATTTCGTGTTGATTTCATATCACATGGGTACGACAGTTTTGTTGGTTATTGAAGAGATTTGTTAATACACTGTTGAGCACTGTTTTAAACGTCAAATCGTTCACGGAACTACGCGCTTCACTTTACTTCTCCTTGTGAAATAGAAGGCACCAATCCTCACATATACACATACACAAACATGACAATTCGCCGCGTTCGTATGTTTTTGGAAGAAGTTGTGAAAAACCAAGTAAATTTATATGAAATTCACAAACCAATTTACAATCTTCAGCCCAAAGTTTACGTAGCTAATGAGACCGAGGAATTAAAAATCCTCATTTTTAAAATTAACGCTGCTTTGATTGTTTTGCACTGAAGGTGAAAAATTTTACTTAAATTATACATAAACAGTCAACAACAATTAAATTCTCATTGACTGTGTTGCTGCGATACGGTAAAAGAATGGCATAATGCGATGTCCGCGCCAGGAAAACAATCAGAAGCTGGAATGTGCGGATCTATTCGGACACTGAAAATCCTTATCTTGATGCTCCTGAGGCACTCGTTACACCTCAAAGATTCTCATTCCCTCTCTCATACTAAGTCATCTTGATTTGTTCTAAGTTCTCTGATTATTTTCAAATTTTTACTTCGCAGGAATAGCGTTATGTTATTTGGTGATTTAACACTAACGCTATTTTATAAGTCATTTGGTAATGTCATTCTTGACACTGTAAATAACCAAATTTTTGTTACAAACTAACGTTATATTTAAGTTTGGTTGTCATGTGCCGGCTTGGATGGTTTTCGTGGTAAAGCTGTACCAATAATAATTATGAATTTTATTCACATTTGTCAATCGCTTAAACCGTTGCAAACTTATAAAAATTACAGTCAATAACTTGAAGTAAATAAATCTCTCTTGAAAGAATACAATCAAAAAGAAGTACTTATCAAAAAGCGAATTGCCAAGAACTAGAGTACTTTGGTGTCATGTGTTGAGTGTAGAACTACTGTAACTTTGTTTAGCGCTCGAAAATCTACATTGCGAAATTTTTCTTTTCATTTGTTATGCGGTACTTTAAGGATTTCAAAGAAATTAATCTAAAATAATACGCAAAAATGTGAGCGAATATGCCACTGAAGAACACATTTTGGGAGTCACAAATGGATTTGAGAAGCGTTGTTCGTGCAATTTTACGAAAAAGGGAGCGGGATTCGCTCTTCAAAGCATTTTTTGACCTGAATATCCTTCCTTTATCTTACGCGCATAAATATAAAACACTGTGACTCTTTTTCATCAGCAATAAGAGATCACACTTTCTCCTGTGAACTGGTTGACCATTTGTGGCTAGAATACCTGTCGGCCAGGGTTGGTCATAACCTCGAGGCTCGAAATCGCGGCTCGCTGCTCTAGTGCACCTAAATGAGCTCCCGTGTCATCCACGCCCCGTAGTTGCTGACTGTATAATGTTGCATCTTAGTATATCGAACAGATCAAAACTGACTTGTGTAACACTGCTGAATATGAGCGGACCCTTACCATGTCTCCGAAATGCCCCACCAAGCTGAACCCTCGAACAGCGCTTCAATTCCCACGGGGAATTTTGCTGTTATGCTACCCTCTTCCCGTGGGCTGCGTGCGTCTAAAATAAACTATGAACCTAACTGTTACTAGTGTAAGTGGCACATACGACCAATGAACCGAGATTTATGCCGTTTTCTCGGGGATGTCGACTCTGAAGTCGACGGCAGACGCACACACTAATAGAGGTGAATAAACTTTATTATTTACTATTATTTTTATTTTATATTTGAGCGCATTTGAGGTTTTTCACAAACCATTGAAGCTCTTAATAAGACCTTTCAACTCCTTTTTAAATTTAAATTTAAAAGTTGAAATTATATTATTTATTATTCAGTATTAAAACGCTTAAAATTCTTTTTATTCAGTCTGTAAACGCTTGAATATTTTTAAATTTCCAACTGAAATTTTTATATTTCATATAAATTTGTCGAAAAATGTCTAAGTCTGTTCAAACTATTTTTCGGAAATCTCATTTGACTTTCTTCGAAAAATCATTTGTCTCCCTATTAATTCTTCCTGAATTGCACTAACTCTTCTCTTCTTGCATTTGCCCGTCGCATTAAAATGGTTAACATCGAAGTATCAGCACCTTATATATCGATAGCCTTCATCTCGATTATAGTCGGTATTCTGTGGTAGTGATGCAAAGAATGATGTTTTGAAAACTTGCTCCGAAAAAATACCTTCATCTATGAAGAAGTCTATCAAGTGTGTCATCGCTTGCTAGAAGAAGTCTGTGGAGGGTGTAACTACACGCCCTCCATAGTCTCCTTTCAGCAAGTTAACAATACTGCAGAGGGCTCTCTGCAGTATTGTCAACTTCATGGTGATTTAAATACAATATTACACCATGATTAGAATCTATTGAAAATATGAATTTACCTGTATTTTGCTTTGAATATTCTTCATTTTAGTCCTGATTTCCAGAATAGTCATCATAGTTCCATATTCTCTAAATCCTTTTGCAACTTCTCATGCACCGTTTCGTATCTTTGATGCCTTCTGAGATCATTATTTGGTCATCTCCACACTTCAATTAAATTGCTGGTGTTCCTGACTGAACCACTCAGCACACTTCTTTTCGACATTTCCACGGATTTCCGCTTTTCCTGGTCACTTATCAATTTCTTTCATCGATTTCATAGAGTAACTGTCTACAATATTTCGGAAATATGGTATTACGCGACTTTTAATATCGAGATGGTTATTTCGTCGGAAATAAATTAATTAAAAATATATAAATCTACGTATATTATAAAGGAATTTATAAACACCTTCACTTTCAACAAAGTGCAAGATCGTAGTAATGAAAAAATCAATCGCGAGAACAATCGAAATTTGTGTTTTATGAATGCAATACCTCGCTTGCAGTGCATACGAAACTTGGTGTAGTTAAGAACTGGCTAAGTTTCCACTCGCATTATCCCATGTGTGTAAAGCGCCTAACAGATGTATATAAGGGGAAGAAAAATGTGTGTATTTGTGGCGTATATGTATTGGAAAATTTGTGTTAACTAGTAAAAATATATTTGATAGATAAGTATGTTTGTTGGTAAGTCTGGAGGGAATATGGTAATATGTCAGTGAAGTATAATAGTGAAAAAAGAAAAATAGAGTCAATAGTCCGGCTGCAAAATATCGCAAATAATAGAAAGCAACAAAATTAGAATGCGCTTATGGTCCCACGATAAAAAAGAGTCTTTGGAAATGACCATAGGGAGGTCAACCCAATGACCCACCTAACTAACGCTAGCATCAGATGGCCTTCCGGCTGGCGGTAATTCAGAGGTACATTTTATTGGCACATCAAATAAAACTCACCAAATATATGGAATACCGTTCGCCGGAGTGCCAACGCCCTCTTTTATTGTGTTTGTATGTGTGTATTCGTAAGTGCGAATATGGGTATGTGTGATCTGTACAAACGCTCCTAACCTAAAACGTGCATCATGTTTCCTCTACCCTATATTTTAAAATTTTTACTTCCCAGTTGTCTTTCCCTTACTGTACACTACCGCATAAGTGTCTGTCTGGTGGACAGGGACGGAAAGATGGGCGGCACTGTAGTCTCCTTATGGGCATCCACACTCATCTACCACCATCTTAGGTAAATCACGCTTTATGATTTTGTGATCAGGCCCAAAATAGATCAGCGACATACTGGAGAACTTGAGGGGGGCACAACATGGCTGCATTCCTATCAGCTTGTTCATCTTGCGGAATTCATCAATGATGTGAGTATAATAGGTGAGAAATGTGTCAGGCGTTCTGTGGGGAGCAGCACATTCACCACGACAATAGTTGGCAAAGTAACCATGTGGGGCTATTATCCAGTCATCCCAACCAAGCGCCTGAAAAAATTAGACTAAATTACTTACATTACAGCTGGTTTAGAAAATAAGCAAAAACAAAATGTGTTCTCATAATGTATCACTTGCAGATATTTAATACTAAATTCTGCGTACTATCCATGCCATAGAGGTTAGGCAAACGACAAAAATATGTGAAAAGGGTTTTGAAAATGTTAGATGGATAGGTAAGAATGGGATTTGCATTAGTTTTTTTATGAGCTACTACATTATTCTCTCCTTTGGTAAAAACTGCATTTAGTATCTCTTACAATTTAGGAAATGAAGTTACTAAAAATCTAGAAAGATATTTTTCCATTTCTTAAAAATACTTCTTTGCTACCTAGCTAGAGTAAAGTAATTAAAGTATGTTCTGCAACAGTACAAGGCGCGTCCTCTATGGACTAAAATTCCTAATGCCACATTCCTAATAACAACTAAACTTCTTATAACTTATAACTTCCTAATAACATTCTAATGCCACGTTGCATGAAGCAAGATGATTCCTAGTAAATGACTGTAATGAGATTAGTTATAAATAAATAAAAAGTAAATAATCCTAGGAGATCTTAATATAACATGATGTCAGAAGGGGCCCGTAGTGGCCCAAATGCGAAGATTTAGGCAATGACTGAACAACCAGAGAACACGAGGTTCTCAGCGCTCTTCAGTCTACCCCAGCCTATTACAGGACAGACCGTAGTTGCGAGATTCTGGATGGTACCAAGTTCTTCCTATGGACATTTTGAATCCCTGCCAGGACAGGGAAACTTGCGACGTTACTCCTAACTAGGAGTATGGGTTTCTCGACGAAAGTTTCAAGATAAGTCGGTAATTTTGGTACGCCACTGTCTGAGATCGGCCAATATTCAATGAAAAACATGCAGTTTTTTTTTGTAAATTCCAAGGTCTCGTTTCACTGATTGTCACCTTCTCCGAGATGCTTCCAATCCCCGAATCTCAGATTCGTAAGTTTATTAGAACTCATTAAAGTAGTTTTTTCCTATGTTAATGGGGATGGTTCAAGGGTTGAACCGGTTTGGGAGTGAGGAAAAAGAAGTAGACCGCTTCTTAGCGCTTAGGGCCAGAATTCAGATTAGATTAGATTAGAAATGGGGGTGGTACAAGAAATTCTTGCTCCACGGCATCCAGGCCATCTGACGGGCCCTTTATGCATCCCCAGGAAAATTTTCCCATTTAAGGGCCAAGACCTAAAGCTAACCAGTCATCCAGTTACCTTTCAGACGGTACAGCTTTGGCCTGTGACTTTCATTGATATCTTCTTATTTTATTTATGTCGTCCCTCTCCCCCGGTTATCCTCTGATTTTTTTTTTCCACTCAGAGGGCAAGGCTTTCAAAGTGAGCCAGTCAAATGTACAGACTAGCAGAGCTTGGCCTTGGGCGTGTTTGCAGACGATATCGCTCATTTACAAGCGACACCAGTCTGGTAGTGTGCCCATCTATAAGTAAGGACAGATGCGAAATACACTTCCACAGAAGTTTCTACTTCAGTTGGAACATTTAACAGCAACCTATTTTGGGCTGGAATTTTTTATATTTGCCATTGAAGGGCTTAATATTTTTCGCATCTGCTGTGTTCGATCATTTGCAAGTGATGAGGATCGAACACACGACTGTGATGTCCTCAGTCTGGCTCTCTACCGACTGCACCACGGCCGCCTTGGGGCTAGAATTCAAGTAGGGTATCGGGGCCAATTCTATTCTATTCAGTTTCAGTCATGCTGTATTAAATAGTTTATGGTCACGTGCGTGAAAAGTGGACAATGTGGAGTAGCCAAAATGCGATTTAGGAGTACTAGGCAAAGATCTATAGCACTGGCGTTCACGGTGGACTACTGCAGCGCTTAGTGATGGTAAATTATCACTAAGCTGAAATTCTTGAAATATAACCCGTTTTGGAATTTTCAGTTCTTTATTTCTTGAGAAATAATGATATTTTCTGAGTAAAACTATAGATATCGCCAACTTAGAAAAGTGATAAACTTCTCTAGAATCCTTAATAATGGGGGTTTTGATTTGGCTATGGATAGGCAATTAAACGACATTTAAGTTTTTTTTTTGTTTTTGCTTCAAATCGCCTAGATACTGAAGTGTTATGATAGAAATAGTTATTAACCCTTTGTAGTTTGATGTATTTTGTCATCTTACCTTGAAACTAACGTAGAAGCGCTGCTTACAACATTGACCGCGGACAGCTCCGCTACAATCTAATGCACGGCGCCGTACACGCCGCATTGTATTTGGGTCTGTATGTAGTACAAGAAAAGGTCGGTGTGGATCCACTTGGCGAAGTGAACCAAAGCTGTGTACATGGGCGCGTCCACGACATCCCGAGCAGTCAACAAGAAAGCGCAATGGCTCAGCATGAATTTGCGCAAACCACCGACGTACTGTTAAGGTAACGTCCACCTTATGCCAGCTTGCATGTGTAAGAGCCACACGACTTGTTGCTGACATGCGAGCGATGCGATCGAATTCCTATCGAGAACAATAAAAACATAATAAATAAATTGACTTCATAATGCAAAATGAAATTATATTAATGGTTTATAACATATTGAAAAGACAAAAAACCAAACGCCAAGCTTAGCTTATAAATGAACTGAGAAACGCAAACAACTCGAAATTTGACCAACCCAATTTTCACATGAAAATTTCAAAGCAACATAACTCGGGTTTTTTGACATTCACATACAAGTATAAACACATTTTAGAAACATCTTGAAGAGGACAAAGAAGTACTTGGATAATTATTTCAATATAACTTGACCTCGAAAAATAAATTTTTGACATTAGAAATTTTAAAAATATTATTATTGAATTTAGAGGTTTACAAGGTAGTCAGATGAACACCTATTTTTTGGATTTGACGACACCATTTTCTGTTGAAACACATACTTTAAACCTTTGGTGAATACCATATATTATTATCTCGCTCTATTTAGACTATCTGAGACCATTTATGATAAACGAATAGCAATAAAAAAAATCCCCCGCCCCCCACATTTCGTCATATTTAGCCTTGCTGATGTCATCTAAGTACGTGTTTGCAAAAATTTAATTGTTTTACGCGTTCGGAGTTAGAACGCGTTGGCTTCGTATTTACTTTTTCGCAGTAGAATGAATCTCATACTGCTTAGTATTCGTTGGCGGGCGTGTACTTACATGATCGTGGAATGTGCGTGAAGTATTATGTGGCGCTTCAAGGAGTTGGAAGATCCATAATGTGATTTCGTGCCTAGATTGGATGCTTCGTCTTTTACGTTTTCTACCCACTACATCAAGGCGTATCCAAAGAGTTGCAGTACGTACACGTAACTCTTGTGTTGCCGGTTGATCCTGATTTGTAGAAAACTCAAGCAAGTGCTGTCCGTTTACAACGCCACCTATGAAAATAAAATTGGCAAAATACAAGACTGTAAATAAACAGTTCAAAGATAATAAACTTTGCTATAAGTAACACTGGGAAACCAATTATAAACTCCTGTACTACAAAAAGAAATCAAGAAGAAAGAAAAATTAATTCAAGATGTGCACTGAATCTTTTGTCCCGCCCATAAGTGACTTTATTAACCACTGCCTGTGGACTGGAATTGATCCGAAATGGTGCAAGATTGCTCCGATCAACACATTTGACTCCTGTTGCGACAGTCGTATATTCAAATCCCGCCGATTGCAAAATGTTTGAACACAGCAGAGTGCAAAAACTTAAGCCTTTAATGGACAAGAGCAAGCCCAAAAGCGGGTGTTGCTATTGAACGTGGCAGATGAAATATACTCTTCACTCGAATTGTCTCGTGTGCTCTGCCCATTTACATTTACATATTTATGTAAAGGTGGACGTTAGAAAAACTTTTTTTTAGTCGCCAAACTGACAATCTGCCCCCGTAAAACAAACCCTTGTGAATGGGAGGTGATGTCGTCTCTGAAAAAGATCACCGGGACTAAATATACAGACACCGGGGAGGAAGAAATGAATCTTCGAAGCATTCTGTTGAATGCTGTGTGAATGTTGGTCTAGGGCTTGTCTCACAACATGCGGCCCAATCCTGGAACCGAGCTGCCGGCACAGTACACCTTTTCATTCCGTGATGTATCCATCCTAGATGTGAAAGTTTCAATTAGGCGACTAAAAAACACGAGCTCCAGAGGAGTTGACGGATAGACAGCGAGCCAATACAAGGCTGCCGAGTACTTTGTCGCCGCGCCGCTTGCCGCTCTCATCAACATCAGTTTCCGGGAAGGGATCTTTCCTGACTTGTTGAAGCTCTCAAAGATCACCCCCATCTATAAATCGGCAGATAAGGAGGATTTTTCCAACTACAGAAGCATCAATGTTGCATCAGCAAGGAGGCGTCTTATTGTCTGGTTTCTTTGCAGCCAGTACACTGCTTTGTTCTTCTTTCTGCGCAACACTCCTTTAAGGCTGGGAACCGTGTTTAGCCAATAACTGGCTTTAGTGTAACAGTGAAGCCGGATCCTTGGGCTTGCATATCCAGCAAATTATGCCTCTAAAATGGCAATGATCCGGCCGCGGTTAAGTGCCTATGGACTTACCGCTATAGTGTTGCAGGAAGTCCAGTACTTCCTACACATCCGTACAGGTTGTCAGGTGTCATCTCAGATACAGCCATATGCAGCTGCTGAAAAATTCAGTAGCATAAAGCAAATTAAAATTGTGCGTCCCCGCCTGGTGGTGTTGTCGCGCTCGGGGCCCCGATGGGTTTTGTGTCTGCTTGTGCGCTGATGGGGGCGCGGTGGAGACCTTACTACACCGAAGTTATTTCAAGTAATCGGGCATTCGGCCCAGTTACTTTGTCGAGAGAATGATGTAGGGGGTCTGAGGCTTAGGGCCTTAGGGGCCTTTCCGTGGGCTCTGCTTGGGATACACAGCCGGTGGGGCGTATGTGGGGGCCGGGGCTGACATGGTCTGTTCCTTTGCTCTGATCTCCTCGGGGAGGTGCGTCTCTCTTTTTTCCATATCTGGGCCAGATAAGACCTGGGATCGAAGCGACTCTTTTTGCTTCTCGCCTCGCGGATGTCTCTCGGCTTCGTGAAACTTGTGATGCTCGTGGGTTCTGTCGTGGGTGGCCTTCTCGCCCCCCCACCCCCCCCCTCTCGTCACGGCGGCAGTCTCTGTGACTTCTAGGTGATCTCGGTTTCCATGTTGTCGGGTGATGATTTTCTGCGTGGGCTTTTCCTACCCTCCTTCTATATTTTCTTCTTTTCTTTTTCTGTTTTCTTTATGTCTTCTTTTTGTTTTCTTTCTCTTTCGCCCTTTCTCGTCTTTCTCACTTTTTGGCTTTTTGGGGTATTGCCTGCACCTTGCTCTCACTCTTTCTGTTTTTGCCTGTGTAAAATCTTCAGTTGCGGCGTCTGTTTTTCTGCGTTTGATTGTATTTAACTGCCCATAACTGATCAAATTGGCTGCACCACAAGCTCTACAGAGCTTACGCCGCCTCTTACTCCTCGTTCCCCTTACTATCCTGTCCCTCCCCACCGATTTTCCGAAACCTATTTATGTCTAAGCTGCTGTAATAGATTATGTAACAGGGTAAGCGCTTGTATTTTGTATTTATCGGTCAATGATGTGGGAGTTTCAGCCGTTTATCCCGCTGAGACTGTAGTGAATGTCGGCGGCAGCCGCCGCTCGAGGCCCTGTCGGTGAAGGGACAGGATTGTAAAAGGCTCACGAGTGTATTTAGAAATAAATGAAAAATGAAATTAATGTTCTTCCGATGGCGGCCAAAATCTTTGAGGCTCTGGCTACAGAGCAGATCTCCGGATACGCTGCGAGGCACAGCATAATCACCAAGACGCCGTACAGCTTCTGTCCGCGTTCCTCTACGGTATCGGCTGTCTGCGACGTGTTGGACGTTATTCCAATGGCCAGAGACGCGCATAATACTGCACTGGCCGTTTTCATCGACCTCAAGAAGGCTTTCGATGCCGTAAACCACCGGATCCTCGTGCACAAGTAAGCACGTATGGATTTTAAGGAAAGTTCCGTGACTAGATCGTGAGCTACTTGGAGTGGAGGAGGCAAGAGACGTCTCAGGGCTGTGTCAACTCCGACATTGCACTGTGTGGAGCAAGAGTCCACCAGGGCAGTCGTCTCGAGCCAATTTTGTTCAAATTATTTGTGAACGACATCAAGGATGTTGATCTAAATGGCCGGCTCTTTACCTATGCGGACGATTTGTACCTTCTCTACTCTGGACACGACGGTGGGGGTGATCGAGGGCTGTGCATTGCGTGATTTGGAGAAAATCATGGACTGGGCGACCGAGAGCAGAATAACCATAAATGCGAAAAAGTGCAAGTTCATGGTATTTGGAGGCTGTGGTGACGGCGTGGAGCTGACCATTGGAGGGGCTTTGTTGGACAGAGTCGCGGAATTTAGATATCTCGGAATCACACTTGATGAGAGACTGAGTTTTGATTCGCACATTGACGCCCTCGTCGGAAGACTTTCGGTCATAACGGGGACATTGAGAAGGGCTGCCAAGGAGAACTCAACCAAAAGTGTAACAAGGCTGATGTATTTCGGGCTGATGTATTTCGGGCTGCACTTTTACTGAGCCTTGACGTGGGGATCTACCAGAGGCGAGCTTCTACGCAGGGTGCAAATCGCCCAGACAACTTCCTGAGGGTCATATTCAGCTTGAGTCCCCATTGCAGCACTTCGGACATATATTATGGTGGAGACATCGTGAAATTCGAAAATATTGTTCGAGCACAAAAAATTCCCATTTATATAAAATCAAAAATGGGTTCATTCACAGTAACCTCAGCATCTCTGAGGCAAAGAATGTGCAGAGGGTCATTAATTTAGATTAATTCATTGTGTGTAAACACTTTGACCCTTTCAAAGTCGATACTCATAGCCATATCCGCACTTAAGTCAAATACTAGCGTCGAATGGTCAGGAACATCCATGTGCAATACCTTAGCAGTAAATGCTAAAAGATTTTAGTGTCCAAATTCAGAAATGAAAAATGGACATCTTTCCTATTCTTACTAGCCGATCGGAATAATTTTAGCAAATTGAAAAGGTTCCTTGAAATTCCATCTCTCATCTAGACATAAAAATTTCATACAACCTTTGAAACAACAACAAACTTCTCGTGCTTGAAATGGTACACATCCAGGCCAACCAGAAATTGGTTTGCAACATATGCACTGACACCATGACGTTAAGCACAGCATATAAAGCGATCATTCAAACACTGGAGAGAACTGATTGATGACATTGCGTGACTCAGTCTTCAACTGATGATTGGCGAGTGTTATTGTAGATAATATTAGTTCTTGTAATTCTTTTGCGACAATCGTTTCTCGTTTTTCTTGCTGTAAAATGACAGTAATTTTTCTGTTTTTCGATTTGTTTCTCACAATATTGGTTTTCTTCTGTAATTCGGACTGTGTGGCCCTGAGAAAGATCCCAACAAGGGTCGAAACGTTGGCAGAAGAGATGATATATACACAAGCTTCCTTAACTGAAAACCCTTTTTTATTAATTTTCTCGAAAAATTAAGTATTTAAATGGCAAATTAGACCAGCCTAAGCCTTTCCTGTTGAGTGGTCCAGCTGAAATATACGCTTCATTGTGAATTGTCATTCCTGCTCTGTCTTTTATAATATTAATATGTATTTTAGAATCACTCATGATTTAAAGATCTGAAAACATGGGACGGCCTATTATTTGATCTCACTCGTTTTTATTCAAAATCCTACGTTTCGGAGGTGTGTTGCCTCCTTCTTCAGGGATGGAGAAAATTTAGGGTGAGTCTTGTCGTCAGAATGAATTTCACTACTTTGTGCTCTCCAACAGTCCAAAACTCTTACCATCGTTTTCTGCACTCAAAGAGTGCCTCCAAGAATAGATGGCAAAAGTATTGGACTATTGGAGAGCACAAAGTAGTGAAATTAATTCTGATGACAAGACTCACCTTATATTTTCTCCATCCCTGAAGAAGGAGGCAAAACACCTCCGAAACGTAGGATTTTGAATAAAAACGAGTGAGATCAAATAATAGGCCGTCCCGTGTTTTCTTATCTTTAAACCATAATATCCGACTGATCAATACCACAATCACTGATGATTGATCAGCAAACCGACAATCTGTCACAATAAAAAGAAACCTGCCTCGAATGGTCATCTAATGGGAAATACTATGTTTCTGAATGGGACGGTAAATGCCACCTAAATGAATTAGTAAGTAATTTTTATTTATCCTTTTTATAATACTACGTAGAAAAACCGCATATTTTCAGTATGGTTTACTTTCGCAATACTAAACATTTCAATGCAAATTCGATCCAAAAATATGGCAGCACATGGGAGGACTGTGATCACCCTAACCTCACTCGAAAACAGATGGGTGGCAATGCTTAGGGTGATGCGCGGTTAACCGTCGCGTCGGAGCCAGAAGTCATCGATCGTGTCTGGCGATGCACATGCACGTCGTACTGCAGGTACCACCTGTTGCTGAATGCGCGCGCAACGCTGGCGCCATTGTGCTCGACCCATACTCACCTCTATCAGCAAACTCGATGATTTCTTGCGTGCGACCATAGAAATCATCGGGTTCGTCTACTCGCCGTCGGATGCTTATATCAGGCTCTTGGGCTCGGAAAAGAGTGTCCATAGCGAGTTGCTTAGGCAGTGCGTGAGTGAGATTTGGTGGTGACGCCATGCCTAATTTCGTGAGTATCTGCTGCTTAATGGCGTCTAGACGAAGAGCATCCGTCGGGGTTGATCGACAGTGGCGACACTTGGGAGATACACGACAGTCACCGTGACATCGTGCATACGTAAGTGGACCACATATTAGACCAATAATAAGGCACGCCACGAGGCGGTGGCGTGTTAGGGCGTGCGTGAGGCTGGACCAGCTGTGAGACATGCTCGGACCGCCTCGTGAGCACTCTCACGCGCACATAACGGATCTGGGGAAAGGGGTGCACGCTACTACACCGCACGAGTCACGAGAAAGACAACAAGTCGCACCAACGTTTGCAATGCGAATGACGCTCAACATTAAACGCTACCGCATCTCCTTATGGTGCACACTACATAGCAGGCGCAAGCGCAAATTTAAAAAACTCAACAGTTATTTAGCGAACGCTTTGAAATCAATAAACCTTTTTGGCAAAGAGCATTTACGTTAAGCTTTTATTTATATAGCAAAAGCAAAAAAATCCGCATGAGTTGCTTTATTATATATATATTATATATATATAATATATATTATATATATATATATATATATATATATATATTATATATATATTTTAATACTCCGTTATTGTGGAAATGCATTAGCCTGCTAAAATTAGGTTAAAATCTGACTCTATCTGTGAGAAATCTATGAACTGATACATTATCACACAATAAGCGTAAATAAAAGTTCCTAAATTGATATTAAAATTTTTGTATTTCACTTGATATGTGTTAAATTGATTTTTTTTTTAATGAAATTTCAACCATTGACAAACGATATGTGTGATACATTTATTGAAAACCGTGAAAATAATTTTTTACGCGCAGTACGTTAAATTTTAATACATAGATTTTCATAAGTTACACACCTCAAAATTAGGTATTTGAAATCGACTTTTGATTTGATGCCACCATTTCGTTTTATTTAATACTCTAGCAACCCACTAATTTCATTTTAAGTATTTTATCTCATGAAAATAAAACTTTAATAGGTATCGCTATACGGTTTTCATTAATGGTCGAATATCGCATATTCGTTAGAGTTTGATGATGTCAGATCGAACGTACACTCCTAAGAATAGAATAGTGTATTTTCCGTAAAAGTATTATGTTTATCCCTTTCACAATATTGCTATATTGAATGTCTTTATCTGCGTTTTATTAGAACGCTTTCACTGTGAAATAATACCTTTCCATGCACGAATCAACAAAGCATGAACTTTTGAGTCTCACATTATAGTGTTGTAGTGCCGATAATACAACTTTTATTATGTTATGGATAATCCGTACCATGAATACTTCAAAGCTTTGCAGATTTCTTTTATTTTCATTTGAGAATAGTTAAAAATACAGATTTGCTAAACAATTTCCAAATTCATCATGCCTTTAAGGGCCACATCGGTCTTAGACTGTAGACAGTCAAAGGTTTATTTATTACGAAGTCCCAGTTGGGGGATGCGCGTCCCAAAAATCCGTACGTGAAAGTTACAAATCGCGCGCATCTTCCCTCTGCGAAACCACCACGTGCGACCTTATATATTTTATTCCTAGCGCTGCGCAGGTCCCTATACAAAAAAATAGAGATGAGTATAGAAAAACATATTAATTTTGTCCGAGTTTTTTTTGCTTTCATCCTTTTTATCGAGAAGTTTACTTAACACAATGCTCATGATTACAGCTTATATGGTTGATCAAACAAAATTGATGGAGAATTTTTTGCGAAGGGGGGGGGGGGGTGGCACCTAGACTCATCGCCGCGTCGTGGGACACCTCAAGAGCACCCGCGAAACTCTCATTCTGCTCTCGGGATTTCTCATTTAACGGAATATAACATTTGTGCAATAATAATTATGATTCTTCTCATATTTGTCATCCGAGGGTTAATTTTTGGGGTTTAGGCGCGGGGTGCCAACACATGACCATTCTTCTAAACAACAAAGTCGATGTTGACGAATTTCACCTAGGAAAATCATTGCATCGTGAAATGCAGTATACACCGATAAGGAGCGAGCAATTTGGTGATTTCCGCTAACTCAAAAATTTATTCGATCAGCTGTTCCACAAACAGAATTGTTCACACTCATTTTGTCACTTTTTATCCAATTATCCATCCAGGCTCATGAAATTATACGTGGAGTTTGGACTTAAGTAATTTGATCACTTCATATTAAATAAAGTCGCGTTTAAGTGTAGTGGATAGTTTTCTTACTTGTGAGTCTACCACCGAAGATCTCAGTTTTCCGCTGATGTGCCAGCTCAGCCATCAGCAACCAACAAGCGCCTTTGTTTGCATTTTACGAGTGAGATACTTATGCAAATATGCACGTCTTGTAGAGAATATTTTTCTATACCTAAATATTGCCATCCCATTTCGAAAAATGTTTTTCCAATCATTTTCCTCAGGATTTTCCGGGGCGATTGAGGAATTAGTATTTTGATCATGCTTGATAAGTTCTAAAATTATCAATTAACTCGATAAATAGATGCCAGAGACTCTAATAAATTGTATATTAAATGCAAATTTTTCATGTAATTTACTCAAAATGAGTTCAAGATGATGGCGCGTGATTACGCTTCACGCGCTCTCAAGGCCTCTCAAGCCAAAAACACATTTAATTATAAAAGTGGATTATTTTTCACTTTGTTTATATTGGATAACATCCTCCAATGCGCGACTAATGTGACACAATGCATTTAATCAAGTTTAACAACAATCTTAGAGGAAAGACAGGTAAAATCGACAGTCTAAAGACTAATGGGTCCATATCAGTCCACTATATATTCTAATTGTGTTAAAGAAGAAATTTCAGACATTTCGTATTGAATTTACAGTAAGGTCCAATTTGATGGGGAAAATGTACTTTGTGAGCGTAGGGATCGTATCTATAAACTCAACTGGATTCAACCGTCGATTCGCTAAAAATCATTCGTGTTTTAACCTGTTATTAATTGCTTACAAATACAGAATGGTCAAATTCTATTCACTCATTTACTGTCCGTGCGATATTTCGGTGGCATAATTCTCCTTCTTCAGGTATGGAAAAATTTTGAATGAATTTTGTCACTTCTTTATTCAGGCCTTTATCCAGTACTCTTGATTCCATTCTTTGCACACAGTTAAGCTAATCTCGTGAATAGCTTCGATCAGATTTAATTGAAATCTTCATTCATGAATAACAACGGAAATGGTCTGTTTAGCAAAAACTCCCTTCCTACGTCTTTTTCCTTACGACGTTTCGGAGAGGTGAAATCTCCTCTTGGAACAGAATACGAATACGATTTCATGTACGGGCACATCACGATTTTGGACCGCTGCACAGAAAATAGAAGACTGGAAGCACTGGAGGCCCTCCACATATTTTTACATAAGCACAAGCTTAACGTGTGCTTATCGTACACTGGCTGGGATATAAAAATTTCTCTCTTCCGTGGCCAACTCGATTTAATTAGAAAAAACAAAGCATGCAAAGCGCTTCTGGCGGTGGTCTGATGAGCTTCTGTTGTTCTAAATAGTCGTAGAGTTATGCCAGAGTTTTCCAACGATCTCTAAATCATTAAGATCGGAGAAATAGAACTAAAGTTATAGCGTATTTAAAATTAAACCGTGATAACTCCGGTTCTGTTACATCCACAAAAACCTATAACCTATTTTTATAGACGTACTGACCTGGACTACAACATACGGAAATTGAAAGAAAATGCACTATCTGATTGCCGAGATACAAGCGGTAAAAGGTTTTTCAATATGACGGTATTTTTATGACGTCACAAAGTAATGGTGAATACGGCCTACAAAAGAGCGTCGAGACAAGTCTTTCGGTGAAGAGATTATCGAAATAGGTTGATAAACAATGGAGATATGAGCCGGTAAAAGTGTGAATTTTGACCTTCCGTATCTCCGCTCGTAATGAATAGGACCCTGAAAGTAACGGTTCGTTAGAAAGGTCTCGACCTCAGCTACAACATGATTGAATTTAAAGAAAATGCAAGATTTCGTTTTCGAGTTATTCGTTTTCGAAATTTCGAAAATGGTTTTTCCGACTTCACCGCTCTTGCGGTGGTCCTACCAAGTTTTGTTGTTCAGGTGGGAGACGGCATTTTACGATACCGTTGTAAGGACCTCAAAATTATTCGGATAAATTAATTAGAAACAGAGCTATGGTAATTTTAATTTTTAAAATTTGAACCCTTATATCTAGGGCCCAGAAGATCCTAGGTCCTTAAGTGGCAGTTCTTTGTAAAGGTCTTGAGGCCAGCTATAACATACCAGAATTTGAGCCCGATTGAATCCATAGGGGCTGAATAATTGAGGAAAGTGTATTTTGGGGGTGTTGAAAGTGGCGGACGGAGGGGTGGGGGGTTGGATTTGACCAAAAAAATCTTCATTACCATTGCATATTTTTAAACTTTGCCGCAAACTGCACATCGATATCTCTTACCCTTTAGGTCCCACAAGCCCGTTTATCACGACGGACGGACGGACGGAAGGACGGAACGACAAATAGACACGAAAATCAAAAAAGTGTTCCCTCCCATTTTTATCCTATTTCATCACTTTAAGGTTACCTGAGTCATTTGGAGTTGATTTTGCGAGTTTCGATTTTTTGTGCGAATTCTGATAATTACTGTAATGTATATCCCAGCTAATAAAATTCAGGCAATTTCAGAGAATCTTAAAATGACGAAAATGGGGGGGGGGGCACTTCTTTTCGTCAAGCTGGCCTCAAGACCTTTACAAAGAACTGCCACTTAAGGACCTAGGATCTTCTGGGCCCTAGATATAAGGGTTCAAATTTTAAAAATTAAAATTACCATAGCTCTGTTTCTAATTAACCGATAGGTTTGATTTTGTATTCATTAGAAAGATCTCGTAAAATGCCGTCTCCCACCTGAACAACAAAACTTGGTAGGACCACCGCAAGAGCGGTGAAGTCGGAAAAACCATTTTCGAAATTTCGAAAACGAATAACTCGAAAACGAAATCTTGCATTTTCTTTAAATTCAAACATGTTGTAGCTGAGGTCGAGACCTTTCTAACGAACCGTTACTTTCAGGGTCCTATTCATTACGAGCGGAGATACGGAAGGTCAAAATTCACACTTTTACCGGCTCATATCTCCATTGTTTATCAACCTATTTCGATAATCTCTTCACCGACAGACTTGTCTCGACGCTCTTTTGTAGGCCGTATTCACCATTACTTTGTGACGTCATAAAAATACCGTCATATTGAAAAACCTTTTACCGCTTGTATCTCGGCAATCAGATAGTGCATTTTCTTTCAATTTCCGTATGTTGTAGTCCAGGTCAGTACGTCTATAAAAATAGGTTATAGGTTTTTGTGGATGTAACAGAACCGGAGTTATCACGGTTTAATTTTAAATACGCTATAACTTTAGTTCTATTTCTCCGATCTTAATGATTTAGAGATCGTTGGAAAACTCTGGCATAACTCTACGACTATTTAGAACAACAGAAGCTCATCAGACCACCGCCAGAAGAGCTAATGTCAATAACGAAATTTTTAAAATTTTTAAGTAAAAAACTTTATTCCTATGACACACTACTTTGAGATAATTTTGTACATATTTCGATAGTCCAGATCAGAAATCAAAATGGGGTCAAGCTTTTCTAGCAAAGCCATAGAACTATAGTTGGAACTGTTTGATTTTTAGGACTTGAATTTTATATTGCATATGAAAATTTCCATGCTTACTAAATCGAGTTGGCCATGGAAGACAGAAATTTTTCTATCCCAGCTAATGTACCACATTTTTTTTTATTTGTTGTTTCTGTTCTATCAATACATTATTGTAATTTTAATTATAATTCGAAATACTTTTTGATAACCTGAAGAAGGGGTAATTAAAATCCATTTTTGAAATATTGCGATTGATTTCCACGGAGATCGCGAACGCAACAGAGGAAGAATCACGATATATATTACGTAGAATTTTTCTTTCACGTTACATATTGTCTAAATACGTATTTTGAATTAAGTATTTTGTGAAACATCGTGAGTAATGTAATAAATGTAACGTAATATAACATCGTGAATAAATTATTTATGCACATAATCAAAAATGCAATGCGATTTAAAACATAATTTCGATGGTTTCCCTTGCCCACTAGCGCTTCTAGCTATGTGCCAGAAGAAACAATCGCAATATGTGCTTCGCGAAACGAACCTAGTGTTTGGGAATCAATAGACTATCTTTAGTAAAGAATGTTATGTTTTCTGCTATTTATAACTACTGTTTGTAAATTTATTATTTCACAATAAACTCATAAACATTTAATTTTAATTGCGATTAAATATACTTGAAATTATTGGAGGATATAAAATAGTGTTCTTAGCTTGCTTCTGATTGTATTTCAGAACATATTGAAGAAATAAATATTTTTCATCAAAGAAAACTATGAAATTATCATATTCACTAATCTCGGTTTACATGATGATTTAATTCACAACTTTTAAGTCATCAGATCGCTCGAGAAATCCATAGAACAAATAAAAATCTTTTTCGGTGGCTTAAATGATGCTAGTTAGCAGAATAGGCTTTCTGCTGATAATGTCAAAACTATGTCGACAGCAATGTTTACAATAAAGCAATATATTTAATTCTCAGTACTTTGCACTAGTCCAGTGAATTATCTGTGTTCACGTGAACTCATCCTCCTATCTCAACAATATGCACTGTTAAAGCTAGAACGGTCGTCGCGTGCTCCTGTGTCATTTAACTCTTTTTTTTAGTCAAGATTGGGTGCAATAGTTTTGTACAATCCCGATAGCCTAGGTTTTAAAAACTTTTTATTTGTCCAAATAAAAAAAATGGACTGATAGAACTCTAAATCTACGATACTCACCTTGAATAGTGCATACAGTGTACTCGGTTGTTACAAAGAAGTCTGGTACAAATCAGGATACGGATACCCAATCTCCACCTCTCAGTCATACGCTGCGAGTATATCCAGTTTTTCATAGATATTGTAATCAATTAAATAAGACCTCTTAAATATTTTTCCGATTTATGCACAAAAATGGCACAGCAATGATTGCTTGTGCATTTTATTCTAGAAGTAATACGAATGGCACGTATGTGCGTGAAAATGGGGAATATTGAAAAAAGGAGAAGTTAAGATTGAGGTAAACTCCGAAAAGTGTGCAATTGTGGAAGTCGCGTGTCGACGAGACTAATTTCAAAGTTGAGATAAAGTCAGCAAGCGGACGTTAAATCTTCTGCTACAGAAATTCCGCAAAATTGAAGTTGGATTATGCAAATTGGGCATTCATCAATCTTGACGGAAGATGGCGAAAACAAGTTCTCGGCCTTAATAAACCCGAATTGAAATCGCTCACATGTCTGTTTACTGACCATTGGACACTCAACTCAGATCTTACAAACATGGGAGTGACAGCGTGTGACGTTTTCCCATTTTGCCTTCAGTATATTGAGGACAACCTTCACATTCTCTGCCGCTGCTCGGCACGTATTGAGCAGAGACTGAAGTTCTAAGGCGTTCGCGAGTGCTATCCCTCAGCGATATACTGCAGTAAAGTCAGAACTATTCTTTTAGCTATCCTGGCCTTCGTAAAGACTATAGGTCTAGGACTCTGGCACCTCTTCTGGGAACAATAGGCTTCTAGAGCGCAGTGTCCTAGGTCGACAAAGGCGTACCTGCCAAACTTCATAATAAAGGTTTGCAAGAAAATGTGTGACACACCCGGAAACAATTTGAGGCTTACGTTTCCCATTTCTCGCGTACGTTCCAGAAGAAATTAACCCGGAAAATTATGTACGCAGGGTATAGCAAGAATTGTGATCAAAAGCATGAAATTGCACTGCAAAAAAAGTAAACGAAAACTAATTGTTCTTTATCAAAGAAACACTGAACAACAGTAAATATTTTCAGAATTATAAACTTTTTTCTCTTTTGCGAATCTTCTAACATTGAAAATTATAAAAACTATAATAATTGGGCTGTGTGTTATGCTGTTATATATATAAAAAACACATAATTATTAAATTTGTGATTTCTCCATTTTCGGAGTAGAGGAGGGAATCTGCAGAATCCCTTACAGACCACCTCCAGAAAGCACCAGTCTCAGAAAGGCAATTCCGGGGAGCAATGTCTCAACAGCATGACAAGACAGGACCTGGTCATGATCCTGAATAAGATAAAATGCGTTACATCCAAAATTTTTTGATAATTTCACTAAAATAATTCATATTTGCAGAAGTTTTAACTCATGAAATGCTCCGGAAGAGGCTTAAGTCAACGACAGTGTTCAATCGCTGAAACTAGAAACAAGGAAGAGACGCCTACAGCGCAGATTAGAGGTTTGGTTTGAAGTGTTTTCTGAATCGGCCACGTGACCCCGAGACAAACGGAAAAAACCTAACTGCAGCATAAAATGATGTAAAATAATGATAAAATGGTAAGAAAGTCGAATAGAGGATGATTTTCTAATAAAGGAATTTATAAAAATATGTTAGGTTTTTATTCATGAACGCAGAGAATTTCGACATTTGGTTTTAAGAGGTCTGAAGAGATTCTCTACACAAAGAGAATTGTTCCATTGATAGCTTTTATAGGATTCTCGAGAACCCCAATGTTCTTCTATTAAAACTGGGAGCAAATCGTTTAAGAGATCTCTTCAAAGATTCATATAAAAATGTGTTTTGGACTTTTGGATTGACAAGGAGATTCTCAACGGAGACAATAAATATCACCTCTTCAGAGAACTTTAATTTTCTTCGATTTTCTCTAAAGATAACGACGTTGATATTTAAAGAGGTGTCCGGCAGGGATACTCATTGCTGTGTTTTAGTTGGATGTGTAATAAAAACTAACTATACAAGAAATGGAATTGTCAATTTCGTGACATCAAATATCTTTACTAATAGATAATTGAAAAAATGTTTCTTACCTGACAATAATATCATATTTAAATACCAATAAATTCTGTTCCTGATGTTTTTGAAAGAAAATATTTCTTCATTTGGAGTTCTCTTAATTCAAAAAATCAATAAAATAGAAAATGTTAAATAAAACGAGCATGACGGTATAAAATATGTGATAAAAAAACAAAATAATAATAATAAAAACAATTTTGAAAGTATAGAAGAACACACACGTAAGATTTATCAACGTTTTTTTTTTGTGCTTCTAGTTTGTTTTCGCTTCCGAATAATCATGTCGTAAAGTGCTTCAAAGCCTTCCTGAAGACCTTCGCCAGTAATAGCGCACGCTGGTTGAATATGTGTTAGTTTTGGCGCTTCGCCTACACCTTCATAGAGACCTAGCAAGCGTTCCAATTCGCGAGGCTCACAGGCTCCGGGCAGATCTTGTTTGTTTGCCAACACCAGTAGTGGTACGCCCTGGTTATCCGGGCACCTAACTGTGCGCAATAGCTCCATCTTAGCTTCTTCCATACGCTCCGTGTCTACTGAGTCTACCACAAAGACAATGCCGTCAGTACACCTATAAGAAGAAACATAAATTGTATATTTAAACATAATAATTTATTTAAAAATTTTTTGAACATTAGCAGCTGTAGTCGATTGCTTAAAATGGTTTACTCTTACTACTACAGTTGTGAAATGACATAGCTGAGAGAGCTTCGGTGGCCATTTGGACTGTGTACGCACGGTATTTCCACACCCAATAGCCTGAGTTCGATTCTCAGCGACTGCAAATTTATCAATCCCTCGGCATGCACTTTCCTAACCTTCTCTGCATCCCTTTCATTCACAATTTTCCCAAATTGTAGGGAAAAAATGGGTCAAATTCTTTGTTCATATCGGAATTAAATAAAAATTGATCCCGCTTAAAAATTTAAATCGAGATGATATTTCTTTTTTTTATAATATTGGTTTTATTCGTCATTTCATATTCTACAACCTTACTGCTCAGAGTTGATCTGTGTTTACATTGTTTCATATTGATACAGTTTCAGCCATAGCTGATTTCTGTTCTGTTTTTATCTCCTTCTATTTTCAACGTGATTTAGAATATTTTTCTGTTTAATAATACAAATCGTTTGAATGTGGTAATTTTGAATGTATAATTCATTTTTTCCTTTAAATCTGGATGGGAGTATTGTGAGTAGAAGGGATATAGAGGGGTTAGGTAAGTGCAGGCCAGAGGACTGAAAAAATCTTTGCATTCGCCGGAAATCGAACCTCGACCATTTGGTGTGGGAATATCGCCGTGCGGGTACTTTAGATCGTACGGCCACCGCAGCTCTAGCCGAGACGATATAAATAGTCTAGTTGATTATATTATTTGGTAAATCACACATAAATTACGTGATAACCAAACACCAACATATGGGCAGCTGAGCTACATAAACAACTCACAATGTAAGTCCATTTAATTTTAATAAAAAAAAATTTTAGACCGCTCTTGCTCGGATTCTATGGCTTTCGAAAAAAAATTGCAACTAACTATTATACTACTGTTAACTATCTGTTATATAGTTGGCATAAAATATAGCCTACTATATAATAATATATAAATATATATACTATATAATCCAAACAATTATTGTGCCCGTGGCACTGCGTTTCCAACATTAGTCACTCCTTTTTTATATATTCATCTGTTAAATTTTTATTTCATTCAAACATAAGTGATGATGCTCCTCACCTCGTATAGCTGCGCCAGAGTGGTCTGAGTTTCTCCTGACCGCCAACATCCCACACTAGAAAAACGGCACCCTTAGCCTTACCAGTAGCGCCCCGCACCTTCTCGCAGTTGAACCCAATGGTGGGTACGGTATTGAGGTACTGGTCGAATTTGAGACGGTAAAGAGCTGTAGTTTTACCGGCAGAGTCGAGACCCAGCATCACAATATGCAGGGTACTCTGAGTGCTAGGCAGCGAATCAAACAGCACGCCGCTGCTTTTACCCATCGCCGCTCCCATTTTTGCTCTTACACTCTACCGCTCACCAGACATTGTGAACATGCTAGCGAGAAACGCGGGGGCGCTGCTATAAAGTATATGAAAGCAACAGTGGTTCACTATTGATTTATCTGGAAACAGAAGTGAAACAGTGCTGGGACTGCCAAAGTAAACTGACAGATGTCTAATAGCCCATAAACTGTTTGGTCCCAAAAATTACACTTCGTCATACGACGCGTCATACGAATCTTCAAGAACAACAAATAAGAGAAATAGTAATACATATTTCAGGGGATCGTTGGATAAGATGCCACACCGCCAATATTGGAGGTGTCAGAAAATACGTAACATGGGTAATATATTACTCTAGGAGCATTCTGTCACAGGTTTTACTATTAGACTTTCGTAAGTATTTCTTTGAAGTTTTGATGAATTCTTTGATATTGGGTTGTGGCAGTTAATGAAATGGAGTTTGAGAGTCCGGACGTAGAAAAGGAATTCCCGGGTCTATTTGTGTCGGGGACAGAATTTGAAGATCGTGACGGGGGTCGGCGGCGCCGGGAACGTAAGGACAGAGGTTACGCAGCGTTATCAGGTGACAGTAGTCCTGAGAAGGAACATCCAGAAACGAAGTAAGTTGTTTTTCTTTTTCTATACAAAGTGCTTAAGGACGGCTTGAATTGAGTAGTGGTTATGCTCGTATATATCAACGCAAAAAATAAATAAACACTATTTTAATTAACGTGAAAACTAACTTGAAATTTGGCTTTATGTCAACTAAGCGCCAAAAGTAGAGACTAAATACAATTAAATTCGGAAATTCTATTAGTCAGAAAGTAGAAATTTTTATACTAGGTCCAAAATCGATATGGAAATATGTAATGTTGTAAGCTATACTTTGTTTGTGATTCATATTGAGTGAGCAAAACTCTTTTACCGGTTTATTTGGTAAATTTGGTATATACTTATGGGATTTATTTCGTATCTATATTTCCAGAAGTCCCATTCGATGCAAGCGAAAGGCTTTTAAATTTGCAGGACGTAAGGAAAAACGCGACAAGTCACGGCCGCAGCCTCCACCTGTATTTGGCGTAGATCTTGATACTGCTGTGCGCCGATTACCATGTCTAGATGGTGTTGCACTGCCATTACCTCTTCGACACTGCTTGGATTGCCTTCGGGAACATTCTGGAACACGTGTATCACCTACTCCTGCACATAAAATCACAGTGGTAGAACTACGAGCTCAATATGATGCCCGATGCCTAGAAACGCCAGTCATGTGTCCACCAGTGGCTTGGGAACTTTTACGCCTTTTTTTGGCTTCTCTACCTCAACCACTTTTGCCATCAAATATAACCGCACAGCTGTTAGGAACTGGTGCATCTCAAATAACAGTCGTCAATTCACTTCCAGAGATACAGCGGACAGTTTTGGCTTGGTTGGTGAGTAATCAAAAGGCGAAATATTAAATAACAAAATGATGCTGATGAAAAAATGAAGCAAACATTTTTTGCAGCATTAAATAGAATGTATTCCATGAGTTAATCACAATATACCGTAGTAGTGCCATAGCCACTACAATGAGGTTGCGGCATGAGTTGCAATAGTACTTTGACACGAACTACGGTAAAATGACATGTTGAACACACTTTCACTTTTTTTTGAGTTTTAGTATTGTACGGCCACTGGCATTTTCGCCCATATGGCCACATTTGAGAAACTAGAAAAACCAATGATAATCAGTGGTCCAAGTGAGAAAGAAGAGATCCTTCTTCTGTGAACTTTTTGTTGAAGTTGCAAGAAGAGAAAGAGAAGACAAGAACAGCGAAACAAGCTGATTTACTGACAACTTGTGAATTAAAAACTAAAATATTAGTGAATATTTGAAAACTCAAATTAAATTTATCATTCTAGCAGAATTACCTCTGAAAGTTTTGAGCAAATAAGAGAATTTTTTGTACTCTGTTAATATAATTCCATTACATGTCTTTCTGTTCAAGTTTAACGCTAGTAACGTAGTAGGATATCTTGCTTCGGAATCCTTTATAAAGGAAAAAAAGTTTGCATAAAAATAGTATAATATTTATTCAAAAATTTTCTCGGGATTACTTTTAATTTTAAAAAGAGGAGTAGACTTTATTTAAGAGTGCGGCTGTGGCTTAGTGGTCAATGCCTTTGACTTTTGATACTACAGCCGTGTGTTCATATCCTACCGATGTTGCAAGAAAGCAAAATACGAAAGATTAAGCCTATCAATGGCAAATTATAGCAACCCAAGCGGTTTCTAAAAATCCAGTTGAAACGTACGTTTCATTGGTAGCGTATTGTTGTCTTGCGCTCTGTCTGGGTATTTAGAACCATTTATTGTTGATTGGCAAGCTGACAATTTGCCAGTTTAAAACAACTTGTCTACATATCTACTCTAATGGGGAGAAGGCTTTATCCCTCAACGGGACGTTAATGTTCTCCTAAGCAAAGTAGTTATTATAGCAAGTAGTCTAAGAGCAAAGACAGACTTAAGGATGATCTCGAGGTTCTAAGTTTTTATACGCATACTTGTAGAAGTAAACCAACTAGTCATAAGTATGTCATTGCCCTAAGTGTTTACATACGTATTCAATGTTAAGCTGTTAGGAGGCACATTCCAGTTTTTTTCATAACTTACATTAACACAATGCATATAAACTTTCTTCTACTAGGTTCGTCATATGGATGCCTTTGAAGCTCGCCATTGCTCAATAGCAGTGTTAAATGCTGCTGCACGTTTGCCACCACGTCTCCTTTTTCGACTACGCGATCAAGTTGATGAACTGTTTGATTGGTGTCAACCTGTGATACACGTGGAACCCCTCACAGGTACAGCAACTCCGCCACTACCTGAACATCCAATGGTGCTTGCAGCTGAAATTGGACGCCAGGAACGTCTTTTGGCACTTATTCACAGAGATATGGGCGAAGGGTTCACATGTGAAGCACGTGAAGAGCAATTGTGGTGTGTACAGAGAATTGTAACACACTTGAAACGTCGTCTCAGACTTGCGCGCCTACAGTGGAATACCGAAGTAGACTTGTTGCTTCCACACTCTGGTCACCCAAATGCTAATGATGTAATCCGCCTACAAATTGAGTATCGTTTATTGAGAGCTACTGCAGTTAAATTACAGCACCGTCTTGCTAATGCAACTACAGATTTGGTACTTATGCAAAATGGTACATCTCCGCCTGTAACCGACGAGAACTGGGAGCCGATAGTAGCCGACAACGCATCTTTATTAACAAAGGCTAGGATATTAGCTGAAAATATTCATAATATTTACATGGATCTGCTTCAACTTCAAGTAAACGCTACCATAGAACAGGAATCACTTTTGACACCAAGCGAATAAATCACTGCAATTGATTTGAACACCGGTCATTCAATTAAATTTAAACTTTTTCTTTTTCAAAAATATAAATATCTAGGGATTAAATTATCACGTTATAAAAGGTCTATACTTTTCATTAGCACAGGTAATAACAAATGTGCTATGCTTTTGTTTGAAGTTGTGGTAATTTTTTTTACAATTCAAGTGTTAAAGATGTGGAATTTTGAGCATATGTGCTACCTGTTAACCGTAAGTGTGTAATCGCTCTTACTTATATATTGAATTAAAATTACTCTATTTAGTAGACACTGAAATGCAATTTTTTTTCGTACGTCAAATCAAGTGCTTTACTTTTTTCAATTGACTAATCTAATATTGATTAAACTTGATAGCTTTTTTTTATCAATTTTCCGCCGTATCTTACATTTTCATGCGTCTGAAATACATTGGAAAACTTTGTTTCGTTATCATGCCAAAATTTCTGTACAAAATGCAGGAAAAGTTCAAATGAATCAACTAGATAATAAGTAATTTGAAACTAGCTTTCAAAGTGGTCATGGAACTACTTCGACTCTCCTGAGAGTAAGTCAGGACATTGATTCTGCACTTGATCGTAATTCCGATTCTTCCCATGTTTTCTATCGTCTAACCGGAAATCCATCCAGTGTTGGGCATTAGACTGTTTTTTATTATTTTACTATTGTCATTTTGTCAAAGAATACTAATTTGCCTAATTATACATTTTCAGGGAGTTGGCCCCCTACATTAGATACATGTATATGAACAAAGGGTGGCTAATGTTGGAGATGCAGATGTTCGAGATGCATTCGAGATGCACGAGATGCACCAGAGATGCCGAGATGTAGAGATGCAGTCAAGGCGATTTTTGAGGAAACTTAATGCTCTCTAATCAATCAAATAATTAATTATTTAAGTCAATTATTTAAATAATCAAAAAATGATTATTTCCCCAAGATTTTTTTTAACGATGGATCAGATCTGTCCGGAAATTCCCGAATAAATGGATTTTGCATATCCTTGCATCGCGATGCAGTCGAGATGTAGCCGAGATACACGGAGATGCGGAGATGCAGAGATGCTGTGGCACTAAAAGCCCACATTAGCCACCCCTTGTACGCAAAACAAAATACACGAAAACAGAAAATGCTATATATATTTTCAATAAGAAAGTTATATTTGAGTTAAAATTTATATAATTAAATCTTTTCATTTAATTCAATTTATTATCATGGCAAAATTTAGGGCCATCCCTCTTACAAATTTATCTAAGGTAATGCAAGATAAAGAAAAAAAGAAAAATTATAATAGGGACTAAAGGCTAAAAATCTACAGTCCAAAGAGATAAGAATTGCTAAGATTAGAGATATATACAGATATAAAATTGAAACTTAAGAATATCTAAAAAGTATGATCAGCCTGAAAAAACCGCCTGATGCCCCCACAGTCTCGCGTGCCTCACGTGGGAGGGAGTTATAAAGTGACACACCTCTAAGGAAGAGGGTACGGTGAAAGGTCTCATGCTCGGCTCTAGGGACGAGTAGTCTCCGAAGTCTGGCCGAACCACCCCTTGTCAAAAGAGAAGCCAGATATCCAGGGCAGCCAGCTCAAGAAGGCAACTGTAGCCCACCAAAAAATCTTTGTGGGCAGAAATATGATCAGATGTGAATTATAAAATAAACAGCGGGAAAAGAGCATTGTATCCATTGGTGAACAAAATAAAGTGACGCTTACAATTATAAGACATCTCGTTAAATATTCTTCATCTTAAGGGAACTATTTTCGGGGTATTTAATTAAAATGAGAAAAAAAATGGTACCCAAATTATGTGAAAACGATATTTTTTATAAATGAATTTAAATTACTATCAAAAAATGTTTGATTTCGCGCTCACGTTTAGTGTAAAGTCTTTATTTTTCCCATTCTTTTTCATCATTTTTCTTTTGTATGCTTTTTCCAATCAAAAGAATCCTTCGACCATGTTCTCAAATCCATTAAAGATCAGTTTTCTTTCTCTTGTTTCTCCGTATCTCGACGTTTTTTGAAATCAATATATTCCATCATGTTCTCAAAGAGGGCATCGAGAGCTGTTCTCTTGCGAGATCACGAAGAAGTCTCAAATTGTGGGCTCACTGATCTGGAAGTTCTTGGTGATCGTAATCCCATGAGGCTGGATAAAGAATCTTCCCCTACGTCCACGGGATTGATGTCAGGAAGAGGAAAACTCTGGGCAGGCTCAGGAAATCCTCGACTGTGAACAGCAGCATTGCCGTCAATTCCCAAAATCTCAAAAAGTGTAGAGCAAGTGCTGTTTTCTCCCAGTTGCTCAGTCGGAGCTTGGCCGGTCCACTACCAGGTGTTCTCTCCTTATCATCATGGGCCATCTTTTTATGACGTAACTGATAGATCCATCCTCGAGAATTCTTCTTCCATTCGCTGACCGACTTTCGGGGGTGGTCAGTATTGCCCAGAAGCTCACAGAGTTTCCTGACCCGTTTCAGAGTCTCACGTCCACCTTTGCACGCGAAATGCCCGGCTACTTCTTCTTCTTCTTCTTCTTCTTCGGCGACTACGAGGGTGAAGGCAGCTCATGATGAAGCCCCGTCAGTCAGCGAGCGCGTTTGTCGTGGTTGTTGTGTGGATGGTGATCTTCCCGCCGGGCGTGATCAAGAATCGCATTAAATTTTCTCCAGGTATACCAGGGAATCTGAAAAGGGAGGGAATTGGATCGAAATACAAGTGATATTTAAGGGAAATACAGTGTTTACCATCACAGGATGAAGTCCGATTAGTCACAATTACTCTAACTTCAGCCTAAGTTGTCCAGTGAAGCTGTTGTTGTTCCTCACGAGAATATTCCATCCGCCAACGACTATCGTGAAGATCTCCAAGTTCTCTTTGTCCAGACGATATCTCTGCAAGAACTCCCGGGAGAGAATCTAGCCGGTGTAATCTTCGTGAAATGAGTCCTTCAGTGACAAAGCTTCCTTGCCTTTCATGTTTAACGCCATCATAATGCCCGGACGCTCATACTGTGGCAATGCGTGGCATATTTGCGGCGATTCCTGCCCATACACATGATCGTAGACTTCGTTAATCTCCAGCATGTCTGCCGCTGAGAGTTTCACGCTGCTGTTGTTTGCGCTGGGAAGATTCTGGCGAGTTCGATGTCTAGTGAAACGGCAGGATGACGAATGGAGGCAAAAGACTCTTGCTGCAGTTCTGAGCCTTGCAAAAGAGTCCAAATGGCCAGCTTCCGAAAGAATTCCCCTGAAGGAGTAGAAAGGAATTAATTTCAGGTTATGTTGTTGTTGTTGATATACAAACTTACCAAAATATCTGCAAAAATTTGGTAGATTGTGCGGAAATGCACTTTTTCTCATTCGTGGGAGGTCTGGCTATGCAGATGACCTCATTATTGACGACACAGAGTATTTATTAAACGCATTTATTTTCACAGTGCATTGGTTTACATTTGAGCCGCGCGAGCAATTGAGAGAATTGATACTTCGACCAGTGTTGAGAAGGGAAATTATCACATGCAGAAAATTCGGCCAAGAAAGTTGACGAGTTTAGAATACCAAATCTCTAAATGTAAATATATTGACGTTTTGGTATCTTGGACTTTATCTTGGTGCCAGAATTCCGCCCAATACATAAATTTCGTCCTGATTACAAAAAAAAAAAAACGAAATGGAATACAAAATCATAATCAAAACGATCAGCTCAGACAGATGAAATTATAATTTCAAACACGTAACAATCGAAAAACAAAGCAAACATTACAAAGAACAGCTACGGCTGAAATTGTATTGAAAAAAAGTGTAAACACATAATACTCAGGGCATTAGAATTATAAAAACATTAAGAAATAAATTATTGATATTATTAAAAAAAAAAGTCGAAATGCCTTACGTTGTGATGGTTTTTTGTTTTTAACTTTTGTATTTTTTTGGTTTGGTTTGTTGGTCCGTCCCTCGTAAATGGATTTGTAGCACCTGAACGGTAAGAGATATCGACATGCGGTTTTCACCAAAGGTCAAAAATCCTACTGCCGCTAGAACTGGGTGATGTTATATCCAACCCGCACCCCTGCTGTTATCTTGAATACAACCAAAAATCGTTTTACTCATTTGTTCAACCGCTATGGCATGGATCTGTCCCAAATTCCAGTATGGTATAGCTGGACTCAAGACCATTCCAACGAAGCGCCACTTAAGGCCCTAGGTCCTTTTGGAACCTGGATACAAAGGTCCAAATATTCAAAATTAAAATGGCTGTAACTCCGATTCTAATTATCCGATTTGAATGATTGAAAGCTTATTAGATAGACCTCATAAAATACCATCTCCCATTCTAACATCATAACTTGGTATGACCACCGATAGAGGCGCTAAAAACGGAAAAATCATTTTTGAAATTTCGAAATCGAATTTTCTTTAAATTTCAGTATATTGTATCTGAGATCGAGACCTCTCCAACGAACCCCCATTCATGAAGATTGAAATCATAGGAGGGGAGATATGGGGGTTAAAATTTACACCTTGATCGGCCCCTATCTCTGTATAATTTTTCAGACCAAAATTTTGTCCAAAATCAAAATATTTTGTATGAAATTTTTAGGTACTTTAATAGTCCCGATTGAGACGTTTCTAAAATGTGCTAATTCTTTTTTTTATCAATGCCATTGAACCCGAGATATAGCGTTTTAATTTTGTATAAGTAATTAGAGCGATGCCGTTTCGCTATCATATTGTACATTATGTCCCCTCTAGTTATGCTGCTTATGCTCACAAATCTACTAAATTGTCTACTTTGTGCCGATTCAAATCAAATCCAGCATCGCGAACCAACCTAATATTCAATAAATTTAATTAAGTATATAACAAACTAAGGAACTACATTTATTGTGGTTTAAAGTAATTTTCAACAAATAATAAATAAATTAGATCCAATATCACTTTTGCTTAGCTACGAATCGAGTCTGCCACATTTCGAGTTGAAAGCATCGCCCAGCTCAGCCATAAGCGAACCAACGCGTTCACTTATCACGTCATTTTCCATTTCGACTGTGAATTTGAGTTTTAGGTGAAAACCCTGGAAGGCCTCCAGAATGTTGTTAATGTTTTCTTCCGGAATGAAGTAAAATATGTCGTATTTAGGCAAACTATTTGAACGTTCAATGAGACCAATATGCTTGTGATCGCATGGTTCATCATCAAGTCATCAATTATAATTATTGGTGATAGTGTCCTCCCCCCTCCTTAGCATGCCGTCTGTTTAGGTGCAATACTTATCACTGTACAGAAATTGGCTGAAGGTTATAAAAATAAAGAGAGAATGTGCTTAAATTGTTTACTGCGATTATGCTGGGCTAAAATTTCCAGAAAAAGCATTCTGGGGAAAACTTTTCATGAGTGCAATAACTGGTATTCGTAGTAAAGATAATGGGCTTCACCTACAAATGGCTTGGTGGCTGGAACTGTTATTCCTTATTCATTTGGAATGGTTAACTGTTATATGTTTTCTGTTTAATATTCCTGAGTTTTAGTGGGAATCGCTCCAAAAATCTCAATTTATCTCTTGCCTCAGAGTTTACATGATAAGTGAAAAAGATCTCCAATTATTTAATTTATTATTCTTTATTTTTCTTTTATAAATGTTACTCCCTTATTGAAACTCCTATGTTATTTAAATAACTTTCTATTGGAGTCGTGAAGCGTAAACGCCAGTTAAATAGACAAAGGAGTGAATTATATCTAAATGTGTCAGAATATTTTATGGGGATTTTTTGTAGTAGGACAGATTTGAATATTTAACCTAACTTTGAAAAACAAATTGTGAAAATATTTACAAACAGCACTGAAATGAGTCTTGAGCATGACTCCAGGAGAATATATTGTGAAACTAATTAAAGAATGGTTTGTAACTGTAAGTAAAATTTTTCTGTTTTCATATCAGTTAGAAATGAAATATATACTTATTAGCAATCATTGTTTTTGACTCTTCTTGGCTTATATGTTTGATATGACAATCTATTACAGATTAATTTGGGAAAGAGCTCAGCCACTTAGAGACAAATGTTTACATTATTTTGCACGAAAACTCAAAAATATCACATTTAGATGAAAAGAGACTGGTAATTGAGATATGTTGAGCGTGTAAATTCAGTGTATCCCCGACATATTCTCCGTGGTCACGCTGAGATCCTCAGCTCGTCCTGCTGTTTCATCCTCAATCATTGCTTCTTCAATCTCAGAAGTTTCGCATTTAGCGCCATTCAGTCGTTTCGAAGGATAACTGTTATTATATAGATAATATAAGTTGTCATTCTATATGATTTTTTTTAAACTTACCTGTGCCCTTCCGTGGGACTTAATGATTGACAACGTGATTGTTGCTTTAGAAAACTCGAATTCGAAGTGTCATCAATGAAACCGGGTGTCCATGTGTTCTATCGCAAAATAAGCGAAATTATTATTGCGTAGCATTGAAATTTGCAGAAATTTTTTGCTGTCGCAGTTTTCCTTAGTGTTAAGTCAATAAAAATTATCAAAACTCTAAATGGCGGAAAAACATTTGTAAGAATTAATTTATACTTTTGTTATGGATAGATATTACAAGGGTAACGTGACCATCTAAACTACGCGCCAAATGTGCCTCAATTTTTTCGATAATACGCTACTCATGAAAACTAAACCACATCTACCAAAATTTAATTGCTTAACAATTTCTACTTCAATAATGAAAAATTATATTTTCTGAAGTCAAATCAGGTGTCTCCCTTAGTATTCAAAACATATATTAATATTTTATCCACGGAAAATTGCAGAGGAAAAGTAGATACTAATGGAGAGAAATTCCACGGCCAAACGGCCATTTGATTTAAAATATTTTCCGCAATAGCCTTTCGGAGAAATCTGAAGTCCGCTCCGAGGCTGTGCATTCATAACCTTTTTTAAGATTCAATAAAAAGTGAAAAACACGTGTGTGAATTTTATGCTGCGAACATCTGCCTTTATAAACCCAATCCCGACAGTTTGTGAGTTCATCGTTAAAGCGAAATAGAGCAGAAAAGCCGCCGACATTGGGGGCTTGTGGAGTGTTGATCTGGCGACGCGAAAAATTCCTTTTTCGCCAGATAATATTTCACCTCCATATTTGCAGGTTAGTGAGTTGGTCGGCAGGAAGCCTCAGTGGCGGAGAGGGCAGAGTCTAATTCGTTCTGTCCTATTTCAGGTTAGTTCCCCGACGAACTAATTAATTCTATATTTACTAACCTGTAGATTGGCGCCAAAAGAAGCAGTTGAATACAACGATGGACTATGTATGGTAGTAGTAGACTGAAGCGTACTGCAAGAATATTGGAATTTTGTGACGTCATCTTTAGTTTAGGTACTGTGATAAAAGTAGTGAAGACTAGTACAATCTTTATTTAACATGCTACTCATGCGCATGCAGATGCTGTAGAAACAAATAGAGTTGAAGCAATTTTATTCACAAAATAATAAATAGAGAGAATAGCTTGAGAAACAGGGAAACTCAATATTTCTACATTTCATTAAGTTCAAAGTGACAACAAAGATGGTGTTCGGGTTAAGGTAGGAAAATAAATTGGACATATTTTGTAATGATCTTTACTCTGCAACTTAATACTCCTGTACGTTATAAATCAAGATTGAAAAATGAATAAAAGACAATTATTAGATTAACCGGTTTGAAAACTATGCAAGTGACAAATGCCAGATGATTGACGCGACAATTAAGCGATTTCAATCAATTTATATACTTTTACAGATTTCTCTGATTTTATGGTCAGAGAAAGCAAACAAATAATATGCAAGAAGTTGTTTTTTTTTTATTTTGTTCCAATATTCCAGTGCCTACTAATGATTCTTGATTTTTTTCTAAACTATTTGATATTAAGCTTTCATTTATCTTAGGAACCATGTTGAACCATGATTTACGTCACAGCTAATATCTGTAACCGCGTTAAAAATCGAAACCCACAAAATCCAGTCCAAATGACTCTGGTTATCTGAAAATTATGAAATAGGATAAAAATGGGAGGGAACACTTTTTTGATTTTCGTGTCTATTTGTCGTTCCGTCCTTCCGTCCGTCCGTCCGTCGTGATAAACGGGCTTGTGGGACCTAAAGGGTAAGAGATATCGATGTGCAGTTTGCGGCAAAGTTTAAAAATATGCAATGGTAATGAAGATTTTTTTGGTCAAATCCAACCCCCCACCCCTCCGTCCGCCACTTTCAACACCCCCAAAATACACTTTCCTCAATTATTCAGCCCCTATGGATTCAATCGGGCTCAAATTCTGGTATGTTATAGCTGGCCTCAAGACCTTTACAAAGAACTGCCACTTAAGGACCTAGGATCTTCTGGGCCCTAGATATAAGGGTTCAAATTTTAAAAATTAAAATTACCATAGCTCTGTTTCTAATTAACCGATAGGTTTGATTTTGTATTCATTAGAAAGATCTCGTAAAATGCCGTCTCCGCGTTTTCCGCGAAAATCGTTACATGTTGCAGTCATATGGCATTTTTCACAGATATTGAAATCAATCGAACAAGACGTCAACTGAAAGTTAATGAAATATATCATCTTCGCCAATGAATTTCCATAATTTTTCACAGCTCGTTATTCCAAATTTTTCAACCTATATTTATAAATTTATTTTCATTTTCTTATATCTGAACTGCACATAATTTCTTGTCCGTTGAAAATGAAAATGTGTTTAAATTTAGATATTTTCGTTAACTCAATAAATACAAACTTTTCTTTTCTACACACAACTTTCCGACTTTCCAGATGGTAATTTTCATAAGTGTGAGTGAATGTGAGTCTTTAATGTCTGCATTAGTCGTTAATATAGCAATGTTCCAAATGTCCTGACATGAGTGTAAAATAATTAGTTGTACGAACGGATAAATTCGCATTACGCTGAACGAGAATCATATTGTCGTGAGAGAGCGACCGCGCGATCGCTTCGTTTCTAAATCTGTCGCACAGCGCTTGTGAAGAGAGGGCGCAATGCGAGAGAGCGAGAAACGAAGCTATCGCGTGTTCGCTCTCTCACAGCCACATTTTTTCATTCTTTCGCTCGCTTCGAGTTCTCGATTCCTTCGACTATGCAAAGTGAGAAATTTTTCTCCGGGACTTTTTCTGGTTTTAGCAACAATTTCTCCAGAAAAAAATGCCAACTAAAATTCTATTATTGGTGCATTCGATGTTGGTTAAATTGAGAATTTCAACTCTGATGTAAGGGTGTAGCTAATGATGTCGTGTAATTTAAATGCCTGCTCTAATTCAAGGGTTTTTTTAGAGAGATGGCAGCACTGCGCTTTTAGGACATGTTTGGACTCTTGTGCAAGGATTTCAAACGTTTAGCAATTGCTGAATGTTTTGCTCGATTTGTGTTCGTAAATGGCACAGCAATTTTTGCTCGTGCATTTCAGTGTTTCAGAATTCATAGTAATGCTTCGTCGATGCGTGAAAATGGGAAAAATTGAGAAAAATGCTTGTGCGATATTATAGCGAGGCGCAATTGCGCCTCGGTTAGACAAATTTCTAAGTCCTGAGCAAGTCTTCAAGTGGTCGCAACTGCTTACTTGGGTTGAGTTGTAGTTTTATTATCAATATCTTTCTCATTAGCAGAAAGAATTATTTAGAAAGATATTTATGTATTTATTATTTGCAAGTACCAAAAATATGTAATTATGACTAGAACGAATTTAAATTTCTGTATGAGTTTTGTAGTATAGATATTGTGCAATATTTTCTATGTCAGGCACCTGGACTTTGCTAGAAAGAAATACTTATGGAATTCACTGATTAAAATATGACTAATTTAGAACAAGCGAAATCAATTTTTTGAATTATTAACTCATTTTTTTTTGGTATATAAAGGATGTTTTCTTTGTTGTATCACATTTAGTCCTTGCAGAGATTTCAACACCGATTACGCTAAAGTGGCTGCCTTTTCATTTCATCTTCTTCCTTATCTTGTGAATAAAACCACAAAGAAATACTTTTAAAAATCCAGTCTGGAGCGATAAAGATCACTATATTCAAGGTCTGAGAAGAAAAAACGAAACTAACGTAAAAAGTATTAGATTAAACACGGAACGGCCTTTCTTTTTTCTTCACTCGCTTTTATTCTACTATCGACGTTTCGGAGAGGTTTTTCTCCTTCTTCAGGGATAGTGAAAATTAGGGGTGAATTTGGTGAATTTGTTTCTCTTCTCATTACTTGACTCACTCCACTCCAACTCTTTTGCTTGCAATCTCTGCACTCTGTGCACCCTGTGCAGAGATTGCAAGCAAACTCCACTCTAAATCTCTTGCTTGCAATCTCTACACAGGGTGCACAGGGTGCACAGAGTGCAGAGATTGCAAGCAAAAGAGTTGGAGTGGAGTGAGTCAAGTAGTGAGAGGAGAAACAAATTCACCCCTAATTTTCATTATCCCTGAAGAAGGAGAAAACCTCTCCGAAACGTCGATAGTAGAATAAAAGCGAGTGAAGAAAAAAGAAAGTCCGTTCCGTGTTTAATCTAATACTCAATATCCGGCTGATAACACAATAATGTAAAAAGGGATAAAGATAGACTGTTTTATACTGCTGAAAAAAACAATGCCGTTCAATTATACCAATATTTGAAATTATTTATTCATATATGAACCTTGTCAGGATTACTCTGATAATTGAGTATTATGCCCATAATAGCAAAAAGGTTGACTGTATGGAAACCACATTTTCTATTTGCAATTGAATGAATTGATTACGCGAATATGGATTGCAAAACCGAAAATTATAAACTCGGTACTCACAGAGTTTCTCATATAATAATATCAAAGAATCAGAATAACACCCTAGGATAAAGTGGATAAAATATACTGACGAAAAACGGGGAAACAGACATTGCAGAACTTTTCTTGCTAAAAATCTATTGAGTTCCCACAATTTGTTGAATTTTTGTATAGACATTTTTTGTAAAGCGATAATTTGGTGTTTTAGAATTTGCGTGTCGGATTAATTTTGTGTAACATATTGTGCATTGAAAAATTGCATAATTCGATTATTTCGTTTTCCAAATGTTGTGTTTGGAAAACTCGTCTAGGAAAAGTAATGTCCTTACATAATTTTCTATATCATTTGTTTTTCACTCGAGAGGAGTAGGTCACATCAATATGACTTTAAACGTAACAGGACACATTCTTTAATGGCAAAGGACATCCATGTGCATGTCCCCACACACAAAAAAACTTTTGGAACCAATAATTTAATTCAATGTTAAATTCATTTTTTATGTAAGACGTTAGAACGAAAATATCCTCAGCAGTGTATTTCTATAACTAAAACACTTTAAATTAGTCGTAAGCCTGTCAAAACTGCTTTCTACCACCGAGAAAATATATGGTTTCATTCAAGTACTAATTTAGAATGTTGGTATCTTTTACTCATATGTGTTATATTCAGCCCTGGCGCTGTACATTATCGGTTTAGAAAAGCTCGTATGAAACCAGACAAGAGTAAAATTCATCAATTTAACACGCAGATCAATGCTATAGACAATTATAAAGCAGGGATATGAAGAGCATATGAAAATTTAGACTTATCTTTTTTCATAATTGCCTTGCCAGTAACTTTATTCAAAATACAGACATTAATTACTGACTATCATTACATTACAACAGCTCGCACGTATCTTTCTTTGCTTCACTTTAAAATTCTTGCAATAGATTTCTGAGATTAGATTTGCTATATAGAAAAGGGAGTGGCGAGAGGTTAGTTGCGTCAACGGCATCTATGCCAATTGACAGGCTCATTATGCATCTCTAGCTATGTTAAAACTTCTCCAACGTAAGGCATATATTTGTGAGAAAGATAGGTACAGGACACGGTTTTATTTACACCTCTTTCACATAGTTGAAGGAGGCTTCTTAGAAACCTAAAAGATTACTTTTCCGAGCCCTGAGTTTCCAATATATGAGATTTCCATATGGGCCAATTCTCAAAAGCAAATCAGTAGTAACACCAAATTTTATGCTAAACGAGATTTCTGCAATGCGACACTTTTAAACACAAATTTATATTCCACAAAGACATTGCAAATCGCTGAAACTACAAGTCAAAATAATCTATTGTAATTATTTTCGTTAAAATTTTTTTCATGCAGTGGAATTTGTATTTTTTTTTTTATATGCGGACATGTCTAATATTAATCGAGACTTTGGTAAGCAAATTATTTTCAAAATGTTTTAAGACTTATATTTTACCACAAATAAAATAACAAATTACATGTAATTATTACATGTAATTACTTTCATATTGATATTTCATTCTCTTTTCAAATCCCTCATCTGTTGATTTATTTGTCTTTTTCTTTGAACTAAAGCTAATTTATAATTTTGTTTGTCCTAATATTCCCTAAATAACATTAATGCAGCATCAATTCAAGAGGCTCATTGAGCCTCTTTATGCCGGGCCAAGTTAAATGCTGGATTTATCAATTATGTAGCATTTCACAATATTCGGTTTTATTTTAGTCCATGGCGTTAATACCGGAACACAAGCGCTTCGGTTCACTTCGGCCGGATTACACTGAAAGCGAATCATGTTGCAACCCGACGCGCAGTTGCGAATGACGTTAAATGAGGATGTATGTGAGAATTTGACAGCACACACGCAAGCGCAACCGCGCAGTTTAAGCCGACTTTTTAGTCCATGTCGGACTAGCTTTAAGATAAATGCTGCATTTATTTTAAATCCGGCGCGGCGTAAAGAGGCTCATAGGCTATTTAAAACATTTCTATTTGAAATCAGAACCGAAATTGTAATATGTTATTCTTAAGATTTTTAGTACTAGACGAATATGTATGTTGATATAACAAAGACAATTTTTGCTAATCAGCAGACAATCTAGAGTGAAGCATAATATAATATGCGAATTCTTTCGACTGTTTTTATTACTTCAAATATGTCAGTAAAAAATTTGTTTGCCTTTGAATTAAAGAGTGTTTTTTCTTCTGCAATTCTCTTTGCTACCTCTGTATTTTAATACAGAATTATGCGTATTAAACAGAGATTCAAAAAATGTTAAAGAATATCGAATGTGTATAAACTTAATTCAAATGGACAAATAAAGAAATTTTATTTTTGTTGAAAAACAATCTCAGTGAATTTGGGAGCAAGAAAATTTCACGTTTTCTCGCCTCATATATCATCTCATGCACATTAGTCTTATTACAAGTAACTGTTCTCTGTTTAAGTCAACAAATTTGGGTGAAATAATTTAATATAACATCGTTGAATTTGTACAAGTTGACGTAAACGACCTATATAACTCTCATAACTCCAGAATAGAGGGTCATGATTTTTTGTTCAGTTCTTGTGCAGCATAAGGAATGGTTCATTGGAAACATTAGAAGCGCGCCACATTCACCTCACGAAGCAGCACAATGTGAACAGAAAACAAGATTGCTCAAATGTCAATACAATCTATGCTGGTATTCTACGTAACGGGAAACAGAGACGGGAAACAGAGACGGGAAACAGAGACGGGAAACGAGGAGAAGTGAACAGCACGCGGAAGAAATTTTCAGCTGTGAAGACAAGTAAAATGATTTTGGACGAAGCTTGAGTGTCAGTTGAGGAGAGAATGTGGATTGTGCAGCTTGTGGCAGTGGAAGTAATATGTGATGATTTGATCAGCTTTCACCCCAAACACCCGCAATAATTCAATGCATACATTCTGATTTTTTTCACAAAATTTTCTTATAAATACCATATTGTAATTTGCTTGTAACAGCACCTTGGGAAGGAGAAAAAAATCTCCGAAACGTGTCAGTCAAAAGGAGTTTTAGCTTAGTGGCCTTTATTCCGTTATATATCGTTGCATCCTAATTTTTGTCCGAAACAACACAAAGTTGTTTATATATCGGTCACTTCGCTCCGTTTCAGCCCGTATCACTTCATTGACTTAAGCTCTGGATTCCTGTGAGGGATTTTCGGTCATCTATTCAACAACACAACTGAAAAAGTCTTATCCATTTTGTTTAAATGTTCATGTATAGTCACGCACTTTATAGGATTTTTGTATTGACCATATAAACGCTAATTTTAATTTTTTAATTGTAGACCGGAAGGAGAAAAAATTCCCGATACGTAGTATGGTGAAAAAATAGTGTTTGAGCTATTCACACCGTTTCCGTCAATTTGTACAAATTTGAAAGGGAGACACGCGGAAATTGTGAGAAGGACAAATCTTTGGAGTTTGAGTGGCCTTCGTAGTATTTGTATTCATCGGTTGGATCTCGCCTGTGCTATCGCTTCTGATACCGCTTAATGAGGACGAACATAATATGAAATTACTATCGAAAATAATGACTGTGCCACCCCCGTCTTTAAAACATAATATATGAAAAGTTGCACATACCCGATAATATCATACTGTAAGAACCGTGAAAATAATCATATTAATTCCTTGTCTGAATTCGGAATAGTAGTGCAAATTTAGAAAGAAGCCATATAGATAAATCAAATAATGAAAAAATGCCGAATTCGCTAATACTTTAAATATGAAATGGCACTGAGATTTACAAGCTACAATTTTTAGGCATCACTGGGTCAATACATATAGACATTTTTCCTCCTGAATTTGATAGTCACATTTCCAACATTGTTTTGCACAATTTTCGGCTGGTTCCGTATAAAATCAGCTTAATTAGTAATCAAAAATACGAATGCATCCACTTAAATGAAGTTAAGTGGGAAGAACTAAAATAAAAATTTCCTAAATTCCATTGAAGTTTATAGAATTCTCCTGGTCTTATAAAGTCTTTCCACATAAACTATCTTACAAATTGCGGTATATGTTCCGTTGTAAAAGCAATATATTTGGAGTGAATGATTCGTGAAATTTTATTGAATCGCTTCTTTGCGCGACCTTGCTGTCGTTTCCTACGAAAATCTTTTTTTTTGTGTTCTGACTATCCTATAGCGCGATGAAGCTCTCCTTTGAGGTGAATGGGGAGATGTATTGTTAAACAACAAAGTTATTGCTTACTGTGATGTCAAATTGCTAGGTAAGAAGGATCCGGTTGTAGTGATGGTTGTCGGCGGATCTCCTCCTCCTCCTTGGCTTGGTGGTGATTGTGGTGAGGGCGATGGATCATACTTTCGCGGGCGACCACGCGATAAATGCCGTCTCTTGACAAATTCATTGTCATCCACCATCCAAAAACTGCCAAAATCATCTTCATATCTCACGAAACATTTGTGCAGCGACAAATTCGTACGTATTGCATTCTATAACGGATTAGCAATATGTGTTTGCTATTTCCAGGCATTTGTACTATAATTAGAGGGCATCTGTCGCTAATTTGTAGTGACCACAATGAAAGTGAAACTTGACTTACTTAGATTGATATTCGCAATTCTTAAGTAAAGAATCTTAAAAACTTGCTGTAACTTAAAAATTGAGACAAGCTTTTAAAGAACAATAAAACAAACAAATTCATTAATAGAATACCCATTTTTCCAGTAATTTACACTATTTATATATATTGTATATAATAATTTTAATTTATATTAGTGAGACTTTTTTTTATACTTTCTTTTGAAAAAAAGTTTTTATATTGATACTTAGTTAGTTGGGATAAACCATTTTTCTAGTCTATTCACAATTGAAGCATATAGAAGGAACACCCCCCCAATTAGAAGTTTCTTTAGGTACATTCGCACAGATATTTTGAATTGCCTTCGGAATATATTTTAGAAATTAGGCAAATTACTTGGAAATCAAAAAATTTAATTTCCGCGATTTCAGTTTCTTTCTCAGCAATCACAAGTCATTGTCTACAAAATCAATTCGACTAACCCATTTTATCTCATATATGTATTAACATACGATTTTTGAAGAATCTTCATGATACTTATTAAATATGGTTTTGTTTACAGTGTATGGACAAATCAAAAGATCTAAATCTAAACAAATAATTTTTTTAATGTAAAATTGCAAAAAAATCAAAAATTAAATTTTCTGACAAAATATTTAAATAAATCTAATTATATTCAAATACTGTTTAAATATTTATTAAAAATAGAAATATTGATTAATATTTCGAGACATGGCTGCTACAGAACAGCGAAGTTGGCGTGGAGAACGCTATTAATATCGTATTTTTGCATTAATTTCTTTTCCTTCTCTTGCATTCTCACATCCTATGATTTTCTGGCACTATCGGCCAGAATAGAAGAAAATCTAAACACGAGAATTAAGCTTTTGTGTAAAATCATCAGCTAATCAAGTTTGTAGAAGTTTTGATTGTATTTCCCCAAGGTAAGATTGATCAAGATCCTCCGTGACAATTTCATTCTGCCTCTGAAACTTTTTATGTAACGGGAAGAATAAATAAGAAATAATTTCAAGCCACGATTTTAACTCACGATTTTTGGCAAATTTTGTTCATGTCAACAAGTTCAAAGTCGATTACTTTAGTTGATTTACATATTGACCCATTTCAAAATATTTGCTTCTATTTTCCATTTCAGAAATTTATCGAAAAGACGACAAATTATGATATCAACAACTCCATAAAAAACACAAAAAATTCACGTAAAATAGCTAAAAAGTCGAGATATTGGCCTTTTTTCTCTTTGGTTTTAACATCTAAGCATTATCATCATCTAAATGAGTGCGTAGACAGCAAAATGTACCTTCTTTCAGTTTTTTAGCGGGTGCGCGTAGCATAAAAAAGCAAAACTTGTCGAGGAAAAACCTCGTTTTTCCAGCAGATAGAAAAGAAATATCACTTCGGCATGTATGGGGGAAATGTATCCCCTGAAGTGCTCTACACATAGGAAAAATAATCCAACATCAAAGTTTCTTCGTTTCGGAGATATTTAGAAAAAAGTGGTAAAGAAGTCGGCGAATTTTTTACCTAGTGGTTCACAAAAGATCACTTTTGACCAACAAGGAGTGATCTAAAACATTTACAATGTTCTACAAAGTAGTAGGTAATTTTAATAGCTATCGTTTGAGCCTAATTTGAGGAAAATCCGTGAAAAATTGGGCGAGATATGAGCACATAAGTGCGGCAAAGTAGGTGAAAATATGGGAAAATGGAAAATAGGCTCTAAAAGGAAAACTTGAGGGTCTAGGAAAAAAAGTGAGGTACCGTTGAAAAGCTGATGACTCAAGGAATCAGAAAATCCACACTTCAAAAAAAGGGCAGAAAAAAGTGTCATTTTTGTTGCCTAGTGTAATTTTTGAAGAAATTAATCCCATGCTTTTTAAAATCAGTATCTTTCATATATCTGCAATAAATATGATATGAAAAACACCCAAATATATACTCTTTTATGTTATTATTCTAAACAGGAAATTACATTTCATTTTTTAATTTTTCTCTGAAAGAAAATTTGCAATGATATCACGCGTTTTGAAAAATTTTGGAATGGGCTCCTATTTATGTGAAACACCAAAAATGTTTGAGAATATGTATGGAGAATATGTGAAGCCTGTTAAATATTTCATGGAAAATTAACTTCTTTTTCTATCGTCATTTACAAATTAGTTGATCGACTTTGTATTCGCTACATATTTTTTCCGCAAAAATTATGCCAAATAATGTACTTTACTAACTTCTGTTTCTCTTACCTACTTAAGTGTGGTGTACTGTAATCATAGTGGGAATAAGATCAATTTTCCGACAAAAATGACGCAAGTGTCAGCTTGAATGCCACGCACAGTTTTCGCTGCCTATAACCCTTTCATATTCACTTTTTCACACAAATTTGCCATAATTTTTTTCTATAATCTAAGCGGTAACTAATTCCAACTTTTCTGGTTTCTTACTTTTATTCTTTGTTTCTCTTTTGTATGAACTGAGGAAATATGGCTTGTATAACCTGAGAAAGAACTTTTCGATTGTTTTGCTTTGAAGGTTGGTCGTCAACCCTCAGACGTCTGTGGATTCCAAATACGCTCACAAAAGCTTTTTTTTTATAAGCGATAATAAATATGTATTATTTATTGAACAAAAAGAACGAAACCGGTAAATGAAATCTGCAAATTTTTTTCGTGTGCGTTCAAAATTTTACGGCAAGTCGTGGTATATCTCGCGGTTAAAGCTCGAAAGTTAGGATTTTCACCTTTGAGACTTACTAATTTAAACATATATTAATTTGAGTACAGAGAATGCAAGCAAACGAGTTGGAGTGGAGTGAGCCAAGTAGTGAGATGAGAAAGAATTCACCCCTAATTTTCATTATCCCTGAAGAAAGAGAAAAAAAACTCTCCGAAACGTCGGTAATAGAATAAAATCGAGTGAAGAAAAAAGAAAGGCCGTTCCGTGTTTAATCTCATATATTAATTTCAATCGCAAAATAATGAGAAATAATAACAATTGCGAACGACAAAAAACAATTTTGTTAAAAAAAGAAGTAAGAATTTATGAATTAACAACAGTTGAAATCCTCATCTTAGTGTGTTCGTCATAGCCAAAAAACGACCAACCATTAAGCAGGTGTGTTGAAAATTTGGCCAGAATTTTTGGTACGTATTTATATAATACAATTTCAGTTGGCTATAAAAGCCACTGTATATTCCGTAAAAAATGATGGTTTTAGTGTGATCTCATTGTTAAGTTTTCACATTGAGTTTAGCGAATTGCGTTCAATTTGCCTTTCCAACACAGTTTTGAGATCAAATTGATTCAAATGGAGCGATTCTCAGTCAAACAAGGAATGATAAAAAGGTGTTTTATTAGTTGAACTTAGACCTTTTTCTGAGTCACAGATGTAAGGTTTAAAATAATAATTGTGGTTAAAATCTAATCATATGTGTTATTTACTATTCCGATTCATACATGTTAAGACTTAATTTGTGCCGTCAGAATGTGTAATTCGAAGACTACAATTAGAGGATATTATAATGAATGTGTAAAAGCAGCGTTACAAGTGGGCAGATAAGAAACTGCAGAGGAATTACAAAGGTATATAAATATGTAATTGTGGCTTCAATTCGCAAGCATGAAAGAAATTTGTGGTAAATTATTTTTATCATGAATTTACTAATTTTATGCTTGCGTTATAAAAGTTTTAACAAATTTCATAATTTTCCAGCTATTACGTAATGTGTAATCGCACAAAATGTTATTACACTATTTTAGCACTAATAGTAAGAACTGTTTTACCTTCTTCACTTCTGTTGATAACTTTTTATATATTTGAAATTTGACATTCTTATGTTTGACTGGAAATCGCTCAAAAAGGTACACTTTCCGTGCCTTTTATATCTTTTAGGTATATCTCAACTTTTTTTTCATTTTAAAAGCATTAGGTATAGTGTATACTGTGATATTATGAAGAGTATATTAAAAAAAAATTGTTTCGACAAAAAAATATAATTTTTGAAAACAATATACTGTCCATTAACTCGAATAAGCGCAAGCATTGACACTTTTTTGGTATAAAAAAAAACACATGAATAGAAAAAATTGAATGAGGCTTTGAACCAATGTCACTACACTTTCAAGTGATCACTATCTGCAGATGTCCACAGAAATTCTTCTAGTATTCAGTAAATGGTGTTGCCATCGGTAAGAGCCTAAAACTTTACCTATTCGAGGGGTCGAAATATTAGAATTGTTTGTAGCGATTGACCAGTCTTTAAGTTATTATCGAAAAAAGACAATTAAAAAAGTGCGAAATAAAAGAGAATTAGGCACTGTTAGTTCACATGCAGAACTTTTTTTTCATTTATTTTTGCATTGACATACATTACATTTCTGTGTGTATGTGTGAGAATTTAATATAAATAAATAATGTAAATAATTTAGACATTCTGTAAATTTTAAATAATTTCTGAAAATTACAAATGCCATGACACGTAGCAAATCAATAAAATAAGACTTTTTTGCAATAATGAAAGTGTATTTTGAAAACAAAAAGATATCTATTATTGTATTGGACTTGAAGGATGAAGAAAGGAAATTTGCAGTATTCAGAAACTTATGTGTGTTGAATACCACTTGACTTTATCACCATAAAACACAGCATGGTGAGAACACAGCATTTTGCGATGAACCATTGGTCGGATTTATCATCTCTTTCTTCATCACGCGTATTTTACTTCGTACTCGCACGACACACTATGCCGAGTGTGACTCTGTAGATTTTCTTTGGGCGACCTGTGCGACTCGCGCAAGTACTTTGGGCAACTCGTGCTGAACTTTAGTTTGACAAGTCGAACAATAGGATTGCAGTCAAAATTGCGCACTAAAAAATGAGTTGAAGACTGAAAACAGAAAAGGCGATCTGACGGGACGAGATGGTGTAAATAAAATGCTGTGTTTTCACTATTAGTCTCAAGTAATATGAGTAAAAAACATAAAACTCAATAAGGCTTTTTATCTGATTACATAAAGTTGTGTTAAGAAACTAATTAAAAATATACTTCACATGAATACAAGGTGAGAAAATACGTGAGATTTTAAATATATCATATCTTGATATTAAAATTATTTATTATGGTGTAATAAAGTTGATACGAACTAAAATATTGTAAGTGTTTTCTATAGGGAATATATATGTTTAGCAAAAGTAAGTATTCAATCAAATTTAGAATATTGAAAGTAATTTTGAAAACTTTTTCCGTTTACCGACAAAGTTTTGCATGTGAAGGCCACAGTGATTTTTTTTTATTTCTGCCTATTAACTTCCTGAGACGTTTTTATAACCACAAAACAATAAAGAATATAAGAATACAACATATTCAAAAAGGATGAAGTGAACGATTTTGAATAGTGAAAACTACTCAAATTCAACTGATTTAGTTTTTTTAAAATGTAGTAATAAACATTGGATTACTCTCACAAAATCAAAAATACCTAATAACTTATTAACATCTTTAGACAATTTGCAAGGTAAGGTCTGACACCACAAAAGGTATTCATTGTTTGTTAAAGTTTGAATAAGGATAGATCTATTTTTGTATAAGCTATCAAATATTTACAAAATAGTGGACTTAAACACAGAGAAACATGTTGCTAAACCAATGCAATAAAACCTGCGAATTAATAATTAAGTTAGAATTATAAGTATTTTTGCATTGAGAAAGAGCAACATTTTCTCCATTAAATGCTTTAACATATTTACAGGGATAGTGAAATGTAAGATATATATATATATATATTGTAGAAAGTAGGCAAGGAGCGGGATTGAACAAATAGGTAGCAAAAGAAACCAAATTATTTACAAGAATTGAGAAAGAGATACAAAATATATCTGGAAGAAAAATCTGGTATTATTGGTCAGAGCATAAGCTCTATTCTTACCATTGATTAGTTATTACTATCATCAAATATATTCATCCTTTTCTGAAGGATGGAAGTTATGTATATACATATATGTATGTGTATTTATACAAAGAAGCTGAATGTAAGGAAACAATTGATTATAAACCTGTGACACTTAAAATTGAAAATTTCTCTTAGATTTGCATTTTTAAAGTAGAAAATAGAATTTTTCACAGAAATGTAGTAACTATTTACAAAAGAATAAAACAATAAATAGAAAATATTTCTAACGTATTTAGATATAAGAATCACGTATTACAGTGAAAATGTTACAAAAAATGGGAAAATTCTTTCAAAAGATATAGTGTTATACAGAGTAGTATTTACAGAAAGTTTCGTTGCCATTCTCGTGAAGACTTGCCTTACGCAATATTTACCATATTCGACTTAAGGCTTTCCTTTTTTTTTTAGTGAAATGCACATCGGTCAAGAGGTTGCTAATGTCGGAGATGCTGTATCGCTTGGTACGAGATGCAGTCGATATTCCCCGGAGATGCCGAGATGCAGTAATAATTATTTACAAAATTATGTATTTTAATATACAAGGATGTCCAGATGCGAGGGGAATGTATGTGTTGGACAAGGTTTTTTTTACAACAGATCGGATCTATTCGGAACTTCTCGAATAAATTGCATCTCAGTGCATCGCGATGCACTCAAGATCCACGGAGATGCAAGATGATGTGGCACTGATAACCGACATTAGCAACCCCTTGACAACAGTGCGATTTACATGGTCGCTTTATTTAATAACCATTTTAAAAAGTTGTTTTTTTTTCATTTACATAAAAGACGTAACTTGTTGCTATTCAATTAATAATTCATCAACTGATGATATATTCCGAGATTTACTGCAACTTTAAAATTTAATTTGGATATATTAAAAACTATGTTTTTATAAATATCTACGAAACGGTATTCTAGATTATTTGAGAAATATTCCGTACTAATCGGGATCTGACGATATATTGAAAAAAAAAACATTAATCAAGAATTAGCTGCAGTTGTGATAAATCCAAATTTGTTTGCCTCTCTGATTTTATTTATAAAATCTAGATTCATATTTATGATTATACCCAAAAATTAAGGCCACATTTTCTAACAAATTTGCCACAGATTAACCAAAGCAAACAGCGAAGATTATAAAGTAAGACAAGTGAATAAACAATGTATTTGACATGTCTGTAACAAAAAATGTAATTAAATAGATTGAGGCGGATTCTAATTAACCGGCAAGTGTCTGCGTATGCTTCATCCTCTTCAAAGATCTCATGACGGAGTACATTTTAAAGAGACATAAAGAGATGAACAGTGTGCCGAAAAAGCATTCTTACTCCTATCACGGTACAAGTACTCTCCAAATCGCCCGTTGTCAGGAGTGGTATCAAGTATCAAAGGTAATCAATGATTTGGACGCGATCTAAGGAAAGCACGCATTTACAGATAAGATGGCATACTGCAGTTTGAATCCCACCGATTGAAAATGTTCGATCACAACAGAGTGCAAAAAATTAGGCCTTTCATTGGCAAATTAGAGCAGCCCAAGCGGTTGCTGTTCAATGTTTCAGCTGAAATATATGAATCATTGGAATTCTCTTTTGCGCAACTTGAGATCCACCGACGGTTGGTGGGCAAACGGACAAAGTGCCATCGCAAAAACATACCTGTCTCAAACATCTCCTTTCATGGAGAAGACCCAATGATCCCTCAATGGGACATTAATGCCACGTAAAAAAGTTATGATCTTTAAAATTGATGATATTGGAATTGATAACTACTTTAAAAAAAGTGTTAGGATGTTCGGTTTTTATTGGGTGTACAAAATTGTTTCGATAATTGAGATGAGTTTTAATCTATTATATTAGATATTATATACTTGTTTAGTATAGTATTCGTAGAAAAAAATTATATAAATACACGGTAATGCCTATGAGTCGAGTTGGCTAAGGCTAATCATCACGAGATAATGCTGTGTATTCACTTTGCCAGTTGAGTCTGGCGAATAATGGAAGGATATGATGGGGCAGTCCGAAGACGAAGGATCAAGACATGTAAAAGAGTGTTGAGTTCCACGTACCCAACGGGTGGTTGCGTTGTCGGAACGGGAAGCTGATGGGTGACGGTGACGCTTGGCGATGACGTTGGCGCAATGGCCGTACTGGCAATAGATGAAACAGCCGTGGAGCACCTCTGTGGGCGTCTCTTGTAAAATTCAACCTCATCCACAGTCCATACAGCGCCCTTAACATTTTCAACCCGCATAAAACACTTGTGCAGCGACAAGTTATGGCGTACAGCGTTCTACAATTCAAGGAGATGTTTTTGTTTTGTTTTTCAGTTACACAGCCCTCTGCGGGTGTGCATTTGTGGAGACACAAATGATAATTTTAAGGTTATGAGAACAAAAAAGAAAATAATGTGTAGTATTTGTGAAAATATGAACAGTATTATATATATATATATTTATATATATCAGAGGTTGTGAGAAGGAGACCTTACAACGACTCAGTACCGTCCCGAATTTACTGAATACCATCTCGTTTATTTTCGTAGGAGTGAATAAATACCTTCCACGTTGCAGCATTCCGGCGAAAATAGCAAAATGTGTTCTGGAACCAGTTGTAGATCTCGTTCAGCGTCAACTGCTTATCTGGTGACTCAATTATTGACTACAAGTGTACTATATGTTACTCATAACACTTACAATACCAAGGAATGTAAACCTCTGAGTGTGTAAAGAGGTGCGGAAATAAGGTACTGTGACGTCACAAGCCATATACAAATCAAATAGAGACTATTCTGATATTTTGCTGTATTTCCTCTTCTCTCTAGACACAGAGTTTGTTTACACTCCTTGTTAGAATACCACAATACAGAACATACCTGTCGAATGAGCGAAGCGTATGTAAATGGGGGTCGCACATCAGCATTTTTATAAAATTCACGGTTTCGTTGTATTTCTGAAATGAAAGAATATGAGAATGATTTGAGAATAAAATAGGAAATTTCTTAGACAGGATAAACAGGTTTAAAGATTGAAGAAATTATAGCACTAACTTAAAATACTAAAGAGTTTTTTACTCTTTAAGTAGTCAAGAAAATTGTGGATATGCACCACTACTTTTCAAACAACCCCGCACTATTGCACCCTAAATTTAGTTCCTTAATGCCGTTGGATGCTTGAGATCGAAGCCTGTGTAAAGAGTAAAGAAAGTTTTCTGATGGATAATTAGAATCAGAGTTATGGCCATTTAGCAGGCGGCTGTGTTTCAGAGATAAAAGCGTTTTACTTCGACCCATGTATATATATATATATATATAAACCTAAATATAGATAAAACTGTCAAATTTTGAAAATCGTTCTAATGTCCATGACGATATACTAATTATATACGACATTAATTAGCACCTTGTTGCACATCTAATCCGGCGCGCTCCAGCATATAGGGAAGTCCTTTTGTGACGATAAAAATACGATAGTTAGTGATACACTTTTTTTTTACTTTGAATAGAACACCAACCTCCGGCTAGTGACAGTGTGGACTTGTCCGTGATACGTCGTCGAATAGGACCAATACTTGCAGTATGGGTGGTTGGTGATCGCACCGGTGTCGCAGATATGGCATTAGGTATAGTAGGTGCGCAGGGTACAAATCCTGCAAAACGTTCGCACAGTATTCAATGTAACTATTATTGCAGAAGTAGATCTCCTCACCTTTACTATGATCCGATATTATAGCTGCTTGATTTGATATGTGCAAATGATGCATCATGGCTTGCAGTCTGTCCCTCTCCTTTTGTAAATGTATCTCAAGTTGAGACACGACTTGCATCTGCACCCTCACCTGTGCAGTCGATCTGTCATCCAAACAGTGTTCAGAATTGAGATGCCTGTAAAAATAAATATGTAAATATGTCTCACTTAAGTTTTGCTGTTTTTTGAACTGCCATGTACACAGTGGGGCAATAACTAAAATCGCAACAAAACTCTTCATGTGGTGGTTCTAGAGTTAAAACAAAAAATTCACACTAAGATTACGTTGACAATTTCAATTTCTTTTAATTCTGTATCCCGAATTCCCATTACTACAGTGTCGGCAATAATTAAAGGCTCAGCATAGGTCTTCGGGGTCTCAGTGGACTGAAGCAAAAATTGAAAAAAAAAAAAAAAACGTTTGATTGCCTATCCATAGACAAAATAAAACCCCCAATATGAGCCCCCTTTGCCGAAGCCTGGGGATTCTAGGGAACCTTATCACTTTATGGGCCTTAAGCACTTTTTCCAGGGTTTTTTCTTCTTCTTCGGACAACCCCCAATGAAGTGGAGCAAAAAGTTCTTCAGACACTTTTAGGAAACCCGTGGGCTCTAGATCCGGAGATGGGTAGCACTTCGGAGGGAACGCTCCACCATGGAACGAAGGTAATGTGCGCCGACTTTGCCTCCGACACTTTCACTCTCCATCGACCAGGCCAAGGCTCAACTTCAGAAATTTCCGATTGTAACATGCGGGAAGCAGTCGCTGGATCCTCATGGCACGCCATCAGAAGAATGTCGTCTGCATAGGTAGCAATTATATTCCCATCCGGTACGGGGATATCCGCCGTATACAGGGTATATAGTAGAGGCCCAAGTACACTACCATGGGGAACTGCAGATAAGATTGGTTTGAGCTCGGAGGCAGCATCATCGCACTTCACGCAGAATGTCCTATCCTCCAGATATGATTAAGGGTTTCGAAGAGCTGGTGTGGCAAAAGCCTCTTGAGTTTGTACAGAAGGCCATCGTGCCACACCTTATCAAAAGCCTGCTGCACATCCAGGAAAAGCGCGGAGCAATACTGCTTCCTCTCCATGGCCTAAGCAACATGGTCGACGATCCGATGCACCTGCTCGACTGTAGTATGGCTCTTCCGAAAGCCAAACTGGTGGTCAGGAATCATCCCGCCACGCACCATCAGAGGCTCCAGCCGTAGTAATAGCAGTCTCTCAAACAGTTTGGATAAGACCGGGAGGAGGCTGATTGGGCAATAAGATGAGCATACCTCTGGAGGCTTGCCCGGCTTGGCACACATGACGACCTCGGCCACTTTGAGCTGCACGGGCACATATTCCAAGCGCAACATAGCGTTGAAGAGGAGCCTCAGATATAGGAGACCTTCACGAGGCAGCTCACGAAGAATTTTGGCCGTGAGGAGATCGAAGCCTGGAGCCTTCGATGGATTCATCCTCTTCACAATGTCATCTATCTCACGTAGAGAGAATCTCTTCACGGGTGGACGCTCCTGTGGTGAAGCCAGGGAGTTCTCAATGTCGTCATCGCTGGAGCCTCCACTAGCACTCACAGCAGGCCAGGGCCGAAACACCTGCCCAAGATGGTCAGCAAAGACCTCACATTTGTCCACAGGTCTCCTCGCCCAGCTACCATCTGTCCTCCTGATAGGAGGAACTGGAATAACAGGCCGAGTGATTCTCTTCGTGGCCTTCCACAGGCTGTAGTCAGTATTCTGGCCAGGAGACAGTCCCTCCAGGTACTCCCGAAAAGAGGCCTCCCTCAAGTCCGCCAGCGCCCTCTTTAGCTCAAGAGAGCACCTGTTTAATGCAGCCCTCAGATCTGGGGACCTGAGTCGTTGCCACTGTCGTCTGAGGCGTCTCTTCCGGGCAAGCATACTCCTCACCCCGGATGGCAGAGAATCGTCGATCGTGGAGGCAGCCGCATCTGGGGTAGCCACCCAAGCTGCCTCCTGAGTGCGGGCAACAAACATGTAGGCAGCGCTCTCGAGCTCCTCCCTGCTCTTCAATGAGACGTCCAGCGATAGCCTCTCCTTCAAGATGCCTCGAAAATATGCCCAATCCGTTCTCCAATTATGCAGAGACGGATTTCTTATCCTTTTCTGAACCGCAGCAGACATCGTGAGGAACACAGGAGAGTGGTCAGATGACAGCTCGGCCGATGTTGAGACACTCATACGACGGAAATCTAGTCCTTTCGTAATTGAGCATATGAGCAGAGATTTGTGAGTGTAACACAAACTCAAAAGATTTAGACAGAGACGGGAGGAGAGAGATCGCCATGAAGTCAGAGGCTAACTTAGGATTAGAAGTTTTTGGAAGTGGTATAACCTTGCCCAGCTTCCAAGCATTCCAATCATTGTATTTATCCGATTTTAATAGTTTTAAACCCGCTGGAAAGCTCTAGCAAAAATCTTCATGTATTTAGAACCATAGAATTTTGTGTGATCACTGCAGCGGCGCTAGAGTAATTGAGAGAATTTAAAAAATTTTGATGTCAAAAATTTTGTTTCAGTGTCGAGTTACTTTCAAAGAAATGTTTGAATAATTTGATGGTTCAGATTAAGGCGTATCCAAAATGTAATTATATTTTTTGCCAATGCCATATAACCCAAATACGGAGGTTTGAAATTTTTGGTTAAAAATTGAGTTGGCCTGGTTGATCTCATTTTGAGTTGGTTGTGTCGCCCACCTCACCTCAGCTAGCCTTGGCGTTTGCTTATCACGTCCTGTTAGTTGGCTTCAAAAAACCTATTGCTAAAACCAGAAAAAGTCCCGGAGAAAAATTTCTCACTTTGCATAGTCGAAGGAATCGAGAACTCGAAGCGAGCGAAAGAATGAAAAAATGTGGCTGTGAGAGAGCGAACACGCGATAGCTTCGTTTCTCGCTCTCTCGCATTGCGCCCTCTCTTCACAAGCGCTGTGCGACAGATTTAGAAACGAAGCGATCGCGCGGTCGCTCTCTCACGACAATATGATTCTCGTTCAGCGTAATGCGAATTTATCCGTTCGTACAACTAATTATTTTACACTCATGTCAGGACATTTGGAACATTGCTATATTAACGACTAATGCACACATTAAAGACTCACATTCACTCACACTTATGAAAATTACCATCTGGAAAGTCGGAAAGTTGTGTGTAGAAAAGAAAAGTTTGTATTTATTGCGTTAACGAAAATATCTAAATTTAAACACATTTTCATTTTCAACGGACAAGAAATTATGTGCAGTTCAGATATAAGAAAATGAAAATAAATTTATAAATATAGGTTGAAAAATTTGGAATAACGAGCTGTGAAAAATTATGGAAATTCATTTGCGAAGATGATATATTTCATTAACTTTCAGTTGACGTCTTGTTCGATTGATTTCAATATCTGTGAAAAATGCCATATGACTGCAACATATAACGTTTTTCGCGGAAAAAGTAGCCACTTTTTCTAATTGTATTCGCACAATTAGACGTCGGGCAAAGAAAATTAACACGTTCCTGTGATAAACAATCAATGACCCTCACAATGAAATCATTCGGAGAGAAGTGAAAATTTTATCATTTTAAATTCGATAAGTCAATCGACGTGTGTCAGCCGATCCTGAAAACGTCGAAAGGGCACCGAAAGGCCTATGAGGACGTCCTCAGGGCTTAACTTGGCTCCTATTTTGTACCTAATTCAATAAAAATGTTCGTATTTACAATTGTAGTAAATTCAGGCGTACAATCGAAAACCCACCGATTGGAAACCCCTAGATTGATAACATGAGTTGTCACCAGAGGGCTAGGTCCTCACATGAACGGAGAGAGGGGAACTCACTTGGCTTTCGGTGCTGTGAGTCAGTCTCCTCTGAGTGGTCGAAGTTCGCCTGTCGATCCGCACCTTCGGGAGCCCATTCTTAGGAATTACCCGCCTTATCGCGTCGTCGTAAAATTGCTACACAATTGAGAATAATTTCGTATATATTTCAGGAAACAATTTCAAATTTGGATTTCAATACAATAAAAGTAGATATTTCTATCCAAACGGTATTGTTGGTCACGTTCATTATGAATCCCACCTACTTTAGACCACATCATCTTGCCATGTCATCCTAATACTCGTGAAGTTTCCCGTGGCTTGATTGTTCATCTGAAAAATAAGAAAACGACTAAATGTCACTTTTTATACGCGCAGAATTGAGATCAAATGTTCTCTCAATTTATACTAAAAGTCAAGAAGTCCGGTGCACATTTTGAATTCCACCAAAATGTACAAAAATAAATGCAATTTCCACTCACCTTTTTATCCGATAATAACTGTTAAAGTATTATACTTTGCACTCACTGCATTCAGCCACGACTAGACCTCTGCTTATGTGACAACTTTGGTTTAGTAAAAGAATTTTACAACGTTTCCAATGCTTCTTTTTACTCTTTCGAACAGCGAATAATTTCCCGTTTTTGCACAACTTTTGGGGAAAGATAATACTTATATGGACTAATTCGTCCTTAGGCTGTCGATAGCAACTATATTCTCCATAAAATTAAGCTCCAAAAGGAAATTACACTCAAATCATATCGGTAGTGAAGGAGAACCTAACGTCATTTCAAGGTAGTGGAATAAACGCTTTCGAGCTGCATTTCTTCTACCCGTTTGCATGGACGAATCAGTTATCATTTACTGCCCTTTTTCGACCTCAAAGACTAATGTAAATCTTCTCCTGTCAGAAGCACTTTAATAATACTTTTAATAGCACTTTTAATAGCTCTTTATTAATACATAGATTTGTAATTACTCTAAGTGTTGATGCTAGTGTCCGAAAGTAAACGATAAAAAAGTCCCTTCATTTCCGGTATGTTTAGATATATCAAGTGCGTATCCTTAGTAAGAAACAGAACAGATCATGATCACTGTCAAAAAGTAAAGAGAAAACTAGCTTTGCATAGCCGAAGCTATGATCAGTCGGCCTTTTTCATGTGGCCTTCGGCTGGTCTATCCAGTCTCCACGAGCTCCTTAGTAGGCGTAAAGTCTGTTAGACGGCAGCAGCTGTTAAGGCTTCTGCTGTTATAAGTTTGGCTCTATTCGTCTGTTCTTTATAATTTTGTACTTGTTTGAAATGAAAAATTCTACAATAGCTACTTAGAAAAATATAATGCGATGGGAGATATTGAGTGGATTGTAGTGTCCCAAATATTCCCCTGCATAGTAATTAATTTTAAAGAGATGTTTCTCTTCAGTTAAGGGAGAGGACTATCAAATTTTAGTGAGAATATAATGAAATTCCTACGAAGAAGTGATGTAACTAACACGCCAATATCGCGTGGTGAATACTTTTTTAGAAGAAATGTAGAAGAAATGACTCAGTGATATAACCCGTGGCCTCTATTAATATATTAATATATAGCATAAAAATCAAAATTGCAGGACTAGACGAAAATTGTCACTCACTGAAAAACAATGGACGGTGAGCGTTCCAGAATGTATACCAGAGCTCGAAATTGAGCATCTGGTCGTTTCTAAATGTTTTTCTTTCGAACTCATACTGAATGTCACATTAAGTGCCGCTAAAAAATACTGTGTGCATGCGCACCTTACTCAGAAAATGTGGAAAATGAATAAATAGATACTAGCAGACCATAAAGGGTAAAAATAACTCGATTGTGTGAAAATTAAGTGAGTTCTACGTGACCACTGAACGACGAAAATGAGGGGGTGGAAGGGGAGAGTCTTTATAAGACGGAAAATGGGGACGATGCCTCAGTTGTTCCAGGACAAGCGGACAAATCGCTTCCAATTTGTCAAGTATTGATTTTAAGAGTGTGAAATATAGTTATCAAGTGCCAAAGAACCGACTTTTACTATAAACACTGGACAGCTCCGCCCTTACACTTACGAAGTTCACGTGACCACTACAAGATCTTCGCCTAGCGATGGTGCCTTTGTGAGGTTTACCGAATGCCTTGGGTGCCATGCAAATGAGTGCACGGTAGTGATCAGACGCGCTAGTAGGCGAGTTCGTCCCTGAAGCTGTGAATTACATTTGTGATTATCATGAGAATTTTCCAGGAATCCCTCTGATCGTAGGCTTGCTGCCTACGATAGACTCTAGGAGCTACCACTCTGTAAGACTTCGATGTGCGGGAGATGACTACGGCTCATGTTTGAGGGTGGTTAATGAGATTGATGGAACCCTCTTGTCGGATTCCAGCCGGGCTTATTAACAGATGTACTAAACCGGTTCCTTGCCTTTTTCGTGGGCAACCCTGTCGCTATAATGCTCGTCTGTGAGGATACATGTGAAAATCTCGCGTTGATGTCCTTTGCTTATGGCTCCGACCTCACCTCTGGACATACTTACAATACACCTTCTCATTCCGTGATGCGTGTACCCAGGATGTGCATGTCGCAATTTGGCAACTAAAAAACACGAGTTCTAGAAGAGTTGACGGATTGACAACGAGCCAATACAAGACTGCCGAGGACTTTGTTGCCGCGCCGCTTGCCGCTCTCATCAACATCTGTTTCCGGGAAGGGATCTTTTCTGACTCGTTGAAGCTCTCAAGGATCACCCCATCAGTTCAGTTCAGTTGGCCAAACTGAGTGGTCCTGCAATTGCATTTCTCTGAGAGATTCCGTTTATAATGGCGATTTGTGGAATGTGTGGGAAAAGGATTTTGCGTGAAACTGGAGACAATGTGAAGTGCGGATGCTGCCAGCTACTGTATCATCTGATGTGCACTCGACTGTCCGCGACTGATCAGGAGAAACTCAAGTGTGCCTCGCCTGCAGTCCTCATTGCAGCACTTCGGACATATATTATGGTGGAGACATCGTGAAATTCGAAAATATTGTTCGAGCACAAAAAAATTCCCATTTATATAAAATCAAAAATGGGTTCATTCACAGTAACCTCAGCATCTCTGAGGCAAAGAATAGCATTAACACAAGGCAGAAAGACTGTCTGGTGAATTTACTACTAAATACAACCAAGTTCGGAACAAATTTACCTTAATGAAATTGTACAATACTTTCATGAATAGAAACGAAAATGCCACTATAGGTAGCATTAAAAATGTTGTAAAAAATGCACTTTTGGATTTCTTGTAGAAGTACTGTGATATTTCCTGCCACTTCTGCCGTGTTATGTTTTGCCGTATATGCGTCGTCCTTTTTTTTTTACTGACTGAATTTTGTAAAGTTTAATCATATGTATAGTCTCAATTTAGTTTTTTCTATGTAAGAGCAGAGGCAATGATCAAATAAATCCAAGAAAGAAGTCCAACTGCTCTCCTGGGACGGATGGAATTTCGAACGTTATGCTCAAGAGAACTACACGGTATGTGGCTGATATGCTGTTCTTTGCCATCAACCTCTTCTTTGAGTCTAGTACATAGAATAAGTGAATAGATGAAATTGCACAGCCCGGTTCTAACAGCTCGTTCATCAACACCAACTTATTCATCGGGTTCCTAATTAGGGAATTACCACTCTAAGATTACCAGGGATTCACTGAGCATATTGATCTGAATACAGATATTAAAGGTCGTATATTCACTAAATGGTGAAGTTAAAATGGTTTAAATGGAAAGGGCTATTACTTAATGAGTAATCACAAACACGAATAGGCTCATTCGAATTAGCTTCAATGTCTAAAAGGATACAAAAATTCCCTTAATTGCTTAAAGATCGGTAGTTTTTCTTGCACAAGCTGTTACTAAATCTGTGTTTTGCGCTGTTTTGCATTGTCTTTCTCTTTCTGCTACTCCTGAGTTTAGTTTTGCATACAGAAGACGAATTTGTTCTTTCTCACTAGAGTTACTGATTATATTTGGTTTTACCGATTTCCAAACTAAGACTAAGTTTCAAATCTCAAACGCTTATTTTTCTTCGTTAAAATTTCGTTAAGTTCTCCCTAATTATCGATATGAATTGCGTGTAATTTCTGTTTTGAGATTAATTTTATGGTGAATATAGTTGCTATCGACAGTCTAAGGACGAATCAGTCCATATAAGTACTATCTTTCTCCTAAAATTGTTCAAAAAAGGAATTTGTTCGCTATTCGTATTGTTAAGTGTAGGTTTTGGGAGGAATTTACCGTCACTATAACATAGTGTGATAACTCTCGTAATAGTAAACAAATTTAATTAATGATAAGTCAGGAAAACCACAATTATTGATTATCATTACTTGCACTCACTTGGTGAATGTGGTCATGTCATCAAAGATGACTTCACATCCTGGCCACTTACACATACCATGGCCATAAAGCGGGTGATCCGTTTTTTCTTCTGCACGCTCATCTTGGACATTGCCTAGCTCCTCACGACGGTTGATGTAGATGGAATTTAACAAGTGTGAAAACTTCTCGTTTTCCTCTGGTTCGCCGTGTTCAGTGGGTGATTCACCATCATCTAATCCATTGAACATCTTTACGTATGCCCGGCCACCATCCTCTTTCCACGGGCTACCCTCGCGAACACCTGTCGAACGGACAGCACTGTAGGACGTGTAGAAGTCAAATGAATTACCGCAAATACCAATTTGAACTTTTTTCGCTCTCTGCCAATATGTTTAAGACATAAAAGATCACTATCAGCTTACGAAGCGGCTTTCCATTTTTCATTCAAAGTGTGTATGTTATTCTGAGACCAATGCCTGTGTTTAAAAAGTTGCCGTACAAGAGGAAGAAAATATACATTATGCTTTCGGCATCCATATTACCTGTCACATTGACTATGTAACCTAATGCCGCATTTCCTCTCATTGTAATAATTTGTGTAATTCTAGTAAAAAAAATGGAGCTCTATTATTTTAAGACTCTATTATTTGTTTAACTATACATTATTACTGAGCTCTTTGCGTTTAGTTCTTTGTGTAGCTTCTTGACCCAAAATCAGAGACAAACCTTGTTGCGACAGTAGAAACGGTTGCAAACTCATGCCCTGATGCACAAGATATTGTCGCTGAATAATCTGCAGTTGCTGAATAAGCTCTTGCTGCTGCAAAACAAGCTGCTGTGGCACGGTGCTAGTTGTATTTGGTTCACAAAGCTTTTTACGTGTTGGAGACATCTTATCTTGGTGTATAAAATGTGTTTGCTGCAACAAATTCATCTGCAGTTGTTCTTGTAGTTGCGCCATATTTGCTTCGAGCTGTTTACGCTGTAGCTCATATGCTCGAGGAACATAGAGCGTTTGCTGTTTCATTAGTTGTTGCAACTGTGTAGGTGTAAATACGTGCTGCTGTAGCAATTGTTGCATCTGCAGTTGCTGCTGTTGCAGTCGTGAATGTAACAGCTGAGACTTGTGTGCTGAAGCCTCATCTTCATGTGACTCGGAATCATGCTCAAAGTAATATTTTTCCTCTGGTGTTGCTTCAGTAACCGTATCTTCACCATTGACTGTGAACGTAGTATTAACATGAATTTTTATTATCGAGAGTAACATATTGAAACATCCTAAAAGGAGGAGATTGGAGATGATAGAGATACTGTTCTCTATTCACAATTTCTTATAATCAATAGTAAATATGGTTAAGAAATGTTAAACAAAAAACAATTTTTGAGTTTTAAAACAAATAGGATTTCATAACAATAAATGGATTACCATCCAATATGTATTACACATACTGTCTTTGATTGTCGGTGAAATAAACTCAAAAACTAACTATGAGCCTCTTTATGTCGGGCCCAGTTAAATGCTGCATTTATCATTAATGTAGCATTTAACAATATTCGGCTTTATTTTAGTCCATGGCGTTGATACCGGGACACACGCGCTTAAACTGAAATCGAATCATGTCGCAACGCGACGCGCAGTCACGAATTTGACGTTCAGTGAGGATGTGTGTGAGAATTTGACAGCCCACACGCATGCGCCACCGCGCAGTTTGAGCCGACTTTTAAGTCCATGTCGGACTAGCTTTAATATAAATGCTGCATTTATATTAAAGCCGACACGGCATAAAGAGGCTCTATGATACAACTATTGTTTGTGTTTATGAAAAAACGTAGTATTTGAATTCCTAACGAGCAAAGAATAAAATATATTGACAAGTATTTCTTATAAAAGGCCAAATTGCAGGCCACTCACTAGCGTTTGTGATTGTATCACGAGCTTTTTACCGCAAGAAGTCATATACGTATGTGTAGTACGTTACTTTAAAAAAGAGCAAATGAAGATTAAATCTTTTTTTTTTTAAGGTTTTGATGCTAATATTCTGTGCAAAATTCATAAAAAAAAAAAGAATTTAATAAAATTTAAGTTTCAAAGCCATCCTATACAATTGCTTTGTCTTCCCATATTGCAAAATTGTACATTGATTTAAAACATTTCATCGAATCAAAACTGTGATCTATTTGATGACTATACTAAGAGCTAATTTACAGCTGGGTGAAGACTTGTACTCGCACCAAGCTCCGCACGAAATACAAAAACTCGCAAAATACACTATAATAATATCAGGGAGGCTTAACATGACGAAACATAACGAAAAAGAGTGAGGTCACATTTTTTTTAGTTGCCGTCCATCGGACTTGTGGCGCTTAAACGGCAAAAGATATCGACATGCGCTTTTTACCAAAGGTCAGAAGTTCTACTGCTGCTAGAGAATGGTGATGTCAAATCCAACCCCCCACCCTTCCGTTCGCCATTTTGAACACCACCAAAAGTATTTTCCCAATTTACTCAGCCCCTATGACATGCATTTGGTTCAAATTTTAGTATGGTTTAGCTGACCTCAAGACCTTTCCAGCGAACCGCCACTCGAGGACCTTGGTCCTTCCAGACCCTAGATTTGAAGGCTTAAATTTTTAAACTTCAAATGGCCATTACTCCGCTTCTAACTAACTGATTGGAATGATTTGGAATTCATTCCAAAGGTCTTTTAAACTGCCATCTCCCACCTGAACATCATAACTTGGTAGGACCACCGCTAGAGTCGCTAAAGTAAAAAAAAAACATTTTCGAATTGTCAGAATCGAATAACTCGGAAAAACGTTATGCATTTTTTTAAATTTGAATGTGTTATAGCTGAGGTCGAGATCTTTCCAACGAACCGTTACTTTTAGGGCCCAATTCATTAGGAGCGGAGATATGGAAGGTCAAAGTTCACACGTTTGATGGTCCATATCTCCGCTGTTTACTAATCGATTTTGATCATCTCTTCACCAAAAGTCGTATTTCGACGCCATTTAATAAGCTACATTCACCATTAAACTATGATATCACAATGAATGCTGCGATATTGAAAAAAAAACTTTGAACACGTCGAGACGTCTCTAAAAATTGGAATTAACTTTTTACCCTAGGAGGAGGGTCTGGCCCCGAACATGGTCGATGGATGTGGTGGACGACGTCCTTAAGGCCCTAGGTAAGGGTGCGTTGCTGGCGGGTGGTGGCGGTGGATCGCGGAGAGTGGCGAAGCATTATGGAGAAGACCAATGCCCTTAAAGGGACGTAGGGCCACTTAAGTAAGTAAATAATAGATACGGAGTTATGACGGCTTAAAATTTTAGATTAGATTACATTACATTTATTTTCGTCTCACTCAGGAACAGTGTACAGCTGAAAGGAGTTTAATACAGATTTTCAAAAATAAAACCATGTGCACGGATCACTGAGGAGAGAAGGAAGCATCGCCGTAGCCGTAGGCTGTGTAGAGTGTGTAGTGCATTGATGATTGGTATTTCATTAACACTGTAAAAGGTTTGCTGACTATAACTTAAATTTTCACGTAAAAGGTACAAGAATAACAAATATAAAGACTCTCAAGCAAAATATTAGCCGCTCTTAGGTCTTAAAGTCAATCTGTTGCATTGGATGTTCAAAATAATATAGCCACTAGTAGGAGCCGAAGAAGTAGGAAAAAAACTGCAACAGTACAATGAGTATGCATCAGTTCTGATTGGTCAGGATGGCCCGGTCAACATGCCGAAGCCGTCCGAGCCAAAACACACCAGAGGTTATTTTAAATACGCCATAACTTCGGTTCTATTTCCCGGTCATTATGGTTTTCAGGGTCGTTTGGAAGCTCTTGCAGAACTCTATAACTATTTAGAACAACAGAAATTCATCAGACCACCGCCAGAGACGCTAATGTCAATGTCAAAGTTTTTGAAATTTGAAACCCAAAAATTTTCTTTCAAGGTCATGTTAATTTGAGATAATTCCTTAAGTATTTCGACAGTTCAAATCAAGACGTTTCCAAAATGGGGTCAAACTTTCCTGTCGAAACAATAAAATCAGAATTATATCTGTTGGAATTGGAGTTGGATTTCATATTACATATGAAAATATCCACGCTTTCTTTCCTTCTTACCAAATCAAGTTAAACATGGACGAGAACTATAGAAAATTCCAGCTAGATACCATTAGCAGACACAAAGCGTGTGTTTATCCTTTTTTTATTGGTAAGCAATTAAGCGGATTTGTTTCTGGCATACCTACTATCAATTGCATAAAATATAGTTACGGCCTAATTGAAGCGTCATACGCAAATTTCATGCACATGACTTTTAAAATTAACGAATACCATACAGTGTTAGTCAACAATTTGGTGCCGCGTAAAAAAACTAGGGTTATCAGCACCCCTAGATCAGGAAATTTTAAATAATATTTAATGTTTTAATAGAGTAAAAGCGCACTTGTCAACATAAAGGGGTTATCTGTCTTATAATATTGTAAGCAACCGATCGTGGCAATTTTACATTCAAACCATTTTTTAAAAAACTGTAATGAGTATGATTTTACTAATAAATGTTTCAAGATTACGATTAGTATAATGTACGAAGAGCGGCTGTGGCTCAGCAGTCAATGCGCTTGACTCTCGACGCTACAGTCATGTGCTCAAATCCCACCGATTGCAAAAATGTTTGAACACAGCAAAGTGCAAAAATAAGCCTTTCCAGCTGGAACATACGCTTCACTGGAGTTGGTCTTGCGCTCTGTCCCTGTATATACAAAATGTGGAAGCGGCCTCTTGACACAGTCAATAGCGCTCTCGCTTAATGACACAGAGGTCCCGGGTTCAATCCTCACCTTCTGAATGCTGTGAGCGATTGACTCGACAAGGGAAATAAAAAGTCATTTTTAATGCCAACAGACGAAACTGACTGTTGATTTCCAACTTGAGGTTTGTAAAACTTCGATGGAAATGTTTCCCTTGGCCAGAAAAAAGGAATATAAGGAAAGCATTAATTCATGTGTTGGGAGTTATTTGGTCAATTAACACCCGCAAAACACAATAAATCGAATTGGCCATGGACAAAGATATAACAAATGGATTAATACATGGCAATATCAAGGAAAAAACTGGATTGTTATGAGGGGGGGGGGGGGGGGCAATTTTCTGGGGTAATCATAGGCTGCATCGGATAAAGAGCCTAACGGACAAGTCCATCAGCAAAACAATGCCGCCAGCAGCTCAGCAACAACCCACAAACTTATAAAGGGGACAACACATGCATCTGCTGAGCCGGATTGGACATCCAGAATGATGACCATTCATTCATGGCGACCACGGCAATAAAAGAAAAACGCATCAGAACGTTCGGAACACGCACGAAAATCGTTTAGCAGAGCTTGAGGAAGATAAAAGGCCACCAACCAAAGATCTCCACGCTCCAGAACATCGAAATTGAGGAACTATTGTATCTATCTATCTATCTAAATATACAGATACCGGGGATGGAAGAGACGAAGCTTCGGAGCATTCTGCTTACCGCGAGAGTCAGTAATGCACCGGTAGACCGTAAAACTCTAGCCACAACATCTCATTGCGGGCTTCAAGCAGCCTAAATGTGATCGGCTGATCTCTAAGGGGGCCACAATAGATCAAAAAATATAGTCGCAGTGGCAAAGAAAGGGGACGAATAGACGACACCCTTCCCCAACCCGCAAAACTAATTCTAATCTAATATTGTACGAATGTACTGAATTTATCTTCTGCGAAGCGTGAAACATTTCAAACGTTGCTGCCTGACGTCGATTCATATTTTTGTCGCCTGAAGGCAAGAAAAGCCGACAAATTTTCGTGAAAATCAAGTAAATAGACAATAATTTTGTTTTCATGTAAATAAACACATATTTGTTGGATTTTTCTGGCCATTTGTGCAGATTTAATGCATCAGATTAAGGTTATGTGTGTCCGCACATCCTCCGGCCTTTTTCAAGAAAACTAATTGGTTTCTCAACGCATTTTCAAGTACATGAAAAGCTAAGTTTTCATCCAATTCATTGTTCACGCGTACATGTCGTGACACTCACGAAAATGCGGCTGTACTAAAATGTCAAAACAAAGACATCTTCCCGGACAATCTGACCAGCAGACTCCTTCGAGAATCCCATCGGAAATACGCCCTATGTTAGGAACTGTCACGGATGAAGATGTCTTGTCACTAGAATTCACAATTTCGCCCTGTTGAACACATTCTTCGCGCTGAAAACATCCCTTGGTAATCGCCGAAAAGTCCTAGAAGTTCCTTGAGATTAGTTTCGGAGAAACACGGAAAATTGCGTTTCACTTCCACTAAAGAACATTCCCTAAATTCCACGTGGCGGAAAATCGCCAAAAACTGAGCAGAAATCGGAATATTTTGCCCTAAAAACACCATCAAAGAGAAAATCTAGTACTTTACGGCTGCTCAAAGGTAGCCGCAATGAAATGATTTTCTGACAGCTGAAATTCGTATAAAATAAAGCCCCCACTGCATCTTGCAACGCCTTCTTGTTCGTATTTAATTCGTACTATACACAAGCAGCCGTCGGGTGGCCGCCAATATAATATATCAAAACGTAAAATTATGACACCAGATTAGTATTTTATACGGACTGAAATACGAAATCTGTGAATTTGCAACGAATAATTAATTAAAGGAATGAAAAAGAGAACAGTCAAGTGCAAAAGTTACTGTGAAGTTTTTAAATTGTTAAAATTCAGAGAAGGAAAACAAATGATTGAATTTCTTTAATGTGTATCCGGTCTTGATACGATCAGCTCTGCTATGAAACCGCTAACTGTGGTATGACACTGCTCTTCTATGGTTTAAAATTTTGGGACGAAAAAGTGTTTTCTTCTATATACCGCGTTGTTTGCGAAAGACAGGTTATCAATAATATTATTGACAGCATATATATTCCTGCATTGGGCGATTACAAATCTACGGGTGATCCATGAGAGTGTAAGCGAATGCGCAAGTGAGTAGGATTGACATATGGGTGAGCGCAAAAACGCGAGTTATCCTTTGATATCGCTCACAACATTTGGGTGATCGGACTGTTACAGCGATGCGGCGAGATAGATCCCCTATGCATGTTTCGGAGGCGGTCTGGCGGTGCGGATTCCCGGAGGCGCGATAAAATGATCTGTTCGCCTGTGATATGAATATCTAAATTATTTATTTATTTGTTAATTTATTACGTGTTTAGTTTAAATGTGTGAGCCTTATGCTCAGGTTGTATTGCACAATTACGGAAATTGTCCCAGTTCAAAATAAGCTCTTTGAGCTTAGGACCTGGGGGTGAAGGAGGGAAAAGACAAAAACGGACTCGTACATAATCTAAGCTCACCCACAGTGAAATGATCCCATTTTACATGGATTCAAAGGTAACCCTTAGGTCAATAATCGATCTTAAGCACATCAATATTATATTTTACAACGGCCAGAGAGATGAGGTTTTACAGGAAATTCTCGTTCACTGTTTCGTTCCTCTGTATTTCTTCCTTCTGCCAAAGTTTTGAATTTATCTTCTTTTTCTCTTATTCAGTTTTTTCTTACGAACTGTACTTCTTCTGAATTCATCCGGGCCGTGCTTTACGAGATTCAATGAACTGCTTTCGTCTGTGTCTCATTGGGCAGCGAAGAATATTCTTCTGTTAAACTCTAAAAAGTTAGAAGCTTTACACATACGCTCTGGTTAGCAACATCCCTACGCCTTACCGACTTTCCTTAATGCTGAGGTAATTCCCTATGCCCAAAGCGCCAGAAATTTTGGAGTTATTTTCAATAATTACTTGGCGTTGGCCGATAATACTTCCCATATCTGTAAAAAGGTGAATTTAATTCCTTTCACGCTTCGAAGTTACAAGCTTTTCATTCCCTTAGGGCGTTTGGCTTTTATTAATTCATGCCCTTCTCTTTCCTGTCTTTTCCTACGAAGCCTCTATGCATCGCCTTACTGTCACTTTCAACAAATGCATTAGATTTATTTTCAATCTCCGGCCTTTCGATTATGTATCTCAGCACTATCACCTTATGCTGGGACAGACTGCCAAAAATCTGCCTCTTTTCCTCACACCACGCGTTGTGGAGTTCATTTCACGAATGTTTCGCCTAGATTAGCTTCATTATTTGGTTGAACTACTCGCGCCTGGCTCGTCTGTCAGGTCTTCGAGTCTAGTTGTGCCGGCATCGCGGAGCCGTATACTCCGAAACTCTCTTTTTATTGACGGGGTGATTCTCTGGAAAGAACTTCCTAGAGATATCAAGCGGCGGTTAATCTAATTTTTTTTTGGCGTTTTAACTGTTTTCTTGTGAGAGCTGAGGAAGATAGTTTATATACAACCAGTGAAAGAACTTTCCACCGTTTTACTTTGGAGGTTGGTCATCAACACTTAGATGTAGGTGGGTGCAAATTACACTCACTAAAGCTCTCTACAGTTATGATCGAGTAAACAAACATATTCAATATATTCTATATAACTAAAAAAAACTGCATACTGAAGAGAAAATACAAATAAAAATACTACACATTTTCACTAATCGTATGCATTATACCAAATTCAAGTAAGAGACATGATATTATTAATTTTTTCTTATGTGTAAATTTTCGACAGGTTTATCGTAGTTCCCAACTAGATAAAAGTAAACTCAATTTATCTGAAGCAAAGTTAAAATTATGTAAATTGAGCTCACCTGTTACTGTGTGTTTGGTGTGTTTCTCAGGTGACTTTTGATCACGCATTGAAGTAGCACCAATATGATCAAAAGAATTCTCATTGGGATTAGTAGTGGGAGTCTGTGGCATTTGAAGATAACCCGTTGTGGTACAAAGATTCAGTTCGAAGTCAACTGTGCGATCCACAACTTCAAGGCGATGCCAGGACTCATCTATATCCATCTGTCGCTCCTTCAAAACTCGTTCGATTGTGGCATTCTGTAAGAGTACATGAGCTGTAAAGTGTACCTCACGGATTCCCCTTAATATTTTCACATTGAATTATTAGATATATGGGTTGAGATGAAAAAAAACTCGAATATTGGGCATCTCAAATGCCCATTTTATTCATCCTAACGACTAGCGTTCGAACACGTTCCTGTCGTTTACTTGCAAAATAATATACGCTCATGTATTTGATGTAAATCACTGCCGACGGCGCCTGAACGTTTCACATATACTTGATGTGTCAAGTTTTTAAAAGTCCACTCCACGTGTTATTTTCTTTTCACAATAAGAATTATTTTTAAGTTATTGTTATTATTGTTAATACACAACATCAAATCTGAACACTAATTCAGAACGTAATTACTATAACATTACTAGATTTTCGAAACTTGAGCAACAATTTATTTGTGCGTACACAAAACAACACTTTTTACCAGATTGACTGGCAATAAATATTTTGGAATGCAGCGTCTTGGCATGGTTGAAGTCAAATAAGTACTGTTTAAAAGGGAGGCAGAGGCAACACAATGCACACACACAATATTTGAGAACACAACACACTAAACATTTACAAGTAATAGCATCATCACCTCTCCCCCCTGTATCCCCACATTGTTGAGAAGGATGAATAAAAAAGGAACGATTCAGGCCACCCCGCGAAAGAGGATGGGAAAATGCAGACTTTTGCGCTGCCCATCTTGTTTTCTGTTGCGCTACAGTCAATCAACAGTATCACAGCTCTTGTAACTAATCATTACATATTTCTTTAAATTTTGCAGAATCGCTATTAGTTATTATCGTAGAAATGAAAAAAAAGCATTTGATTATAAACATATAGCAAAATTTTCATAATATATTGAATTTTTAATATTATATTTTAAATATTACTTAAAAGTTGAAGGTATAAAAAAATATCAAGGAAAATCATCTGTATGATGAAAACCTTTTTAAATAAAAAAAAATATATATCAAAGTCAATTTTTTTAAAACATAGCCTAATGTGAATGGTTTTCTGAGCATCAAATTTAAAATAACGATTAAAGACGTCTTAGGTGATAAATTTGCCCACGCTTATCAGTAATCACACAACAACCGCAAAAAAGCATTTATCAGAGTATATTATAGATATTTGCTTGACTAAAAATATGAAATATTTGCTTTCCAGTCAATCACAATTCTTAGTAGAGAGTGATCAATTTTGTTGTGAAAGGCGCTGGCTATGCAATCCAGTATATAGTCCTTAAAATGTAGAAACAATTTAAACCATATGTTCTTGCGCAGCAACTCATACACAGTAAATTCCAATTGTGTTTTATTTTATCTTCTAAATTTGTTTTTAAATATACCTTAATTTATAAACAATATTATTTTATATAAATATATATTTTAAATAAATAATAAGTGTTATCACATACACATACATACTGTCATATATATATTGTTATTTATTAAGAGAAAATGTTTAGATATTGATAGGAATCTGTTGAACTTTTGGTGCATGATGAATGTTCCTCGAATATTTCCTCTTGCAGAAATATTTGGTACTTTTTAGAATCCGTATTAATTGCAAGTGTGTGCTGTCATATGCAATCCTTCTCATCTGTAATCACTTCCCCGCTATATCTCGCTCTCAAAATGCACTGCGCGCTTTAGACAATGCACTTGAGCTCGAAAATGCACGGTCACATCCCCAAAAAGTTGCTATGGAACGTCTCGCTCTTACCATCTTGAAGAAGCACTATTACTTGGTCTCTTTTCATCACACATACCAATTAACCGGTACAACCAATGAAATGTTGGGGCATCTGCCCAACGGGGGATTGCTCCATGCAACTTAGGGGTAAGCATAGCAGCGCAGGTATCGTGGGATGCAACTGCAAAGACACTCCGCCTTTACAGGAATATGCAATTTGAGATCGTATTTAAAAATTGAAAATGTTTAGATATACTTTTGCGCCTACCAGAAGGGCGAGTGCGAATTTGTGGGTAATAGTCACCAAGAAAATTAGAGATAGACTGTGATAATAGAAAAACAACGCCCGAATTTTGCGTGCCATTGACTTATTATATAACGTGCGAGTGTAAATGCTGCTCGTGATTTCAGGTTGGTTTTTGGACAATTAGAGGGATGGAAACATCTGAATATATTGAAGAAATACAATCTAACTTATACTTGATTGTTGATTTTATCGCTACTTAATCTATCACACCCACCTTCAGTGCAATCAACATGAAAATTCTCAATTTCTATCGATTTCATTTACATAAATTAGATTTTTTTATTGTACTCTTCCTAAGATACCTCGTACAGGGATATATGCGCGCATGGAGAATATATTAGAATTTTATCCACATATACTTAGTGTCGATGAGAATATAGTCAAATCAGCAAAGTCTCTCGTACGCTCCCTAAAGCTAATGAATACGTCTTGATAATAATATTAAAGGGACGTACGAAATGAAATACGTCACGTTACCATAATAAGATTTTTGCGTTACAAATGATGTTGCTATGAAAAGTATATGAAAAACATACAGTATAAGAAATTTCAAACACACTGGAAAACAGACACTTTGAATTCTAAAAAAAACCTCCTTTTAAACGAAAATCACACATACAACAAAAACATTTTACTAATGTAGTTATGTAGAATAAATTTGAAAACTTCTGTAATATGTGAAACCAAATAAAATTTGCATGTAAAATAGAATTTGTCATTGCAGGAAATATATTTATATTTCCGACGAATATTTTTCTTCTTAATTTTGAAAACACAACATATACATACATACGGACACAATTTGACAAAAAAAAACTCACTATGAAATAAGTTGTACATTTGCTATTAATGGCGATTTCGGCTGATCATCGAGATGAGCTAAACTTTAACTTAATACACGTCTTACATATACATAGAAAAATACCCCTACATTTCGCATCTGTCATCCACTGCTACTTTTTAATAATATCCTTCTGTTTATTTGAGCATATTTTCACCTTATGCGGCATCTGCTGAGTGTGCAAATGTGTCCAAAACACTTAAGAACGTGTCATTGGGCCTGTTCCCACCCTTCAGAAAACAAATAAATCTTGGCTTTTATTGGGTCTTAGAGACGATATTATTCAATAACAGTTTGCACCCAACCATCAGTCACATCTATAATTATTTAAATAGTCTACTTTCTGCTTCAGTCGGACTATGCACCAATTTTTTTCTAGTTTCCCTCCCTGCGGGATGATTCTCCCTTATGCATCACATATTGGTCTTTGTTTACGCCTGATGCTGTGTCAGCACAAAAGATTTTATCATTTAAGCCACCAAAGTTATATACTCTCTCACTTGGAATTACGCCTAGCCGAAAGTAAGCTCGAGTAACTGGAAAATGATTTAAAGAAAATTAAATTTCTATATATTTCCAGTAGTTTTAAAAGTAAATAATAATTTTTAATACTTTAATATTGTTTCTATGCTAATAAAAGAATTTTTTTTTAATTCATTAGTCCGTATAAAATACTAATCTGGTGTCATAATTTTACGTTTTGATATATTATATTGGCGGCCACCCGACGGCTGCTTGTGTATAGTACGAATTAAATACGAACAAGAAGGCGTTGCAAGATGCAGTGGGGGCTTTATTTTATACGAATTTCAGCTGTCAGAAAATCATTTCATTGCGGCTACCTTTGAGCAGCCGTAAAGTGCTAGATTTTCTCTTTGATGGTGTTTTTAGGGCAAAATATTCCGATTTCTGCTCAGTTTTTGGCGATTTTCCGCCACGTGGAATTTAGGGAATGTTCTTTAGTGGAAGTGAAACGCAATTTTCCGTGTTTCTCCGAAACTAATCTCAAGGAACTTCTAGGACTTTTCGGCGATTACCAAGGGATGTTTTCAGCGCGAAGAATGTGTTCAACAGGGCGAAATTGTGAATTCTAGTGACAAGACATCTTCATCCGTGACAGTTCCTAACATAGGGCGTATTTCCGATGGGATTCTCGAAGGAGTCTGCTGGTCAGATTGTCCGGGAAGATGTCTTTGTTTTGACATTTTAGTACAGCCGCATTTTCGTGAGTGTCACGACATGTACGCGTGAACAATGAATTGGATGAAAACTTAGCTTTTCATGTACTTGAAAATGCGTTGAGAAACCAATTAGTTTTCTTGAAAAAGGCCGGAGGATGTGCGGACACACATAACCTTAATCTGATGCATTAAATCTGCACAAATGGCCAGAAAAATCCAACAAATATGTGTTTATTTACATGAAAACAAAATTATTGTCTATTTACTTGATTTTCACGAAAATTTGTCGGCTTTTCTTGCCTTCAGGCGACAAAAATATGAATCGACGTCAGGCAGCAACGTTTGAAATGTTTCACGCTTCGCAGAAGATAAATTCAGTACATTCTTACAATATACTTATCGTAATCTTCAAACATTTATTAGTAAAATTATTTTTATAGCTGCTTTTAGAGAATGGTAAAAAAATTGAAAGTAAAATTGGAACATGGACTTTGATTGTTTTCTTGAAAAATTTCTATTTTGGGTGTTAAATTAATAAATTACCCCTTTGAATGTAATTCTTTTCTAAAATCTAATGGATTTTGGTAGCTATGGCAACGGAACAAATTTCTGCCCCTTTATGAAATGTGATTTTTTTTAGATTCCTGGGATCATCAGCAATCTAACGATGCCGCATTTGGCCCTCTAGATCTTCAAGTTCTTCTTCTTGAGTTCTTTTTTTTCATTTTCCCTTATTTTCCTTCACTTTGCCATACATATATGCTTATATCTAGCCCAATTTACCACGGATTTTCCCTAAATTGGGCTCAGATTATAGATATTGAAATTATCTACTACTTTGTAAAACATTATGCGAACCTTAGACCCCTTTTTGTCGGTCAAAAATGATCTTTTGTGTGCCACTCGGTAAAGAATTTGCCGGTTTTTTGGATACTTTTTACTAAATATCTGCGAAACAAAAAAAGCTTT